ATTCAACTCTCATATTTTATTTAAAAATTAAAATTTGAAAGTTAAGAAAGCAAAATAATTTGAATTATATTATTTTTAAATTTATTTGTTATTAATATGATTTAAAATGATATATTAACATATTAACACTTTTTAAATATTTATTTATTAGTGAGTTAAATTAGTAATAAGAAAATTAAATAAAAAATTAGCAATAGATATATAGAGTCACGATGCACGTTCCCTTAAATTAGATTTGAACACTCGTCGTGACATCGCACGTTAATTAGCTAAATCTAAAGCAAGAAAAATTTATACATGTTGTGTTTTTTAAATTACTATTTTTTTGTTTGAATAATTACAAAAGTTATCTTCCTAATATTCTTGAATTATTAAATATAAATAATCTATTTTTATTCAGCGTTTTTATAAAAACAAATTAAAATAGTATTAAGAGGATAAAATAACATTATTCCGCCTGAGTTTCAAAGTAGACATGAATTCTTTTGAACTGAGAGCTCGAAGGAGCAAGCTTGTTGATAATTGCTGATAGAAGTAGTTGCCCATAACTCATAACAGAGAGTATCTACGAGAGCTCAAACGTTGTCAGTGAAAAATAATAAATGTCTTCGATGCTTGAACTCGGAAAACAAGTCAGATAAAGACGAAGAGCACAAGCATGGTGAAGACACCACCCTTTAATTTTGCTGATTAGTTGGCTATGTAAGGCAATGATTGTGATGGAGGATTTTGAAAAAATGGGAAAAATAAAAAGAGAGAAAATGACATGTTTTCATTTAAAGTAAATATCCTTTCAATTTTATTTTTTTTACGATAAAAACAAATGATAGGTTATCCTAAAACTTTCTATTTTTTTATTTTTTTTATAAATATTATATAATTTATTCAAGTCAAATATAAACGTTTTTACCTTTCTTTATCTTTCCTTCCGAAAACACTTGATCCAAACTTTACCAAAAGGGTCATTGATGAAGGCCCATACACAGTAATTGAACTTCAAAGGATAAGCTAAAGAAACTTCAGCATTTGGTTCGGTTCCCACTTACATACCAACCTAACCCTACATGCTCATCCCATTCGGATAGACTCGAGATGACATAATTGGGATGCTATTAAATTACATCATGCATTTCAAGCGCAATTCTCGTTCTTTTGTTGTTTTCAGTACTTTTCAATACAATGAAATTGTCGTGGTTGAATCATATATAATATGAGTAATGCTATACGTATAATTTTGTTATCATATTATTAATCTTATATAACAGTCATTTTTTTTTATCTCTCTGAAGCTGTAAATTTTGTTGTATAAAATCAATGTATGAGCAGCATTAATTATTCATTTAGTATTAGCGGAAGTGAATGGCAAGTCGCAATCGACAATCCTTATTGATGTTACCTGGTTTTCTACATAGGGAAAGGTGTAATATTTGTTTGCTATGCGTTTCTTTTCATGGAGAATTGCTAATATCCACACAAAAAAATGCAATATTTTAGTGAAAGTCCGGTTATTTCAATGTATTGGAGGATATAACTGGTTTGGAAAACTACGTACTATAAATTTCAATCTACATTTAGATGTACGCACATCCCAAAATATACGAAGAGACATATAAATGTATTTTCTCTTTTCTCTAAATGATACAAAACATTTTTCATTTTTCATTTTGTAATCCTGGCAAATGGTCTTTCATATCAGACATTGCAAGCTTTTAACGTGGTGAAGGAAATCGGATATAATGAATATATTATTATTATTATTAAAACAGTGTGCTAGCAAAAAGAGTGTATTATCAGCATGTGAAGAAGAATAACTTTCCACTTTGATTCTCTCGTAAAATGATTGGAGTAGTGCTGTGTATCGCATATGCCATACAGCATTATTTGGTTGGACCAATTTATATTTTCTTTAAACTTTTAACCTTAGTATCGAGTTTTGAGTTGTTTAGTGTATCTTTCTCTCCTCCTAATTATACATCGAATTATGGGTCCCTCTCTCCCTCTCTCTGTAGCTCTGTCACTTTATCAACTTCTAATAGCAGAATACATTAAGCAACTATTGCTTAAAATATATATATTAAAGATTATCTTAAATTACTACTTTATTACATAAGGGGGTCTTGAGAAGGGATATAAAGCTGCAAGTTAGCAGGAAAAGAACCAATAGTCATAAACAGGAAGATGAGGGAGCAGCACAAGAGCAGATGGTTCTTAGGAAATGCACTGTGTTAAAACACACAGCAAATGGTCATTATTCTTTTCAAATTTAATCATCCACTCTGTATTATAAATAAAGAAGAATAATTTATCGAGAAAGCAAAATGTTTTGTAAAATTATGCTCTTCATGACAGTTTTTTACATTATTTTTAAAATTAAAATGATCTGAGAATAATATATGAATTATACTTTATTACTATAATAATATTAATTTTTTAAAATTAATTATATTTTAACATTTTATTAAATCTTTATCAATGTTTCAAATAAATTATATTTTAAATTAATGTTTCAAATAATTTTTCTATATGTATTTATTATTTGGAAAATATAATAAAAAGATCATTATTAAATTTTATTTATTTATTTATTTTAAAATAAAATATCTGTGTATTACACAATTTACTCACTTGTTATACTGAAACATTGTATACCATGCCACAATAATAATTTTACGTATTATATAGTATAGTCAACTACTAAAAAACAATACAGCAAAAATTACAAGAAGTGAATTATTCATGACATGTGTTTAAATAGTTTAAAGTAAAAACTGTAGTTTAAAAGATAAAATATGGAATTAATTATACCTTTTTAGTAAAAATCAAGGAAAAAGAAGTATCTGATTGAAGGACACATAAAACATAAAACATATAACATGTATGTCGAATATGAATAAAAATTCAGTAGTAGTCTATATAAAGTTTTCAATTCAGAAAAGAAGGTGTAAAAGCAAGAAAATTAGCTGCGATGACTGAACTTTGTACAGTTCTGGGCTCTCTCATAACTCATTTTGTTGTTGTTAAGTGTGACGAAATGGGTAAGCCTTTAGTCAGAAAGCGATTGCACGGATTTGACATAATGACACAACGCCATGTGCTCCTGTTGTCCTCCCACATGCAACAGTGAGCATTTCATCCCCATTTTCTTCGTATCCTCTGCACCAAAAGATGATAGACACATGTGTAAGTCCTATTTCTCAGGCCCAATCAAAACACTGACATCGCTTTTCTCATTGGAGTAGAACTGGGAGCATACAACCCCCAAATACCCCTATTTCATGACCTGGATATGGAATTATCCATGCCATCATCTCAACTAATTTCCCCATTTTTATAGCTTTGGTTCGTTCCTTTTGTAACTTTACAAATACCCCATGCACGATTTAGCCATGTAAAGCTCCAGTGATTATTTGCTACTTCATGCTTTTCAAATGGATGACCAAAACATAGGCATTGCAAATGGAAACATGTGCATCATTAATTTAGATCTCAAATCCCAGGGCCAGGGCCAAGCCCACAGCTTACTTGCATTGGTTAACACACACTTAACGGATAGAGCTTGTTTAATGGATATGATAAGATAAGAAAATGCTAAATATGAGAGTTAGTTAAAAATATAATAAATGTGTATTTTATTTTTATTTGATGTATATTGGAGTAATAAACTAAATTGTATTATATTATCATATCTTTTCATTTTTTAACACAAGTATATCCAAAAGATAAAACTTATTCTGAAGAAATAAATAGAATCAATTCATGAGATAGACTTTTTACATCCTTTTGATTAAACAAATACAAAAAATAATATAGAATAGAAACCGGGTTATATATTGTATAATACGAGGACGCTGAAGAAGAAGAATAAAGGGTGAAAAACTACTTCCTCCTCTTATTATTATTATTTATTTGTAGAGTCTTTTGTTCATAAGATTAGGCTTTAAAGCTTTTATAGACACTAAAGCCCATAGGCTAGAAAAGAAGACCAATACACTGGCCCATTCCAGCCATTGCGGCAGTGCCCTACAACTAATAGGCCCACATCGCATAATTTGCTGCAAGTGATATGAACCAGTTTGGTTTAGTTTTGCCATTTCAGATGCTACGGGCCTGATCATTCACGTTTACATTGTAGGTTTAGAGGGGTTGGGCTCAGAAGCCCAGACTAAAAACAAATCATATGAACACATAAACTCAGGTTGACATATTTTTTTATGATAAAGAATTTACGCCTAAAAAAAATTGACATAATTTATTATCATGAATTGAGTAATTTTTAAATATGCTTTAGTTAAGTTATATATATTAAAATTTTAATCAATGATCTTTTCATTAGCAAATCATCGTTAATTCTAATATATGTTTTATTAGCTTGTCAGATAAACACGTTATGAGATACAATATTTAAATTAACTAAAATATAAACAATAATTTTACCTATAAATACACGATAAGACAAGAATATGAATATTAAAATTACTATCTAGAAAATATAAATCCAATCATTTTTTTGTAAATGTTAAATAGATATTATAATATTCAATCCAAACCTTACCTATATTATCATCGATGTGTCTTTCTTAAATATTTTTCCCAGCAACAAAAGCTGTTGCTCGTTAATGGTTCTATTTTCTAGTTACATTATGTTTTCTTAAGAAGCATATATATGAGCTGAGTTTGAGTCTAGCGAGTTTTTTTACTAGTATATTTATTTATTTTTTAGGGAAAAGATAACTATAGTGTGTATTGCAAATTTTTATTCATATTCTTTCTTTTAAGTCCTTTATCAAACCAAATAAAGTATTTAGTATTTTAACTTCTCTATTCAAAAAGAAAAAAAAATGAATGAAATATCTTGTATACCTTCATGGATACATAAACAATCATTTTCACTATTATTTTTCTTTCGCAAAAGCAAGGAGCATTATTTCCGAGTGAATTTCAATAATGGATTTCATTTAACTGTAGTGCATAATGGGGATATCATTATAAGAATGGTGGGGTTAGTTACTTGAAGATAGAGCACTAACATATAGTTCCTCACAAGAGTAGTTCATGGGTATAGACACGTGAAATCTTAGAATCACATTCTACCCAATAATTATATTTTCTTAACTCAAATTAGGAAAGAATGGAATGCCTGTAGAGTTCAACCATTCATTTCCTTGTATAAACTGGGCAACTGTGAACTGGCTTGCCTCAGTGGAGCTGTTAATAACCCTGTAACCTGGCCACGTAACTCTAGCACTTGTGTTTGAACCTGGTCCCTTATTCATGTACTCTCCATAATACAATGTATCCAATGCAAACGTGCCATTCCATTCCAACCACCCTGCTGGGTCAATAAGATCCTCCATGAAAGATTTGAGATAAACGGTTCTTGAATAGAGTTTCCAAGGACGACCCAGATAGCTTTTGAACGAGGATTTAACTGGGATTAAGTCTGCAGCAGCTGCAATCTTACAGTTCAAAATGGATATGCCAGTGTTTTGGTTAGGGTCTTCTCTGCCTTGTGCAGTGAACAAGTTCTTCTGATTTTGGTTTGGCTTGCGTGCGTATAAGTTGCAGTTTTGGAAGACAACGGCTGCATTGCCAAAAATGAAGTCTACAGTGCCGTAGATGTCGCATTCACGATAGAATTGGCGAAGGGAATGGACGTAGAGAGTGTCTTGATACCCAACAAAGCTGCATTGGTAGAAAGCTGAAAAGTCAGAACCACTCCTCAGTGCCACTGCTTGGTGCTTCTCCGGCCCTGCTGAGTTCTCAAACGTTATACCTTTTGCTATGAATCCCTCTCCTACCACAGCTGAAAAATAAAGTAAATATCAAAACCCGTTGGATAAGGTAGAAAATAATAAACTGCAAGAATTAGATAAAAATTTAATAAATGTGTATAGTAATAATAAATCAAATGCATGTGTTATGTTGTTCTATTCTTTTTTATTTTTAATTCAAATTCTATCACAATATAAAACTTATACTGTTATATCTATTAAACAAAATAAAATAAATTTATTCAAATTTATTTATTTTTTATCCTTTTCATGTGTCTGCAGGATCATAATTCATAGTTGGACAATAAGAGCAAAGTTTGCGGCATAACAAAACCCCACAAAAAAAAGGGTATCATTTAAAAAAAAAAGGCTGTTAACTTTATTCTAGGCGAAACTTATTTTTCACATAAATAAAGATCATAAAGTTTACTTTACTTTGTTGAAAGCAAAGAGCAAAAAAGCAAAAGGCAATGCATATATAGAAGAACTAGCAAGCCAAGTGGGCCTAATGGCACTGAAAAGTAGTTGGGTTTGTGATGAGTATTATGCAGGTCCAGAATAGAATTCTCCATTAGCTGGGTATGGACATGTGGACCCTATGGTTTGACCCAACTCAGAGATAACCCTTCTTTTCGTAAGAATATAAATTTAAATAATGTGAAAAGCCGAGGCTGGACATACTCCTGCACTGCATGTATTGTTATTTTGTCTTTATAAAAAATGGTGCTGCCATTTGTAGCTAAGAAAATATAAATAAATAAAAAGAATAAGAAGCTGTCGGCAGGGGATAAAAAAACCTATGTCTTATCACTGCTAACTTCAACAAAAAATAAGAAATTTGATTTATTTACATTTTCGCTTATTTCATTGTAATTCTGATGCATTCTCTCTTGGACTGAGAGGAAGCATTTGTACTATCGATATTATTGAAGTTCGATAATTGAAAAGCTAAACAACAGTTGAAAACCAAAATTAGCGTTTTCCAAAATGTTTCACAGAGGAATGATTGACGGACAAAATGGTGACAGAGATAAACATGCATTTTAGTATCTAGCCAGCATTGTATCCAACAATACTCTAATCACTTTCTCATTATTAGTGGTTGATGGCATCACTGCGTGATATATTATTTTACAATGAGTGAGATCACTAAATTTAAGGTAATGTGTCTTTAATTTATTCTCATATTACTATATCTCAAACTCACACCTTATGTAATTATCCACAACTAAACTGCATTCTATCAAGTTTAGTTTTTAACTTAATATTTTTAGCTTGCTAAACGGCATTGGCAAATAAATACTTTATTTTTAATTTTAAAAGTAGCTCTGCCCTGTCTCTTTCTTCTTCTTTTTTTCTGTATTTCCTAAACTCTATTTTTATCTATTTCTTTGACCTTTTGACATTCAAAGTTTCAATCACTGCAGTTTGTACATGCTCACTTGTGATTGGAAGAGGGAAGTGATACTGTAAATTGACCCTTGGATATAAAACGTATATACATGGGCCTACCACCTATCACTTCTCTGTATTATGTTCAATCACGGGAAGCAGAATCCTAGAAGATTTTAAAAGGCCAGAGCCTTTTATCTTTTGAACTTTCCTGGGTTCTATTTCTAACATTCAAAACCAAGTTGTGCTCTAGTGTCTCACAAAAATAAGAGGTAACATTTTACAAGTGGCCATGATGATAAGAATCTATCCACGAGTAACAGCGTTGTAATAGTATTTATTTATAGCCATTTTTTAAATAACCGACACTGACCAGTGAAATCTGAATTTTAATGAGAGTAGAGCAGATAAGAAAATGTATTAACCTCTACTTCCTCTACAAGGCTAATTTTCAATTGCCGTGACAATTCCGATGTAGCCCATGTGTGTCCGAACCATTAAAATAATGACTTCCCTACATTATGCATTAACTACAAATTCACCAACCAAAATTAATCTAGTAATCTTTCTCTAGCGAACATGTGGGTCCATCATCAAGTTGCTATTTTCTTGTCTTGTTCTAAGATTTTTTAACTATTTTTCTTTGTCTTTGGCATAGCAGCTACACTAGCCGCCTCAATAAGCGATCCAGCTACTCATCAAATCTCACTTAGAGCCTCCCCAGTTTTTCTTCTCTTTCTTCTAGCAAAGGTTGAATATCAAACCAAGCTGAAGTATGCTAATTACTCCAAAAAAGCATTATAGTAGAAGAAAGAAGAAAGACGTACCAAATGTAGCGGATTGGAAAGTGGTCCACCCGTCCACAACATTCCTACTCGCTTTCACCACTGTCTTTCCAATCCCATCTCCAACAAACATCAGATTGGTCTTCTTCCTGATCACTTCCACATTCTCGAAATATGCCCCAGCCTTTATGTGTATCACGAACCTGCCATCACGCATAACATAAGTAAAAGTAAGGAAACACATTGCATTAATACTGTAAAGATATACTATGCTCTACTATTGATGTAGTATAAAATATGTTTTTGCTTTTGGAATTAGAAAAATATATTTGTAACGTTAATGACTGAGTGAGTGGCTTAGAATGTGATCCTTGCTGTCCAATTCTTTTCATAAAAATGTTGGATTTTAGCTCAAGATAAGTAGTACTAAATAGTAGGTATGTGCAATGTCCTTGCTTCAAACCCCAAAGACTCTCACGTGCTGATCATATTAGAGACATAATAGAAAAAAATTCATGTTCTTTTTCACTTAAACTAAGATTTTGGAATATTTGGTGGGTGATGTCTAGTGCCTACCTGGTTGTGCTGGAGTTGGGAGCCACAGCGAGTGCTTCTCCTATAGTGGTGAAATTGCCAGTGCCATCTTTGGCAACGACAAGATCGAACTTGGTCTGATTGACAGCGCTTTGGAGAAGCTTTCGGTCTTTGGATGAAACCCACGAGGGGAAACCCTTTTTCATCTTTCCATATTCAGGGAAAACCTCAGATTTGGATGTTGTTTTCTTCACTCCAGGCACTTTCTTAAGCATGGCCAAAGAGTTGCTAACATGATGTGATATCTCAAGCAACTTCTTCTCGATTCTTTCTCTCACTTTGGCTTTGCTGTAAGCAAACCCGTCGAGGCACGTGTACAAGTTGGTCATTGCGCCACTTAGCAGAGTCTGCAAGTCGTGGTGGCGCTTAGACCCTATTGTGCTTTTGGAGAGATCTTCAATGGTGGTTTTGAGCTCCACGTTGGTGTCATCAAACAGTTTGAGACAGTCATCGAGAGCTCTCTGGTCAAGTGGGTTGAGATTTCTGAGCTTCTTTTTGAGGTCACTGCAGTTGTAGGATGATGATTTTACCTCGTACATGGCATGGTTAACCACTGAGGAAATCACTTGTGGGACAGATTTTGTGGCAAGATCTGGGAATGTGGCAAGAGTTGAGACGCATAGGTCTGGGTAGAGTGTTCCTTCACATGTGGAGTGGGCTACTTGCACGTGCTTTTGGAAATGGAGCTCTTTTTCTGGTGCTCTTGTAATGGAATGTGTTCCTGAGAAGAGTAGTGCAAAAGTTAAGGTAAGAATGGATGCAAGAGGCAGAAAGGGTGTTTTTATTTTGAGGTTGTTCATGGTGTAGAGTAAGAGATCGGGATTAAGTGATGTGAAAAGCGATTACTGTGTAAGTGTGATTGTGCTGCCAGAAGGGTTCATGCTGTGGATTTTATATAGATGGTTGAGTCTTGTAAGATGAAGTGGGGCGTTTCTCATTAGATCTCACAGCGTGAAACTTGACATTTTTTAAATTGAGCATTGTCATAATGGGACATGGACCTTGTGCTGACCCTCCAGGATTTTGTGTTAGTACGTGTGAGACTCTTAATCATTTTGGCTCCTCCATCAACTTCAAGTTGCCTACACTAAAAAAAAATAACCAAGAGTTTAAATTCATTATTTAAATAAAAGTCGTAATGCTTTATTTGAATTGAATAAAAAGTTGAATTTTAAAAAAAAATACTCAATTCTCACTTGTTTTCCTCGAGTCATTTATAAATTGATTTGTCTTATAAATGAGATATTAAGTAAAATTTGAGTCCTCAAAGTGCAAAGCTCATTTAATATTTTTTATTATATTTTTAAGATAAATTTGTTATCAAAGTCATTTCATTTCTTAAAGAGATTGTGCACATTTTTCTTCTACCCACTTGTTTTTCTATCTTTCAAAACATTCATTTTAACCAACATAAGCCTCTCTTTCTGGTTTGAGTAAATATTGTTTCAGGCTAACTCTGTTCTCCCAATCCTGATCGCCGAAATTTTGCAATATATTTCTGTTGCTTTGAAAAGAATAATTTCATAGAAAATACACTAAAAATAATTTGAAATGCCGAATTGATGAGTAAAGTCAAGTAATATAAAATTATAAAGAGTTTGCTTCCAAAGCATATATGATTTGATTTTAAGTTAGTTCCTCAACAATCTTTAAATTTAGAATTCGTTAATTTAGTCTCCAAATTAAAGAATATCTAATAAGTCAATTTAGTCTCAATAATTCTAAATTAACTTTTTTTTCCTCCTAGACTATTTTAAAATCACACTTCAGAAACATTTACTACAATTAAATATAATAATTCATTTATTGTTATGTCATCATTTAACATCATGTATCATATCTAATTAATATTTGACACATCAAGTTAACTTTTCCATTAAAATAATTATCGTTTGGATGACGATAGTGACTAAATAATTGACAATTGCATATACTAATTATTAAAATAAAATGTTATTTAATTTAAAATTTACTTTAAAAAATTCCAAAAACAATAAGGAAAGGAATAATAATTTACTCTTAATGATAAATAATATCTATAAATGAATGTGTTATTAAAGATCATGTTAGTAACCTTTCTCATGTAAGGAATAGAAGTACAAATACTTGTTTTTCCAACTGTGCTTTGACTACGATAAAATAAAACTCTGTTTAAAACTTGTGGAGTCATGATTGCTGGGAGCAGCAGGCCTTGTCTTCGCAGTGCATGCGATGGTACCAATGGCGTGCATAATCGTGGTCATTCCTTTCTTCTCTAAACTTCTTTTGGATTTGTGGGCCAATATTCCTTTTAGTTTTATGGTCCATACCTTTAATTGGCCCAATAAAAAATAAAACCTTTTCGCCCAGCTGCATTCTAGAGTGTCATCAGCTCAACAACCAAAAAGAACAAAAAAGAAAAAGAAAAAAACTTCAACGCTGATGCAGATATTGGATTTTATTTTTTGACAAAAGAACTTAATCCCACTTCCTTCACTATGAGTTCACTTTAGCACATACTAACATAACGAGCATTCTCAATTGTACAACGGAATCTCAGATTATCCCATTAAGAACTTGTAAGGAAATAGACAAAAATTGTAAAAAATTTATTTGGATTCCACTCACGTTAGCAAGAGATGTTATTTAATTTTTTTAAAAAATTCCGTTGTCCTAAATCCCAAGAGAAGCTTGATTTCAAGGACATTCATCAAACTAACTTAGTTTCTACGATAAACTTGGGTTAACGCATGATCAATTAACTAAATAGTCTTTCAGTTAAGGTACTGTTAACTAAATATAGAATCAGACAATAAATTATTCCTTTTTCGGGTACCTTCTTACATATCTGGAAATAAATTTATAATATTTAGGATACTTAAAAAAAATATATTCTAGATAATTGGGAATGGTCTGAAAAAATAAGTTATCGGGTGACTTATAGATTCATAAAATGCAATGTTAAGTTGATTTGCCTGATTCTAGGATTCTAGAATCTTTACTCAACCTTCATGTGGCCTGTTTTTTATCCAATGATAATTGAGACCGAGAAAATATTTACTCATTCATTTTGGAACAATCTTGTGATTTGATAAATAATACAATCCCTCGAATAAAATAATATAAAGTGTCCAACTTAATAAAATTACACTTTAATAATAATAAAATTATCAATAAAAAAAACATCACGTATTTGCTCCTCATCATTAGAAAAACGACACAACAAACAAAAATAAAAGAAATAATCATTCTCTCACTTTGCAGAATTCGTTTGGAAAATCGATGGACGTCGATCATATTGAAGGCGTTTCAATAAGCATTAGGGGCTGGAATATGGTGGGGATTGGGAGGTGCAGAAGAAAGGTCCGACAGAGTACAATTTCTTCTTATTGTCAAGAGTACGATAAGAAGAAAGGGTAGCACCACTGATCCCGTAGTTGACATCGCTGGGAACTTTACATGTCTCTAACGGAGAACTGTCAAGGTATGCTTTGCATTCTCCAAACTTCAATTTGTGTCCAAACTCCGCAAGTGTCACTGTGGCCAAGAAATAACCTTTTCCATCTGTTGCATCACTCAATACTGATATAGGACCTGTCTCGTACCCATTCTCGTCCACACATCCGCACGTAACTCGTGCCACGGCTCCTGCACCCCTCACACGTCCATCCATATACAATTATTAACAAATATATATCACCATACCCCAAACTATCATAACATAAGTTACTTAATTGACAACACAGCCATAAAAAATGTTTTAAAAATAAAAAAAATAATATACCTTGAATTGGGAAGTAATTAGAGCCTGATTTACATAAAACAACTCCTTGGACACTGATGATTGTGGGCAGCAGTGGCACTTCATCTTCTCCTATTGGTTTGGGCACTTCATAATCTGGTTTCGTAGGCTGTGGTTTATAATAATCTTTTTCGGGTTTGGGCACTTCATAATCTGGTTTTGTAGGCTGTGGTTTGTAATCTGTTTCGGGTTTGGGGTTCTGAAGCGTTGCTGGACCATACCCATAATCAGTTGCCGAGGCAAAGACTAGCAATGCCGAAAGCAGCATAGAGGTTGCGACGAGGGACTGAAGGAAAGCCATTAATAAAATTCTTTGTAATGCTTTTGCAAATGGGTAATGAAGAAATGCTTCCAAGTTATGGTGAGATTCTTTGTAATGCTTTTGCAAATGGGTAATGAAAAAATGCTTCCAAGTTATGGTGAGCTACCAATGCACCAAATACCTTGGCTATTTATAGAGAGAATGATCGCCCAATTATCTTATGCATAATGCGTTTTGGAAATGTGGAAGAAATATATAATAATATATGGATGATTGGATGGAGCAATAGTTGGTTTCACGTTATGGACTTAAAAACCATAAAATTCATGGTCAATAATATGGCCCTGAACGTGATCTTCACCTCTATAGATTTTGGACACTTCATTTGCAGGTGTTTCGTGAAAGTTTGAAGAGTCTTCCCTGTATTTTTTTTATGGTCCATACCATCCCTTAACTGGCCACACAATTGTTTTCGCCCATTTGCATTCTGGACTGTAACAAACTTCAGCTCTCCGCGACCCAAAAAGAAAACTTCGTCGCTTAAGAAATGACATTTGGTTGACCAAAAAAACAAGAGTACTGGACTGTCTATATAAGCAAATCTAGCTCATTAGATAGGTTAGATCGTAAAAAGATAAGCTTGAATGACGTAAGATGTTAAATTTAATAAAATAACACTTTTAAGAATTCTTAATTAAAAAAATTTTATCAATCAAATTGTTTTCTTTAATATTATCATAAAGATTGCATATATAAAATTTTTCGCAATTAAAATACTTGCAAATATATAATAATTATTTGCTTATATTTTGAATATATCACATGTTAAATATAAAATAGAACAAATAATAAAACATCAAATATACTACCAAACACATTAATCAAATTATAAAAGATGTTTTAACTAAATAAATAATTTTAAATTTGAATTTTAAGTTCGAGCAGGATAACTTTCAATAGGAAATACACGCAGTCACACATGTATCATTGACAAATTATTACTACGAACTAATGTTGATGATATTAACTAGCAAATTAATTAATCAAACACACAAAACGTAAATTAAAATTGGAAAAGTTGCATCTCATCGTATCGTGGTATCTAAGAACCCAGCTATTATATTGGATTAACACGCATTCATGTGTGAACTTAAAGAAAGATTTGTTTCCAACTTGCAAACGTGCCATATTGAATATATGTTTAGTTAAAAGTTAAGTAGCACCTGACTGGAATGCATTGTGCATTAGTAGTAGTACTTCCTAGCCCGTTTCATCCAGATTGAGAGCTTATTTTTAAAACAATTTACTAGGAATAAGAAAGTTCAACTAGATTTAATTTAACGTTAAACTTGCATATAGTGTTTGTATACAATAAATGAGAGTTTGAGCTCTCGACGTGCATGAATTTAAATTTTCCTGAGTTGAAGTTGTGCTTAGCAGCCACCCTCCTCATACATATCCCAAAAATTAGATAGTAAATTTCCTACAAAAACAAAAATATAGAGATAATCTCTCCACCCAAAAACAAAAAGTGGCACACCAGTCTCTCTTCTCTCATAACAGACACATACAACAATTGACTTTGTCAACGAGAAGACATTATTTGATCTTTTTAATGACTAGTTCAACATATATCTCGGCTAGAATGAGGCAAACTCCGTCACGGAAGAACAAAGAGTAGAAAAGATAGAGAGGCAAAGAAAAAGGTGTCTAGCTAATTGCTATTAGATATTCCATAAAATTAGAAAAATATGCGTTTAGAAGGTATTCCAGAAAACATAAAACTAAGTTACGGGATTATCTAAAACTTTGCTCAATCACAAGACCTTTTTGGGGTGATGTGTAGTGTAGGCTCTTTATTTTAGGATTAACAATTCATCTATTGTCTCCCGTTGCAAATTAAATGGTATAGTGGCGGCTCTTTTGTTTTGCTGGTAAAATACTTTCTTTGGTATTTTGTATAAAAAAATTGTATTTAATTCTAAAAATATTTATAATATTAAATAATAAATTTGATAAATTATATATTAAATACTATTATATATGTAAAATTAAATATTTTATTACAATTTTTCTAAGCTTGTAACATTATAAAGGATAAAAAGTTATATATAATGAGTTTTTATAAAAAAAAATTACAGGATTTAATATATTAACAATATTTAATGATATATTTTTTATGAAAATTTAATGTTTATAAATTTTTTATTTTGTGTAATATTGCACAAGTAAAAAAAATATTTTATAATACAAATTTTATAAAAAAATAAAGATATATATTTTTTCCACAGTCAATACACTTTGAAAATGAATTTATGTTTTTTATTATTTAAAAAATCATATCATTTCTTATGAAAAGAACAGAAAAAATATAGAATTTAAGAGAATTAAATGACATTTTATGATATTTTTTATTTATTATAAATTTTAAATAATTAATTTTAATTTGTTAAGTTAAATATAACTTTGATTATAAGTTGTTATTAAAATATATCTACGGTGTAGGAAAATTAGTCTTAATGTAAATCAAATAGGGATTTGTTTGGATAAAAATTTGTTATTTTAGTATTAATTTTTAGTGTAGTTATTGAAAAATTAATCTCCACCTGCAAATTTGGATATTATGAGAAATTTAAAAAATGTTAAATTTTCTTTTTAAAAATATTAATACTTTGTCATTTTAATAAATTTATTTCTTTAAATTCATTTTTAAACTATTACTCTTAAACACAATATTACTAAAATCATTTTAAAACAAAAACTTTACTATTATTTAAAATAGAAGACCTTTACGTCATTCACGTCTATGCGACTATGGGGTAATTTATTACCAACTAGCAAGCAATGGTAATTAATTACCAATTGCCTTAAAAAAAAAATTGACCAAAAAGATACTTCTCTGTTTTTTAGCAAACTAAAAGTGCGGGGATGCATGATCCAATCTCTTGCTTAATTTCTCTTAGTTAATTGAATTCCTTAATGTTGAGTTTTTATGATAATTTTTTAATCATCTTGATAAAAGCTTCTGGACCACATTATTCTTTGAAACTTTCTTTCTCTTGTATTAATTCTTCTTTTTTTTCCCCTCTGTGATTAGGTTTTATTTTTCAGACATTGCTTTAAGCCCGCATACCTTCGTGATTAGAAGGTTCTTTCAATAACTTTCAGGTTTATGATTTAAATTTTGATTCCTCCCATAAGAATGCGGCCGGTTTATCACCACACCCAACCTTATTAGTGGTTTTTCTTACTTTTGCTATGGTTATATTGATCGTTTTAAGCAAGATAATAGTTGACAGAGAAAAACGCGCCATAGGAAATATATAATTTGACTTAGGTGAACACTAGTTGGAATTAAAAATGAATCTTTATACTCAGCAAGGATCATTAGTTAATATATAGCTTTCAATCGGTCAACATCTAACAAAGGATTGCTGAAATACAGAATGCAAGGATTTGTGGGCTGGAAATTAAGCAATGACTTAACATTGGATTGTGAAAGTTCAGACAGAAGGTACGTCTCAGTAAAATGTTTAAATTAATATACAGCACCACAAGAAGAAAAAAAAGACCTAGAAAAATCAGAGAATAAGCTATTACTTAGACATTATAGTCAATCAATCAGATTATATTTGTGATTTTGTTAGCCAAACTAGCTTGAAAATGACATATCTTTGTCAAAGATCATCCAAATTGGTGTCGTTATTATCTTTCATTTTGTATTTCTGTGTCTTATGAATGCTGGGAACCAACCCAGCTGTTGACAAACTAAAATTACATTATATAAGTCCCACGGGTATGTATTAAGTCGTCCACCAAACAAATATTAATAGCAATGTAAACAAATAAATATTGTGTATATATATATATATATATATATATGGAATAGTTGCATACATGCACGTTTGTTTACCGTAAGCTTAATCCATGTGTTCCTCCTAAATACCTAATTAATCAAATGTTTCACAATTGCCAGCTGGAGCTGTTGACAATGTTCTTGGTAGCATGGCCTCAACACCAAGGCAAATTATTCTAGTTGACTTCCAACAGCTAAAGCCTTCATTCCCATTAATAAGACAAAAATCTCCATCCTCTATATAAGCCCAATTAGCCATGCACCTTATTCTCATCCCTCTACCAGGATTTCCTTCTCCCATAAACCAATGGTTTTCAAGGGCTTCTCTTTTCTTACCATCTCCTATATTCTTTCCTTTTTGCTCTTGGCATCATTGTCCACATCAGATGGCAGTGCATTCTCCATCGTTCCACCCGAAACCATTTGCGGGTCCACCGTAGACCCTAATTATTGTAAAAATGTGCTTGCTAATCAAAATGGCAATGTCTTCGACTATGGTCGCTTTTCTTTCCGAAAGTCCTTGTCCCAGGCTCGTAAATTCTTGAACTTAGTAGACTCATATCTTCAAAGTAGCTTCTCTTCGTCTCAATCCACAACTGGCGCTCTTCAAGATTGCCGATTCCTTGCTGAACAAAGTTTAGAGTACTTATCAAACATCTATGCTACTGCTAACCAATCTAGTGGCGTTCTTAACCCTTCTGAAGCCGAAAGTTCTGTAACCTATCTCAGTGCCGTTTTGACTTGCCACCAAACATGTTTGGATGGCCTACAACAAAGTTCAGCATCAGATTCAAGAGTGAAAAACGACTTGTCGTCGTCACTCTCTGATGACTCAAAGCTTCACAGTCTCACATTGGCTTTGTTCCTTGAGGGTTGGGTGCCTGAGAAGACAATCATAAGATCATGGCCACAAAATGGGAGACATTTGGATTTCTCACATGGTCGTTTACCGTTGAAGATGTCAAACCGAGTACGTTCCATTTATGATTCCGCAAGACACCATGGGAGAAAACTTCTCCAAACAGGAGATAACAGCCAGAGCGTTCAGGTAAATAACATTGTGGTGGTTAGTAAGGATGGAACAGGAAACTTCACCACTATCAATGCTGCAATTGCTGCTGCACCAAATAACACTGCCGCTAATAGTGGCTACTTCCTTATCTTTATCTCCGCGGGTGTGTATGAAGAGTATGTATCCATTGACAAAAGCAAGAAGTATTTGATGCTTATTGGAGATGGAATCAATCAGACAATTATTACTGGCAATCACAGTGTTGGAGATAATTTTACAACGTTCGACTCGGCAACATTTGGTAAGCAAAAGTATAATCTCCACATCTATAACAATTACACAATTAAATATAAATTTATGACTTTAAACATATTTACCCCTAGCTAAGATTGTGATTTAAATAAATTTATGTGGTTTTATATCTTTAATTTTTTTCATTATTTCAATTTCTCTTATTTTTTTTAAGTAGCTAGTCTATATCAATGATGTTATAGAAGTGTTTACATGACATGATATAATTCTTTTGGGTACTGATAAAAGAATCACTTTTAAGCGTCTCTGAAATATATATATATATATATATATATATATATATATATATATATATATATATGTGTGTGTATATATAAGATGCGCGTATATAAAAAATAAAAATAATAATATTCAAGATTCATTTTTAATAATTTAAATAATAGAATGATATGATATCACTAAACAAAATTAAGAATCATCAAAATTTGAAACTTTTGACCAATTTATTTGTTATGTCTTGGGGTGTGGATTTGAGCATGAAATATTATATTTTTTTCTATGTCAATTTATAAAAAAGATGATACATATCTTTTTAAAAATTATATATATATATATATATATATATATATATACTCTTTAGAATGAATTTGACCCTTTTACACGCTTCATGGGGATTTGCAGCTGTGGTAGCTCAAGGGTTCGTAGCAGTTAACATAACATTCCGAAACACTGCCGGACCAGGCAAGTTCCAAGCAGTTGCTGTAAGAAATGGAGCGGATATGTCCACCTTCTACAGTTGCAGTTTTGAAGGGTATCAAGACACATTGTATACCCATTCACTGAGGCAGTTTTACAGAGAATGCGATATCTACGGCACAATTGACTACATATTTGGTAATGCTGCTGTTGTTTTTCAAAACTGCAACCTCTATTCACGGCTCCCCCTAAAGGGACAATTCAATACAATCACAGCTCAAGGAAGAACAGATCCAAATCAAAACACGGGCACTTCCATACAGAATGCCACTATTAAAGCTGCTGCTGATTTGGCTCCAAATATTAGTACTGTCAACACCTACCTTGGAAGACCATGGAAGAATTATTCATTGACAGTGTTTATGGAGTCCTTCATGGATAGTTTAATAAACCCTGCTGGTTGGCATGAATGGAATGGTACTTTTGCGTTGAGCACCTTGTACTATGCAGAATTTAATAACACTGGACCTGGTTCTAACACTACCAACCGAGTGAATTGGCCTGGTTATCACATTATAAATGCCACTGATGCGGCCAATTTCACGGTGTCAAACTTCTTGAGCGGAGATAATTGGATTCCTCAAACTGGTGTCCCATACTCGAGTGGGTTGAATTAATCTATGTCTAGCCAGTCAAGTGGGGTTAACTTGTTCCTTCGTTTTATATGGTTTCAGCACACGTGTTTCTACATTTATTATTTATACAAATGAGTATGATTGTTATTGAGCATAATAATAAATGTTTGCGTGATGCTTCACATGACTCTTCAAAGGATGCGAATAAAAAGTTAGATAAAATTTAGATGTTATAAATATTTTTTATTAAAATTAGAATTTTATTTTATTGATTTAAGAAATAAATATTAACATTAAAACTGATATACATTGTTGAAGAGAAATTTTAATTCTAATTTAAGAACAATTGCAAAATCACCTGCAATCCTACATTTAAATTTTGTTCTAAATATTAAGTACAGGTCAGCTTTATCTTTTAAATAAATATGTTTAACCCAACTTTAATTAATTCAATAGCGTTATAATTTAAGACCAAGAAGATAGGAATGACTTCTACAATTAAATTGATGGTTCGTAAATAAGTAGATTGAAAAAGGAAAAGTATATTTTTAATATATTACGTTAATCACGTGTAATAATTAAGTTTGCTTAGTTGGCTCGGAAGATCACATTATACCCTAACTTATTTAAATCTATAATCTTTTATTTTTTCAAAAGCTAAAACCTTGCTTTGTCGTACTTAAAACAATGGATCCTTGTAACAAAAAATAAATTGTCTTAAATTATCCTCTAACCTGTTTTATTTGAATCGGCTTTTGATTTTCATGCAAAATAGCAAAGTTCTTCTTTATAAGCTTCTTCATAAGTACTACTAAGAGAGATAAATAAAAGATAAAACAAATAAAATCATTTTCACAAGTTAAAATCAACTTTTATCACTTTATCTTTTAAGAAATTAATTGATAAAACTTCTAAAAAATAAAAATAGTATAAATTGATTTTAGGTTATGAAAAATATTTTATATGTTTTACCTCTTTACCTTTTTTCTACAAGTACCTCTACAAAAGCTCATCTAAATTATGTGTAAATTATTTAAAAAATTAATATAATGTTTAAGAATTTGTAAAATATTTCATTGTAAATTTTCACATTTAAATAATAATAAAAAAAACTAAAATAGTCTGGTCCTGCCCTTGAGGAATGGTATTACATCCTTTCCCTTTTGGATCGGTGTAACAATGCAGTTTGATGGCTTAGAAACCGAGGTTTCTAAACTGATGTATAGACTTATGTACTAGAGTATCCCTTAAACTTAATAAATAAATTTAGCTTACAGAAAAAAGGCAAAGGTTTTGCATTTATCAAGTATCTTAAGGGTTGTTTTGTTTTAGAAGAAAACTATTTCAAATTATATTTTTTTAATCTTATTGTTATTATATTTTTGGTTTTCAAAGAATTTTACAAGAAATAATAAATAAAAATTATTATTATTATTGTATAATTATTTTTAAATAAGAAATAAAAAAATGATGTGAAAATTTTATAACTAAAAATAAAAAAATTATTTAAAACCAAACAGTCCATTAAATTTTTTGTCTCAAAATCCATATTATTTTTCAAAGGTGAGAGATTCTTTTATGATTAAAATAAAAAAATAATTTTAAGTTTTATTAAACAGACTATGATTAGAAATCAAAATAGGTTAGATGGTCCATCAGCATCAGCAACATATAGTTAGAGTCTAAACAACTATCAATCAAAATGACAGGCTACAACAAAGGTTTAAAGAGTAAAACATGAAAAACAAATCATACTTACAAAGGTAGGTCACAAAAAATATATTAAGAAATAAGGAAATTTTTAGTTAATTTAAATTTTATAATTTTAAATTTTTAAAAATAAGTGTTGCCATCATTTAATAATGACATTGCTTTTTCAGATATATGTAATGATTTAATGACAGTAGCGATTAATTTTCAAAATTAATTAATTTTATTGTAAGAATCAACTATAAATAAAGTCATATTTATAAAAAAAATTAAAAATATACAAACCAACAAATAAAATAAATGTTGAAAAAAACATAACGTTCAACTCTTATTATTTAAAAAAATGTTGCATAACAAGGTGTTGAATAACTTCTAAGAATAAAATAAGGTGTATTTTCTTCATTTCAATTAATTCCACTTTCTCTTCCACACTACACAAACCTAAGTCCCAGCTAAACCTTGACAATTGACTTTATTTTTTGTTTAATTTAACTGTAAGAAGAAGCAAAGAGCCATTTATGTTGATTGGTAGCAAACATTTGAAGTGAAATCTTCAAAAACTTCGCTTACTTTTTAGATCTTACTGACCAACTTTTGAACTATGGCTTAAGGTTGAATAGCATCATGCATGAAACGAAGAAACACGCTTTACAAAATAAATAGTTTACTTCTGAGCGTCAACTTGACCGGTTTTTGGTAAGAAATCCTTCAAAAACGGTTCAAATTACACTTTATCTGAGTTAGGCATCTAAACAGATCAAAATATTATTAATTGAAGGCCACCAAAATATCGATTGAAGGTTTCTGACTTTGATTATCAGTCGCGAAAATTTACGTGCAAATTAATGCATGAATACATAAAAATTAATTTGTAAAAAAACTTGATTAGTTAAAGTATTAATGATACAAAGTGTCTGTTTGGCATATATAAGATAAAAGTGAGAGTTAAAAATAAGTCAATTTCTAGGTGCTGAAATTCTTTAAGAGGTGAAATAAAGAAAAAAAATAAAAAATAGAGTAAAAAAAAACTTTCCTTATTTAATCAGTAAAAAAATTTGAAATGATATAATTAATTAAATTATATTAAATAAAAAGTTAAATTTAATTTTTTTTTATCCCTCACTTCTCTCTATTTTCACGGTTTTTATTACTATGAGATACTAATAGATTAACTAGAGTAACTAACATGTTGACTTGTAGAGTTGTAGCTAACTATAGGAATTAAATTAAACTAATTACACATGGGGTTGTGCATGAAGTTATCATCTTCGCGCTGAATTGTTGTCTGCTAACAACATCATTTGAATTTGAAGTTTCGGTGTTTGAATCTGAAGTTTGAATTCAACGGGATTCTGATCAACATGGAATAATAATATAGGCTGTAGGCTTTAATTGGATGCTTTGTCTAAGCTAATTCTTATTTTCCCTCTTTCCTGCTGGCTACGTGTATTTAACGGTATATGTTAAAAATAAATAATTTTTTTATTGAAAAAATATTTATTATCTCAAAATTATAAATAAATTAATATATATTATTTATTATAATTTAAATTATTTAATATAATATATTTATTATTTCATAAAATATGTTTTAGTAGACATTAAAAAATTGCTAAATCAATTTTTCATGATAACTTTTACTTCCACAAGAGTTTGCAGGAAATTTGTGCAAAGTATATAGTAAAATAAAATTGCAATATGTTTATTTTATCAATTTTTTTGTTTCTCCTTAAATATTTTTTTTATATTTTGGTCCTACATTTTCACAAATTTTATTTTTTATTTCTATTATTAGTTCTTTCTATTAGGAAACTATTAAATGTCATTTTTAATTGAATTATGTTAGTGAGAGAGGTAAGAAAAAAAATTGTTTATAGAAACTAAAAACTTGTTTGTTTGTTTTTTAATTTTTTTAAAAAATTTAAATATAAAACTTATTTATTACTATAAGTTTTATTTTTATTTTTAAAAACACAATTTTATTTTTTCTAGGTGCTAGCCAGAATTCTCTGATAGAGACATTGAGGGTTTTTTTGTTTTTTACAAGTGCAATGAATTTGATGGTGGTTGGTTGGAGGATCCTGGCCGTGTTTAGAAATTGAGGTCTTAGCCAAATTTTACGTCGTGTCACAATGTAATTTAATTTATCAATCTTTTTTTTTTTCCTTTCTAATCTCTTGAACTACAAATTTATTAAGTAAAATAATATTTCATTCTACTGTAATTCATTCAATCACTATTTTATAATATAGTAATTAATTTCAAATAAAACATAAACAAAATTAATTTTAAAATTTTTCTTTTTATAATAACAATAATTACAATTTATTTGATAAACGAATTCTAACAATAAAAAATCATGACCATCGATATTATAATGCTCACTGTAACTTTTTTTGAAAGAATATAATTTTTTAAAATTTTCAATTGTTGTAATTCAAATAAAAAAAAGTTTTCATATTCTAAAAATTGATCAAAATAACTCTTAACTTTTAAAATTATAATTTTTTATTTATCAAATAATTCGCATAGTTTATATATTGAAAAATAATATATAAACTTATGTTTTAAAATCGATTGGTAGACACTCAGTGCGCTGAAGTGGAACAACAATTCGTATGCCCCTAGAACAGTTAACATGCTGCATAGGACTCTGTTATTAAACGAGGTAATAATAGTAAATGATAGAAGGACTAACTTACGTTACTTCAATGTAGCTAGTATATGTGTTTCTGGATTAAATTGGTATTAATGCCATTTTCAAATGTTAAAATACCAACATTCAATAAACATGTTACAATTTTTTTAATATTTAAAAATAAAAAAATAAAACATAAATAAACGGGCGTCCAATGTTTGCTCAAACATGCTGGTTCCAATTCTGAAACAACTAATTTAAATAGTAAACCAAGATACATACGTTGAGTCATGCAACTAGTTAGGCATCATTGACTATAGATGCATAGTTCCAAATGCATTGTTACCAAAAGGATGGCAAGTCTTTGCCAAACGTTTTCTTTCCCTTCTGACTATGCCTTCCATCTTCTTTCCATTTTATGTATCTTCTTTGAAATAACCTTCCTAGGGTGGACCTAATTCAAGCTCTACATTATAAACTAAAAGCTCTTAATTAATGGTATCTACGAATATAAAAAGGATATTGATTAAATGGTCCATTGTTATTTTATCTGCCGGAAAAAAAAAAGGATCCTTTTATTTTCTGACCTCATAAATGCTTTTAAGATTTAATATTAATCTGAATGAACACAACGTTTATTACTACACATAATCTAGAAGCGGTGCTAACTATGTTGTCAACACAACCCTTGTGTCTCTAACTCTGAAGGATAAATGATACCCCGGCTCTTTTCTATATTCTAATAATAAATACTATTTTTTTTTCACTCACTTTACACCTTAGGAGAAAATTGAAAGCTTAGAAAAAAGGAAAAAAAATAATATATGAATTAATTAAGAAGCAATTTGATGAAAATAGGAGAAAAAAATGTACAAAATATATGTTAAAAAAAAGTGTTAATAGCATACTCTAATATATTGTTCTAAATTTTTTATTATTATTATAGTTGAAATTTATTAAATTATGAATGTGACTTCTTGCATAAAAAAATAATTTTTATATAATTTTTTTATGTCTTAGTAACTTATAGGCTAATAATATGGGTGTATTTAAAAATATACATTAAAAACGTGTTACTAATATTTTTTTAGTATAAAATTTGGGATCAAGTTATAGTAAATACTAAATAAATACACTTGGAGAACAATAATGATTGTTTCATTTGTGTCTCTTCAACTTTACTTTTTTTTTTTTTTATATTGTATTATCTATTATATTTTAGAGCCTCTACGAAGGTGTAGAAAAACCACAACTCATTTATTAAGCATACTATTGAATAATATATTATTGATCGTCCCACCTAAAGTCAACATTTTTTCATAACAGTTGTATCAAGTAAAAATTAATTTGATATTTTTTAAGTTATAGGAACAGAGTTATTAGATAATGGAAAGAGATTAATTTTTTTTTGGGGTAATATTTTAGTGTTATTCTTTTATTCAAAATAATTCAGATTTTTGTAATATTCTAGATGAAGTTTAAGATTTTTTTTCCGTATTTATAGTTTTCATTTATAAATAATAATGATTTTGATATTAACTTTTATTGCTACATACAGGTGGATAACCTTTTATGAGTGACTTCTAAAATAAACAACTCTTCATACATTGCCGTTAAAGCTGGCCTAAGATGAAAATCTAATTAAGAACATCAAAATTAACTTACTCCACCAACATAATTTAATATAAATATATATTTTATAATTTTTCATCTCTTTTAATCTTATCATTTATCTGGTATTTTCTTTCTGTTTCTTTCTCAATTCTTACAGGAAAAAAAGAAAAAGAAAAAGGGATAATTAAACATTAGTTTAAATCATTTTTTCTAATCCGTACGTTACCCTCTCTACGTTGAAATTCACAAAGCCTTTGCATTATTGCAGTTGCAGTTAGCAGCCAACCCAACAATATGCATATGGAAAAAATATAATTTGACACTTCTTTTTTAAGTGTGATACGTGAGTGAAGGAAAGAAAAAAAGGGGAAAATAATTAATAATACAATAAAAAGATTAAAAAAATGAAGTAAAAAAAATTTATGTGAATATATATATATATATATATATAGAGAGAGAGAGAGAGAAAAGAAAAGAAAGTGTACTGTCGTTTCATATCACTACTCTTATTTAAGAAATTTGGTCTAAAACATGATATTTTTATCTTGGTTAAGAAAACCAATAATGAAACATTTCAAATATAACTTTTTTAATAGAAGTGACAATAAACTTACAGAAGTGGTATGTGTAAAACGTAAACCCATAAAGGAATCTTTGATTTGAAAAACCTCCTTTTTCCCCCCTATAAATTGCAAGTGATGGAACACAATTTCCCACACACTCAGCTCATGCAAACCAACAAACTCTTGCTCTATCGAATCCCAATGGCCTACAACTTACGTAATTCCCTCCCAACAATATCAACCTTTCTCATTCTTCTCATACACTCATTCACCTCTCTAACTATCGCAGACATCGCTCCCACTACTTCCACCTCTTCAGGAACCATATGCAATTACACCCCAGACCCATCTTACTGCAACTCTGTTCTTCCTCACCATAACGGAAATGTTTACGATTATGGCCGTTTCTCCGTTAAACAATCATTGTCACAAGCCACCAATTTTTTGAACTTAGTTAACAAATATCTTCAAACCCGTTCCACTCTTTCCCCGGCCGTAATCCTCGCCCTCGAAGATTGCCAAACCCTTGCCGAACTCAACTTAGATTTCCTTTCAACTTCCTTCCTAACAGTGAACAAAGCAACTAGTTTCCTACACACTTCACAAGCTGAAGACATTCAAACCCTCCTTAGTGCCATTCTAACCAACCAACAGACCTGCTTGGAAGGTCTTCAAGCCACTGCTTCATCATGGAGCGTCAAAAACGGACTCTCCATTCCACTCTCTAACGACACTAAACTCTACAGCGTCTCTTTAGCACTCTTTACAAAAGGGTGGGTTCCCAACAACAAAACCACCGTCAACACTCAGCCAAGTGCCAAACAACTCGGGTTTCGAAACGGGCGTTTGCCGCTTAAGATGTCACGCAAGACTCGCACGATCTACGAGTCGGTGAGTCGGAGAAAGCTCCTTCAGGATAAAGTGGGTGACGAGGTTGTGGTGAAGGACATCGTGACGGTGAAGAAAGATGGAAGTGGAAACTTCACCACCATCAACGACGCCATCGCTGCAGCGCCGAACAAGTCTTTGTCGTCGGGTGGGTACTTCTTGATCTATGTGAGTGCAGGTGTTTATGAGGAAACCGTGTCCATTGATAAGAAAAAGACGTACTTGATGATGGTTGGAGATGGCATCAACAAGACAATTATTACAGGGAGTCGCAGTGTTTCTGATGGCTGGACAACTTTCAAGTCAGCAACCTTCGGTACGTACTTTCCAGTCAGTGGTAAAACAGTCAACATAAAAAAAAATTCAAATATTTAAATTAATAATTCAATAAAACTGCATATATTTTAATTTACAACATTCTTTTTTTAAAATAAATAAATTTTAACAATGATATGTGATTTTTAACGCAATATTATTTATGGTAAATAATATTTGATCACTGTTTCAAAGTTCTCACCACTTTTTTTTATTAATATTTCTTAGGGTGTAAATATTGGAGGTAAAACTAAAAGAAAAAAGGTTGATAAATATGATGAGTGATGTGATAAAAATAATAATAATAAATGAATAATGTTAAATATATAATAATATTATTGAAGAGTCAATAATTCAAAAATATTTTTTAAACCCTTTTTTAGCTTAAAAAATATTAAAAGAATGTGTTCTTTTATTTTTAAAATAAAATATATATAAAAGTATCGTTATGAAAATGGTTTAAATTTAATATTATTACTTTTATTTTCAATTTTTTCATAATTATTTCAGAAAAAAATATGCTTTGACACATTTTACCAGGATATTAAGTAGGCAGAACAAAGAGAAAAGTAAAAAGAAAAGAAAGAATAAGGAAAAAAGGAACAAGAAATATTATTTTTTATTTTTATAAAAATAATTATAAATATTTAATATTTTAATTATGAGAAATAATAGTTCATTGTCGGATACATTAATTATTAATTTTTATATTTTCATTTATTATAAAATTTCTATTAAAAATACTTATTTATTATTTATATTAGTAGATATATTTATTTATCTTTATTGTATTATTTCACTTTTTTTTTTTTATGTTTCTCTTTTTCCATCTCATGCAACCCATGACAAACAACAGTACTCTTCCTTTTTACATGACTTTTAAGAAAAAGAGATAGGCCCTCCACCTTCACAAATAATGTAGCTTCAAGTTTACGAAAAACATTATGGAAGTAGCCACCTTCTAGTTCGACAATGCATGGATATAATTAATTAGCCATAACCACTGATATGATAATGTCTCATATATATACACTTTTGCAGCGGTGGTTGGCGCTGGATTCGTGGGTGTCAACATGACCATCCGTAACACAGCGGGACCCTCGAAGCACCAAGCAGTAGCACTTCGAAACGGGGCAGATTTATCCACATTTTACAGCTGCAGCTTCGAGGGGTACCAAGACACGCTCTACGCCCATTCTCTGCGACAATTCTACAGAGAATGTGACATCTACGGCACTGTAGATTTCATATTTGGAAACGCTGCTGCAGTGTTCCAAAACTGCAACCTCTATCCTCGCCTTCCAATGAGTGGCCAATTCAACGCCATCACCGCACAAGGCCGAACCGATCCGAACCAAAACACCGGCACTTCCATCCACAACTGTACTATTAGAGCTGCCGGTGATTTGGCCGCAAGCATTGGGTCGGCTTCAACTTATCTGGGAAGGCCTTGGAAAAACTACTCTAGAACCGTTTATATGCAAAACTTTATGGACAGTTTCATTGATGCTGCTGGGTGGCGTGAATGGGACGGTGATTTTGCTTTGAACACTTTGTACTATGCAGAGTTTGATAACTGGGGACCTGGTTCTAACACCACTGAGAGAGTGACGTGGCCCGGTTACCACCTCATTAATGCCACTGATGCCGCTAATTTTACTGTCTCTAACTTCTTGCTTGGAAATGATTGGTTGCCACAAACTGGAGTGGCTTACGCCGGTAACTTGATATAGATTCAGCCAATATTCTATTTGTTACTATTTTTTTGTTTTACTTTCCTCTACTATTATTTTTTTCTTTCATGAAATAAGCAGGGGATTCAGTAAATGATCCCTGCAATACTCCAGTTGTAAACTGTATTGTTTGAATTGTTATCATGTAATTATTCGAGCAAATATTATATATATTAAATATGGGATCAAAGAAAAATTTATCCTGAAAATTAAAAATATAACAGGATTTATTTTTCATGGACAAATATCATTATTAATTTCACTGTTGTCTTCTTAAACAATGTGTTTCACCAACCCATCATGAAATGGCCGTGGATTTTATTTTTATTGCAATGAGCTCAGGCCCATACTTCAATGGGCTTTTCAAATTACGATGATATTTGTTTTAAGGCCCATTCCGTAAGGCTTGGTAACTTTGTAGAACAACTAAAAGACTCATCCAAGCGTCCCTGTTGCTATCACTCAAGCGATGCATTCATTTAACAGGTTATTTCTACACTGGAATCCATACTACTACTTCTTCTGCCTATTTTATTTTACATCAAAATTACAACCAAATCTTAGCTCTTCTGCTTTTTTCATAAATGGAGAAATATTTATTATACAATAAATTTGTATATTTTATTTTATAAAATAAAGAAAAAATAAAAAGTGAAAAGAGAAAAAGAAACAAGTGCTTCTTTGTTTCCATATTACGTGAATGTAAAAGAAATAAAATAAAATTAACGATTTGTTATTTTCAAGTACGAGGCATGATGATACGTGTGAAAATGCTTCTTCTTCTTCTTCTTTTTTCAGAGAGTCAATTTTATTATCCACCAACTTAAAACAATAAAAGTATAACTGACGTACTGTAAATAAAATTTTGATATAGTAAAAAATTGTCCTAAATATTATAATTGCAAAAAGTTATAGGCGAAAAAGAAGATATTTTTTTCTATACGAGGCAGAGGCAACGCCAAACAAAGAAAACGCCACCTTTCGTCGGCAGCACTAGGCACCACTAAAACACCAACTACCCCTACGAATCTCAAACGGGTCGATGACCTGAATCCGAATCCGAGTCTCTGAGCCTCCCAACTTCCAGCTCCACTATTACTTCTCCCATCTCCAAGGACTTCCTCGGGCACCCAATCGGTGCAGGAAAAGAATAAAAACCCACCGGACCCGGTTCAACCCGATAAGGTTGGACCGGTTCGGCGCGTGGGTGAACCAGAGTTCGGCAAAGTGGACAGTTAGAGTGAGAGTGGAACCATGTGTCGATGCAATGGGTGTGGAAAGCGTGGTTACAATTCGGAAGAATACGGCCTTGTTCGCCGTTAACAAACTCCGTCAAGCAAACAGCGCAGTCATTGAGAGAACGGTGGATGTCGGAGGAGTAAGTGAAGGTGGGGAGGGAGTTGAGAAGGTTTCGTTGAAGAGCCTCTTTAAACGCGACGGAGGAATCAGTTCGAACACCGTGATGGTGATGGCGGCGGCGACGGAAGCATGAGTGGCGGAAGGTGTGAATGAAAATGATTATTATTACTATTAGGAAGAGAAGGATGGCTGAGCCAAGAATGACCTTGCCATTGTTAGCGTACTTTTCTTGAGTTTGTGGATCCATTAAAATGAGAGAGATTAACAGTAACGGGTGAGTGATGTTGATGAAACAGTGGATGAGATGGGAGGGAGAAAGGTAATGTAAGAAGAGCCTAAGAGGAAGGTTCCTATCCTGTTACTGCAACCCATGAAATTTCTGCAAAGCTTTAGTATTTGTTGCTATACATTTATTTCTTTTATTTCGGCTGCAATACGTTTATCTTTATTTGGATCAAATCCATCTTTGTGGAACAATCGATAACTTGCAACGTTTTACCTTAACTCCCAAAGCAAACAGCATAATATTTTTCTAGCTTTTAAATATCCTTTTTCTAATTTCACCTCAAATTGCAAATGCTTATCAGCCACACGCAATGCCTTTATATTATGAATATGTATTATGTCATGTTATATTTATAAAAGTTCAGATTACATTTGGTAAGCAGGTGGTAGAGATGAAAATGGGATTATATTCATTAGATTTCCATACTGGATAGGATAAATTACCACTTAACGTATCTTAAGTTTTGGATTTTTCTCTGTATATTATGAGTATGAACGTAATTAAAAATTCAAATTATTTTAATTTTGTGCATATATTGTGTTATAATTTAGAATTTTATCATGTCTTATTTTACTTTAACTAAATAATTTTATTTGTAATTTCAAAAATAATCATGACTTTTTAAACAAAATATATGTTATTTGCATCGTTTCTTTAATAAAAATAAATACTTGGAAATATTTATCACCGCAATTCATTGTACGAAAAAAATCATGCATGCTACGCGTGTGATTACCAACTTTGTGTAAAAAAAATGGTAGAGAAAGAGAAATTTCAAATACTAGTGGTTTATTGAGTTCAAAGTCACAAAATCAACACTCGAATAGATATATTTTTATTTAATTTCAAGCTTCATCCTTCTGAATTGATATTTATTTAATTTTAGTTTTTTAATTTTAATTATATAACTTTATTGTTTTTTATTTTTATTTTTATAAAATTTTACACATGGTATCTTGTTATTCAAATTTTAATAGAGTAGTGGGTTGGCTATCGAGTTTCTCCCCATTTAACATAAAATATTGTCTCTTGATAATGTGCCCCAAATATGAGAATGATATTTTGTTTCTTTATGTTGTTATTGATTTTATTTTCAGTAAATCTCACTTGGTATTTATTTTAGACATAAACATATTAGTATAATTAACAATAAAATAAACATAGAAACTTGAATATAATTAACATGAGCTAAAAATTTAGTGAGTTGAAAGAGTAAAATTGAATAAATTAGAGAAACTACAACCAAATAATTATTAGGCAAAAGGCTACAATTAAATAAGTAGCAAATTCGGATGAGTAAAGTTGTAATTAAGCAAATTTTCGTGTGATTTATATTCAAATATGTTAATTAAATGAACTAACTCGTTTGTTTGATTTTTCAGATTCATTGCATTACTTCAAACCAATCAATGTCGTCAATTTTAATTCACTTTTATCTTTTTTAATTGTTGAAGAATTATCAGCTTAGAGTATAAAAGCAGGTACAATAATTGCTTTTATTATATTATTATTGTCACGTTTACTTTTCTTCTGACCTTTCGACCTTTCGGACGATATGATTTGTCTTTTCATATCTAATTTCTTCCTTTTTATTTTAACACTGTGTGTTCTTACTCATTAGAAGAAACAAAATGTTACTGCACGTGAAAAGGTTCATATGATTTTCTATTATTTCACTTTATTCTTATTCTTTTACCTATACCGTTAAAAACTGTGTTCATGATCACCAGACCACATTAGCTCATTTTGTTTTGAAACAAAAATTCAATCAAGAGAATAAACTATTATTTCATGGTAATAATGCATGTGTATAAAGACTAGTGACACAAATAAAGATACATGAGAACGAAAGACAATTCGATTAGTCCACAGTTTGCTTTCGAAAAGCGAAACAGCATGTGAACATTATCAACTGCATGGAATTGGCCCTTCACAGGACTTAAATTGCATTCCAAATATCATGCATGGATCCCATCCCACTTTTATAACAGGGAAAAAAACCTACTTTAATTGGAATTGAACATCGAAGTTGAGTTTTTTCTAATATGAAATGACTAGGTGGAACAAGTCACTGTAAAAAATATATCATTTACCAATACTTCATATATGAACCTTTGTTAGTATACTTTTTTTAACAAAAATTAAAGTGTTAATATAGATATTTTAAGTTTATACTAACTAGGGGTGTTCATGGATTGAATTTTCAAAAAATCAATCTAAATCCATTTAAAATCCAATTATATGGATTGGATTATAAACCAATCAATTTTAATTTTTCTAAAACTGGTTTAAATTTAGTTTTAAAATTTGAATTTGGTTTAAAACTGATTTTAAACTGTTTTTACATATAGTAAAAATATACCATAATTATTAAATTATTATATTAAAATATTTAAATAAATAATATAACATTATATATATATATATATATATGTTAAGCATCAACATTTATCAAAGATAAAATATGAATATAAATAGTACTATAACCCATTACATTAACAATACATGTTAAGAGAGTATTTACATATATTTTAATTTCTTAATAATATTTTTTAATTTTATATTTTACTAAAATAATAAATGTTTAGATATATTGTACTTTATATCATCTATCCATCACACAAATTAATTATATGAGTTAAATTTTAAATTATTTTATTTTATTTTTTTAATCGGTTCAAAAATAGTTTTAAAATTTAAATTTAGTTTAAAATTGATTTTAAATTTAGTTTCTGTTGAAACTAGTTTCAAATTTGGTTTTACGTTGAATTAATTTTAAATCTAATTTTAAATTTAATTTTTAACGCAAAATTGATTTTCAATATATTTGTGAAATTATATTTTTAAGGTAAAACTAATTTATTGTACAAATGTTACATTAAAATATTTCATTTCAAAAATATTTTAACAATATTTATTAATATATTATATTTTATAGAAGTATATAAAATATTTATTATTATTTTTAACTTATTTTTAAGAAATGGAGTTTATAATAAAAATTTAAATTAAAACCTATAAAAATAAAAATTAATAATATAAATAATAATAAAATTTTTATGTTATAATATTTTAAAAATTAAAAAATAAACATAAATATAAAAATAACAGTAGTAACTAATTTAAAAATATTTGTTATATTTTAATATTTTTAAATATTTTAATTATAAAAATTAAGATTAATAAAAAAATAGTAATAGTAAAATATAGTTACAATAAAATTTTGTAAATTAATATAACGCAAAAATTTAGTAAATAAAAATATAAGGTTGCTTCATACATATGGATTTAGATAACTAAAAATAAATTCAGTTTTAGAAAATGGATTTAGACACTAAACTAGTTATACAAATATAGTTAATAAAAAAACTGGTTTAATATGGATCTAGATTTTTAAAATTAATTTGACATTGGTTATGGATTGAATTAATGAAATTGGATTTTTTGACCACCCCTAATACTAACAATATAATATACTATACAACAAATAATTTTAGTAAATAAAATATTTATATATACACCATCAATATATAGAAGATTACTATAATGTATAATTTGTCATTATTAATCATTAATAAATGACAATCTTGTAATGAAATTTAATATAGAAAGCACGAACTCAATTCCAACACTAACAACAAATAAATCCTTTCATAATCGTACTTATAAACATGATTTCTTGTAGTTTCATTTTTATTTATAAATTTTCAGGATCATTTTTCTTCTCCGTCCTGCTAACTTTACAGATAAATTTTCATGGGACAAATCATACCTTCATTGTCTTATACTCTTACAGGACTTTTATATTCGTACAATGTGATGTGCTTGGTAAAGTTCACACGATGAGGTTGTAATTGTTAAACATAAACATTTGCATTGTTTTAATCCTCGTAAATATTTTATAAACCATGGGAAAATTGAAGAGCAACATGAGTGTTAAGGGTAAATGGCCATCTTTGTTTTTTTTTTTTTTTTTTTTGCCAATGCCATTTTTGTTGTTTGGTCAGTCACAGTAGATTTGTCTATAGGTAGTTATCTATTTAGAACTCAACTTATTAAACCTATGTTTATTTTACATATTATTATTAATATTTATCTACTAACCAAGTGAACCAGACACCTAATTTAATTATATAAAATTATACGAATTCAGACAACAAGAGGCACCAGTGGTCTAGTGGTAGAATAGTACCCTGCCACGGTACAGACCCGGGTTCGATTCCCGGCTGGTGCATACGGAGCTATGACGAAAGTCGTGTGATTGATGGGTCAATCACTTGCATCTAACGGATGAAAAAGACGCATCTGAGTTCCTTTTTCTACAATCTCACACTATATTTTATGTCACAGAATCAATACTCGAATTAATATGTTTTTTATTTAATTACAATTTTGATCCTAGTAATTTATGATTTATTATATTTTTATTTTTATTATATAATTTTAGTTTTTTTTTAGGTTTTTGTTTAATTTTACATAGGTTACCTTGTCATTCAAATTTTAATAAAATATCGACTTCACTATCAATTGTATAAACTAGTTTCTCTTCGTTTAATTGAAATATTGTCTCTAGAAAATGTGTACCAATTATGAGGTTGATATTTTGTTTTCTAATCTTTATTTTAAAATACTCTTTGTTTCTCTATATTGTTATTATTATTTTTTTCAATGAATATCACAGTATTTTTTTTAGACATAAATACACAAGTATATTAGTTCAATTAAGAATAGAATAAACACAAACACTTTGATATAAATATCAATCAGGTAATTATTAGGCAAAGTACTAAAATTAAAGAAGACTAAAGTTGTAACTAAGCAAAGTTTTTGTTTGATTTTTCAGATTCATTGCATTATAACCTATCAATGTCATCAAATTCGTTTGTATAGGAGTAATAATTGATTCTAGCCTAAAAAAAAAGAGTGAATGTCAGTACTTTTTTTTTGGTCATTAGAATGTCAGAAACTTTTTGTCAAAGAATATAAGTAATTCAAATGTTGTAGTTTGGCACTTGGGCTGAGCCTGGGCCATGAGTAAATCAGTATTGACATAAACCAAAGATTTGGACCCAAAAAAAAAAGCCCAGATATAGTTTTTCAGTCCGTGAGAGTTCCAGCACCATAAAATTGTGTTTGCCAAATAGGAATGACATGTCGCTATCTTACTCGCTTCCAAACACAGAGGTAGATGAAATTTTTAATGTGATTGAATTGATGTATGTACGATGACATTAAAGATTAAATTAACAGACGATTGATAAAGTAAAAAATTATATTTGTTTTTTCCGTATTGTTCAGAATTAAATTAACCGTTAATATTAACAAGATTGGTTTTTTTTTTTTTCTATTGTTAAAAATAAATTGACTTATAGTATCAATTTTTGAGGATTAAATTAATATCTTGCTTTAACGTTTATTCACTTTCGACCCCTCTCTTAGTTATTTTCTGGATCCACCAATTCTGAATAAAAATATACAAATGTGAAATTTAAAAGTTTGTGAATGTAATGAACAGTTATCCAAGTAAAATTGATTCATTTTTCGTTTTCAATAAATAATTTTAATAAGTATATATGGGTGTATGTTTGCTATTACTTTGATACAAATGATTTATTAAACTTATGAATATTTTATAAAAAACCATTAAATAAAACATATATTCAATATTTTTATAACTGTCTTCCCTGAGAAGAGTCAGCGTTTTCTCACGTGCCGCGCGAGTTCCACGCACTCTTTGAATAATATTAATCCTTAGATGCCACTCTGTTGAATACCCAAAAACAAAATAATTAATTAATATTGTTAGAAGTGGAGCCAGAAAACTAAATACCATTACTATAATAGAGTGGCATTTAATTAAAATAATATATGAAATAATCATTTTTGTAAGAAATAAAAGAAAATTTCTAGGACAGACTGGTATTTAATTAAAATAACAATAATAATAATAATAATTTAAAAAACTTGAATAATAACAATCGTGGAAAAAAACAAAGTGGTCTCTGATAGTCCCGTTACATTGTTTATAATATTATTTATTTTTATTTAACCTTTGGTACCAAAGCTCAGCCTAAGAATCTGCCCCTATATCAAATTATCAATCATATTGTCCAACCACAAAAAAAGAAGGCAAAATTTCTGGGCGTGTGCGTACTTTCTGGTTCCTTACGATGTTGTCTTCTATTAGATTCGTGTGGATCCTGGTGGTGTGTGCGACAGTAACATGCGCGTTGAGCCGGAGCCTGAGCCAAACACAGAAGTTGTCAGCATATGATGTTCTGGAGGAGTATGGTTTCCCAGTGGGTCTTCTTCCCAAAGGTGCCATAGGGTATGCGCTGAACAGAGAGACGGGGGAGTTTGCAGTGTATTTTGAGGAAACTTGCACTTTCGACATAGAGTCCTACAAGCTCAAATACAAATCCACCGTCACTGGAGTTATCTCCAAGGGTAGGCTCTACAATCTCAAGGGTGTCACCGTCAAGGTTTTGGTCTTGTGGCTCAACATCATCGAAGTCACTGTTAGGGGTGATGATCTCGAATTCTCTGTTGGAATTGCTTCTGCGAACTTTGGGATCGACAACTTCTACGAGAGCCCCCAGTGTGGATGTGGTTTCGACTGCAACAAACTTTCTTTAAACGGTGACGTTTCCTCCATTTAATTAGCTTTTTGTATGATTCAAAATTTGCGAACACATTATTGGGTCTCTCTTGCAGAGTGTAGATCTATCTATCCCCTTTATGCTCTTATTTTAAAATTAATGGTTAGTGTAGTTTAATGAGGGCTTTGTTTTGTTTCCCCTCACATGAATTAGAGCTTTTGGTCCTTTGCAGTACCTATTGCCTGAAAATCCGGACAAATGTCACTGTAATTGCCTCACTCTATTATTGTCTTGCTGTAATATCCATTGTGATCATTGGACATATCGTTATTTTATTTGTTTTTCATTTTGTCTTTTTGGTTCAAAAAGTAAAGCAAGCATATAATATCATAATAGTAATATGAAACTGTAATTTGCTCCATAAATTCTTTAGAAGACGTGTTAATTGTAGAGCGTTGTTTTGTGTTCATGTGAAGTGCTTTTTGTTTTGATTGTAAACTTATCCCATTTTTTGACATTTCTAGTTGGATTACTGAGTACTGGATTGAAGGGTAATCATCAATCTATGTTCTGTATGAGGAGGGTATTGTCCAATATTGAAATTAATTGGGTAGCAATTAGTTGAGATATTTAATAGAATGGTTGATAAACACACCCCCACACCAGACGGAATCAACCGAAACCAAAGGTGTTAGTCAACTAATGGGTTAGGGTCAACACTGATTTCCTTCTTTTACACGCGTACACTGGAATTCACTCCACTAGTTTGGTTGGAAAATGCGGTGGAGAATGATGGAAATTTATTATCTACCATTCTCCTTTTTTGTTAAAATTTATTAAATTTACATAATTTTTACTAATAAATAAAAATATTTTAAAAAGAGGACGTGGGACTTATAAAAACCGCAATATTGTATCAAACAGTCAAACACCCCCAATTTCGGTCACTCACGAACACTACTCACCGAGAAAAAATGGGTATCGATTTTCAATCAAAACCCACATTCCCAATACCAATAGTAGGGTCCATCCTCTTCTTGTTGATCTTCTCCGCAATCACATCAGCCTCTCGAGAAAACACGACAACCTTAACTGCATATGATGTCCTCCAACAATACGACTTCCCAGTTGGGCTTCTTCCCAAAGGCGTGGTTGGGTACGAATTGGATAGCTCCACTGGCAAATTCAAAGCGTATCTAGAAGATGCTTGCACGTTTTCAATCGAATCTTACGAGTTGAAATACAAGTCCACTATAACGGGTGTCATCAGGAAGGACAAGATCTCCAACTTAGAAGGAATCGAAGTGAAGGTGTTCTTTCTGTGGCTAAACATTGTGACGGTCACTCGCGACGAGGGTGAGCTTCAATTCTCCGTTGGGATCGCTTCTGCGGATTTCGCGGTTAGTAACTTCTATGAGAGCCCCACTTGTGGTTGTGGCTTTGACTGTTTTAATGATTTTGTGCAATCTTCTTAATCAGCCGTGTTAAACCTGCTTCATTAGGTGATGCTAATTAGAGCCGTAACAACAAAAAGTAAGATTGTTAGGGTTATGATTTAATAATCTACTCGTTCTTGTATTAATAAGATTTTTTTGGCCATTATGTTAGTGGTGTCTTTTAAGTTTTAATTGCCAGGATATAATCGAACCTACTCTTGGTTGTTGTATGGTTTGTAATGTTCTGCAATTTTGTTGTCCCCCCCGGCAAAGATTGTGTAAAATTGTTTTACCAATAATAAGCTATGAAATTAGTGCTCGTAATTATGAGTTGTGCATTCAAGAATTTAAAAATTATGTATATCTTTGTAAAAAAAATTATGCATTCTAGTCTTAGTTTACTTCAGCTTTTTACTCTAAAATGGATTCCAATCAATGTTGTTTTGCTAAGCCAGAAATGCATGATCCATATGCAATCTCGAGGATTAATATAAAGATTTATGCAATCTATTGCACACACTGATTTAAGTGTTGAGTTAAATTCTGCCTTAATAAGAAAGAGTATCAGGTTTAAGTATTTTGAACTGAGAAAGTAGGTATTGGAAGTGTTCTATCTCTTCGACTAAATTCTCTTGAATCAATTCAAATTAACAAGAGTCTAATATAATATCTACATGACGAAAGTCTTTAAAAAACCAAATTATTTTAAAGAGAAAAAATAAGGAGTTACATGTCTCCTGAAAGCTTGAGTAGTTCCTTGGGTTTGCTCAAATCATCTCTGCGTTGCAGAAATCACAGTCATGGTTCCCAGATTCTTTGATTTAAGGAGAAAGGAATGCTGGGTTTTATGATTGTGTTTGTTTCTGATTTCCATTCGAATGAATATGTAGAAGATAAAACAGATTTCATGATTGAAAATGTGAATTCTGTGTCAGCAGAATGAGATTTTTTTTATTTTTTTTCAGTCAATGGGTGATGTGAGATTGAATCATGCTTACAGGCGTAGTATATCTTTCTGTGTGCACCCAAAATAATGAAACAGATAGCATGGAAAATTGTAATAAACAATTTGAGTTTTGAAAAAGAAAATCACGGATGTGATAAAATGTTTGACAAAAAAAATTGTATATAAGATGGGGCAATATTTTCAATCAATTAACATTTTTGAAAATTGTACTTGGGTTTTTTTTATTTAGTTAAAATTGTATTATTCTTTATTTGGATTACACATTTTTTTTACATGGTATTTGGTTAAAAAATATGAAGAGAAAAGGGAATGGGAGATATTTTTATAATTTTTTTTTAATGTTTGGTTCAATATTTTAAAGGGTAAGAGAGGAGAAGCCAATGAGCTAAAAATGTTTTCACTCAATTTTAATTCCTTTCAAAAGCGGTAAGATTTGAAGGGGACAAAAATTTAGACTAAATTGATAAAATTATTCTTAACTCTATATAATAGTAATTTTAGATTAATTATAATAGTAATTTTTTAAATATGTTCTCTCCTCTCCTCATGAACGATTTAACATATTTTCCGTCTATTCAATTTATTTTCCTCCCCTCCCCTCCTTTCTACTAAGATCCGTCCCTCTTTTGACCCAATAATGCATTAAAAAACTGTTTCGCAGTATAAGAAATAACCTGTAAATAATGTTTTCCTTTTTAGTATGGAAATCCTTTTTTTTAGAACAAATGAAGAAATATCGAAAATTATAGAATATATTTAAGTTTATTAATATTTATACATGCAAAGAAATAAGGTGTATTATGAGAGACATTAAACTATTTAAAGTTATCATTGTATCTAAATTAATAAAATTACTCAATTGACTGAATAAACAAATTCAATTATGACACAATAACAATTATAATTTTTTATTGATCTCTATTTAAAAAGTTTTAAAATTTTAATGGACAAATTTTATATCATTTTTATATATAAGTTATTTTACAAAATTTACGAAATATTAAATAAATTTTCAACGTCTGTTGTCCTCGTATTATTATTATTTTTGTTTAAAATAATATATACATTTCAAGGAATGCAGTAGTATTGCATCAATTAATATGATAAAAATCATTCTTTGATTGAAAAATATTTGCTTAAAAAACAAAGTAAAAAAAGTAAATTAATTCAACACTTAAATGAGATAATAACAAATAAATATATCTAAAAAAACAATTAACACATTATTAATATTTAATATTAAATATTTTAAAATAAACCAATATTTTAAAGCATCAGCTAATTTGGAATGGGAAGAATAAAAATCATATTTAACGACTCTATATTTGTTAATAAGTTTTTCTTATAACGGTAGCTATACCATATTTTTCTAAAATAATTATGGAAGCATGAAAAGAATAATAAAAATAGAAAATATCAAAATATGTAAAAAAAATTAAAGGATGAAGAAAATTAATTATAATTATGAAATTTTAAATAAAAAATAAAATATACTAATTTTTCTTAATTTGTGTTGATTAGTTAAAAGTAATTTTAAAAAAGTGATTATACATCGTCCAAATCTAAATAGTAAATGGGGGCACGAGTAAAAAAAGACAAGAAGTTGAGAATTGGGGAGGAATAAATAGACTAAACCCTTATTTTAGTTTTTGAGAGAGTTTATATCTTGCATTTTACTCTCTAAAAAATTTTAAAATGTTAGTTAGTCCCTACTTTTATTTTTGTTGGACATTTAAGTCTCTAAACTCAAACACCGTTAATAAATAGTAATAAAATATTAACATATCACGTTAAGTAACATGTGTCGTTGCTTACGTGACAAAACGATACTAATGTGTCACGTTAAATGACACGTGTCATTGATTATGTAGCAAAAACGACTTTGTATGTGATATAGTATATGTTTTTGTTTTATTTTTGTCCTTAAAATTATAACTTATCAAGCATTTTAGTTCCTGAGATTGTTACCAACAAGCATTTTAGTTCCTAAGAGAAAAAGAGAATAATGGTGATGGATGTTCTATTGAAAGAGGATCTGGTAGAAGAAACAATAAAGAAAGTTCATGTAGAGTTGCATTTGTAAGATAATTAGTGTTTTTGCAAGAATTAGGAAGGACGGGAAGAGGGATTGTAGTTCTTGTACTTGTCAAATGACAAAAAAACCATGCTGAAACATTTATCGTTGTCTTAACTCATTATAAATTGCAACACCATCAAAACTAGTCGTTGTTGTTCACAACCCAATCATCATCTTTAAGTCACATCCAACAACTTCATCACTTATAACTCAAGATTTTGTGTTCAAGTGAAACTCAAATAATGGATATGAATGCATGCATATATTTAAAGGAAAATTACAAAAAAAAAGAGTGTGTAAACAAATTCTCACAAGAAGAAGCTAAAGAAAATATGAAGGAAAGTTATGAAGATGCAAGCAAAACAAACTCATAAAGCAACAATTAATAATCTCATGGACTAAAATGCTTGTTGTAATAATATTAAATTTTTAGGAACTAAAATACTTATTAGTAATAATTTTAAGGACTAAAATATTTGTCAGTGACAATTTCAATGACTAAAATGTCTAACGAATTATAATCTTAAAAGATTAAAATGAAACAAAAATATACATTATACCATATACAACATTAATTTTGATATGTAATCAATAACACGAGACATGTCAACATCGTTTTGACATACAAGTAATAACACATGTCGCTAAATATAACATGTAAATATTCTGTTACTGTCGATTAATGACATTTAGATTTAAAAACTTAAATATCCAAAAAAATAAAAATTAAAGAACAACGTGATATTTTTAATTTTTTTAAAATTAAAATTAATGAGGTTTAGTTTAACAAATAAAAGCCATCAATGCTATTATGTCCCCACGTGGCCCGCCAATCATAAACAATCCTTCTGACTATAAAACGCTGACGTTTTGGTCACTACAAATGAAGAAGCCACAGTCCCAAACCCTAACGATTCATCAAATTTCAATTAATTTCCAATAACAGAGCGAGAGGATGTCATTCTACACCACCGTCATCCTCCTCTTCCTCCTCTCGCCGTCGATCGTCACCGCCGCTGCTCCGTCGGCCTACGAAGTTCTTGAGGGCTTTCACTTTCCGGAAGGCCTTCTCCCCAAGGGAGTCATCAGCTATGAATTGGACCGATCCAGCGGCAAATTCCGCATCGATTTCAACACTTCATGCAGTTTCTCCCTCGAGGGTTCCTACCAGTTGCGTTACCAATCGTCCATCACCGGCTTCATTTCCGACGGCAGGCTTACCGAACTCCGGGGAATAAGCGTGAAGGTTCTCTTTTTCTGGCTCAACATTCTCGAGGTTAATCGGATCGACGATGATCTTGAGTTCTCCGTCGGCGTCGCTTCCGCCTCTTTTTCATTGGATAACTTCTTCGTTTCCCCTCAGTGCGGTTGCGGTTTGGATTGCAATGATATCCGAATAAGGAAACTCAATTTGGGGAACCCTTCCCTTTCCTCTGTGTAGAAATTCAATTCAATTAATTTCTCCGCTCTGTATTTCTCATACCAATTATCATGATTTGTGGACGCTTGTAAGATATTTGTTGTTGCATGTTAGTATCCACCATGTGTGATATTATAATATAAGATATTATATTTGTACCGAAGGGAGAGATGAGTATCCGGAAAATTGCGAAATGCAATCTAATTTAGGGGTTTTTGCCATTGGAAGGGCGGTGTTACTGGATTTGTGCCCCAGAAGTCTGAATAATAATAACAATAATAAAATATGCTTGTAATACGGTATCTTATCTTTTTTCACATTTTAATTTGAAGGATATAATATGTCATATTATATTTGTAATAAGGGGAGCGATTAGTATATGTAGCAGCCTGAAACGGTAGTAATGTTCATGATGCACTGCGTGGTGACACTGGTTGTGGAATGTCTAAGCTAATTGATTGTAAAGGTGTCAATGTTTTGCACAATTTATTTTTCGTTTTTTCCCTCTTTCTTTCCATATTGCATTGAACAACATGATTTGAGGTTAGCCAGTATAGTAATGATTGATGATTCAAGGGGGCACTTGTTACTGTGATTGAACAATATTACTTACCATGACAGAGGACTGGTAGTGTTCTGTCTTTTGATTATTTGATTATCTAGCAGTCATTTGGTTGTTCTGCTTTACCCTTTGTGTGCGGATATCTTGTAATGAACAGTGGAATATTAATGGTAGTATCCCCAATTATTATCGGAAGTGGGGGATTATTGTAACCATGGGGCCATAGTCACGTGTCCTCATTGGATTAATGACTCCCCATTTGTTAGTGCCTTTCATGTTGTTTAGTACTAACCCATCGTGAGTACTTTTTGACCACTGAACATATGAAAAATCTGTGTCTGGAATTGGACAAGGGCGTGCATTTAAAGTAGCAAATATTATTATGAGTAGATATCTCGCAGCAATTCAATTCTAAGCCGTCATATTTCTCAACGAGCTGGCGCAAAACCAAGACTCAAGCAGCACAGAAGGTCAAGGTATTGAGTAAACCCTTGGGTGCATTTTTAGCTCTTAAAATTTTACTATCTCGTGTTCTTTTTATGAGAAATAAAATAAAATATTTTATTATTATTATAAAAAATAAATAATAAATTTAAGATATATTAATTATTAATTTTTTTATCAATATCATTAAATATACAAATTATTAATTATATTATTTAATATCATAGGTATTCTTAAAATAAAATTTATATTTATAAAAAATATAATTAATTTAATTATTATTTTTTAATCTTGGTGGTTTAGTCCTTTGTTTCTTGTAAAAAGAATCAAACTTTTATTTCTTATAAAAAAGACTAGAGTAAGTAAAATGTATTGTTGGTCTAACACTTCATAAAAATATTATTTATTTTAATGTTTTTGTTGTATTTTTTTACTGTTAATTTGCACTAAAAATAATTAAAGTGAATATCATTTTATAAAATTATAGATTGGCACAGTTTTTTAAAATTGATTTTAGAGACAAATGTTCGATTCACAATTAATTTCACTAATTTGGAGATTTATTCTCAAAGTATTCCAAGAAAGGTGGAGCACATGTAGGATTTCCAATTTTGCATATCCCAAATTCTCCGGCTAAAAGTGTAGTTTCTACCGTAATGGGTTTCAGTGATGGCGTTACTTTGGGCTTAGGTAGTTCGTTTGAGCATGCTCGTTATGGGTTAGGCTGAGTATAGGCTGGGGCATTACGGGCTAAGTATAATTCAAACCCATCAATGATTCTCAACCCAAAGAAAACAAAAAACACCAATTTTTATCCTATACTCTGATTCAGTGTTAGCTATTATCTATATTCATTAATCAAACTGATTTGCTGGTTTGTATATTTATTTTTTTATATAAATTGAGTTGATATATATATATATATATATATTTGTGAAAAAATTATTTTAAAATATTATAATAATTTAAATTTGTTTTAAAAATAGATTCTATTCTCTCTTCTTTTTTAAACAATTTGTATTCTCTTTTACTAATTTGTTATACGTCTGAAAATATGTCATGTCAGATACTCTTTAGAACAGTAATTAATAAAAATATATGCCGCATAGTTAAATAATAGTAATAGAATTTTAAAAAAATTAGAATTTTAAAATCGATGAAAAATGTAAATAAGAAAAAACTATATATAAATACTGGAAATGAATTTAATATTTATATAAGTTATCAAAATATTTAAACATACAGTCTTTCTATTTAGGCAACAGAAAATGGACAAACACTGACGCATGGATGTTACCATATCATTTCTAGCCACGACAATTTCTAATGTATTGCAAGTATTACGTATAAATTAAAATTAGAGTTTTATTTTAATAACATTAATATTAAAAATTATTAAATAAAATTTGAAGTTTAATTAATGAATAATGCTAATAACAAATAGTTTTTTCCCAAATAGTTCAGTTAATGAATAATACTGATAAGTTGACAAAATGAATCATCACAAAATATATATGGTGATGGGTAGCACAAAACTAATAGAGAGAAGAAGAAATTGTCCATGATCTGACTAGTAATAATACGATATGTGTATATTATTATAAAAAAGTGAACATGTGACAAAGCATAAATCAAAATATACGTAGTTTTGGACCATCCAAAAATTTATCAAGAGGAAGGTAGAGAGACATTGTATTCGAGATATTTCCAAAATAGAAATCCAATTGCAGTGTGTTACTATGATGGGGTCTGTTCCATTGTCAACTTCTAGGATAAGGAAATATCACAGCTTTAATTGGACACAAATCCCTCCAATTCAATGCATCTTATGACCACAGTTTCAGAATAAAATAAATAAATCATTTTAAATTGAAAGAAAAATTATGTAAATTAAAAAAATCCACTATTTAAATTTTAGTTTAAGCAATTCACCATCGATTTGATCGACCTTCGTGCATAAAAAGAGAAACTTCACCACAAATCCATGTCCACTTTCTTTGGGAATCTCTCTCTTTTTGCTTTTCTGAAACGGTGACAATTGCATGTCTCCGAAGAGAGTAATGCTAATTTTTTTTATAATTTTGCCAATAATTCTATTTAATTATTACAAATATTAAATAATGAACACTCATTATAACGACCGTCATCTGTAATGATAAAACAATAAACTAAAGTGCGACTTTGCTTGCGAGCCTCAGCAGCTCCATTCATTCTGCAGCAATGATTGCTCGGTTCTGTTTATAGAACAATTTTTTAACGTTTATTTTAAGGCACAACATTTTTTTAAAATAAATTACGTGATATATATTATTTATATTTGATAATCTTATTTAAATAAAAAATATTCACGACATGATGTGATTAACCTTTTAAGTATTTTTTATAAAATTTAAACACAAAATCTTATTTAAATGAAATCTTGCATCTAATTAAATCTCGTTGGTTTTTAATTATATACGATGAAAAATTATAATTAGTCAATTTCCACTAAAAAATATAAATTTTCATACAATATTATATATTATTTTTATACTTTCTTTTACTATTTTGTTTACATTAACTTTTTATTATATGCCTTTAAATATACGTAAAAAATGTTTATAAAATTAACAAAACAGGTGATCAATAATACCTTTTTTAAAATAATTATAATGAAAAATTTTTATTTTAAAAAATCAAATTAATCAATCTTTCTAACATTCCTCGTAATTAATTAAAGTAAGCGGGTTTTAGTTTCCGAATATAGTTTACCAACAAATATGCACCCGTGTTTCAAGGCCTAAAGACTTATGAACCACTATTATAATTAATAATTTTTAGTCATTATCGATGTCAATGATTGTTTTATTTATTTACATAAATATTTAAGATGATATTAATTATTATTATATATTTATACATAATATTCATATTACTTAGATAATTTAATAACTAAAAAGAAAACTATCAATAAAGAGTAAATTAAAAACATTAGCAATTAACTTCAATAAATTAGTAAACTTTTTAAATTTATATAATATATACTCTTTTTATAGATAAACAGGAATATAGGTAGTAAAAAAAGTATTACTTTTATTTTCATTTATTTGTGTAAAACATTTACGGACTAAATGATTAATTTAATCGTTTTATTAAAATGAATTATTAAATTTATTAATTAATTTTTGTTAGTGCGTATTTTTAACTCATAAACTTCTTAAATAATCTAAAAAATTTATATAAATAAGAGGAAATCATTAAAAGAATGGTTAATATTATTCTAAACTTAAACATGAATAAATAAATAGAAATGATTTTTTTTACTCTTTTTGGATTTCCCAAAAAAAGCACTTATATTTGATTAAATTATTATTTTACCTAGTAATCTCTTATATTTTTCAGCGAAACAACTGAAAATTAAATAATTATTTATAACTTCTTATTTTTTTAAAATAATAAATATTTGAAACAAATTAAAACTTATGAAATTACAAATATTTAGAAAAAGATTTTCATCGTCTAACAGTCCCTGTATCGCCCGTGGCAGTGGGTGAAAAGGGGAAAAAGTTAAGGAAGACATGATTCTAATCCTTAAGGACTTGTGGTTTCAATTTTATGCATTTCATGGTCCCAGATTCCACATTATACGAACACGAGTCTCACGGATCAGTCAGTAACTTTAAGATGAACTACACGTTATCGAGAATCTCAACGACAACACAAGCTCTTGTTCGAACATTTATCGATCATTCATAAAAATTTTGCAACACTGCGCTTATATCTTCCTCGTACTATTTAATTTACGAAAAATAGCGTACATATGTGGACGAAACGAATTGGACAACGAGGATACACACTGCGTCTTTGGGTTTTTGTTTAGAAAGAAGAGATTTAACTAAACCATATATATCCCAAATATACTTTAATCTCGAATTTTCAATCACACCAATAGACATGAACATGGTCATGTTTGTCTCGTCTCTCAAGAGAGAAGTACAAAAACAACAGACGATGGCTCTTGTTGAACCTCATGAGAGACATGTTAATCAAAGTGATATAAATTAATGGTTGAATTTTTTGCCCAAAACCGTAGCTCGCAGCTCAGCAACATCAATCTCAATGGTGTTCTCGGGTTTGTAGTAACCAGTGACAGGATCTGGGACCCACGACACCTTTTCACCAGCTACCACCTTCTCTTCCCCTTTCTTTGAGGCTATTTTGCCGCTGATGGAGGAGGCTCCTCCCCTCGTCACGCTGTGTGTTGCTGCCGCATACCCACGCCTGTTTCCACACCAAAAAACTAATTAACAACAGTTCCTCAGCAAAAGGTTCTGCCTTTGCTTTGAATTTTAAGTAAAAAACTCGTCCCTTTCTTTTTATTAGGAAAGAGAAGGCTGAAGTATATTAAGAAAACATTATGGTACCTTGTAAGGATGTTGGAGAATCCCTCGGTGACAAGGGCAGAGAGAACATTGGCGTTAGCGAAAGAGCGAGCCATTGGTGATTAAAATGAAATCAAAATTGAGAAATTGGGAGAAGCTTGTTTCTTTGAAGTGATTTTAGTGTGGGAAATAATTAATAAGAGAAAACAAGCTTGTCCCTCTGTAGTGTAGAACGTTCTTAGCTTGCAAATACAAGTGGTTGAGGGTGTGTATATATAGGCAACGAGAGGGAACGCGTAAGGAAAGGGTTAATTGAATTGCTTGCATCATTAAGCAAGATACGAGCCGAGCAACAAAATTCCTTTCCCCGTTTGTGTTTGGCTTTTTCTTTCAAGCCCCATATTTTTTCAATAATCCTTTTATTATTTTATATTAAAAATATTTGTTAGTAAAATTATAAATATTGATAATACAAAAACCTTTGATGGATCGGTGGAGTGATGATTGCCACGAATAATGCGACGAAAAGTGGGCGTGTCGTCTAGAAACGCCATTGTTTCGCGGAGAGGGAGACATCAGGCCGTCCACGTGGCATATCCTTGATGTGGTCCGAGCTTGGAGTCAACTTGGGCCTGTTTTGACTCTTCTTCCATTGAACGTTGCCAAGTTATTCATTAGTGGCATCCCACATGATTTAACATAGGCGAAAGCGATATAGTCTTTTAATTGGAATCTTCCATTGTCATTTGACAGCTTCTTACTTTACCCACTTGCTTCGTGGAACTTTCATCCTTGCTTTTTCAAACTCTTTTAAGATTTTATTTATTGAAATTTTAAAAATATTTATAAATCATTCTCGTTTTACTTTCAAACTTTCAATTAATGATAAATATTATGTAAGTCTTCTTTTCTCTTTTTCAAAAAATCAATTCTCAAATCAAGCTTAAGTTAGCATCCAATATAAAATATGCATACCTAATATTCCATTAAATTTGCGTACAACACAAACCTTACATGTGTTTAATATGTCTCACTACTGGATAAAAATGAAAGCATGTTTAGATTTCAGTCAAATTTTTCCAAATCATTATTAAGACAAATAATTACAAAAAGAAAGGTTAATACGTTGAACCTGAAGAATCCTCTCTATATGAATTTGTCACGTTAGGTGTCGCAATTCTTCCTAAAATCTATTTTGTTGTTTTCTTACAATGCCATGAGCTCCATGTGTTGTGTTGTGGTGATGCATGCATTTAGAACTACGCAAAAGACAGATATATTTATCATCATTTATTGGTCATGACAAAGCGTAGAAAAATTATCAGTTTTATGTGTTTTTTATTTATTTATTTTTCATCAAGACAGTAATTGAAATTTAACGAAAAAATGTTAGATACTACGTTAAAATTATTTAATTTTTTTTATTAAAGTATATTAGAAATGTTTTTTAATTTTTTTTTTAATAGTAGTGACAGTAATAAGTAGGATTTGCGTAAAGAACTGTGATAATAAATAACATAAAATGAAAACGTACATAAAGTCATTTAACAAGTAAAGAGAAATAAATGTTTATTATCTTTTCTTGTTTTATTATGACAACTATTACACGAGAGAGTACATCTTACCATCTGAAAAATTACTTCAAGCACTTTTTGTTAAATATTTATTTCCTAAATAAAGTCTTTCAAATACATCACTTTCTCCTTGCAACTGTTAAGTAACCTGTGAGTTATTTTGGTTCAGGTGAGTTAATTGGATTTATAAAAAATCTGATCTACAAAACACTTTTCTTTTACTCGACTCACTAATTATAATTTAAATATATATTTTTATTATTAATATTATATTATTTTTAATTCGTCCAATATTCCTAAAATACTAAGACATATATGTAAATCAAACTAAATTATTTATGTAATTTTTTTCAATCTTTATTTCAAATGTCATATTTTTGTTTTTATTTTATGAGTCAACCCGTAAGTTGATCTGCCAAGCTAGTGAATTGAGTCAAATTAGCATTTATTTGACAAATTTAAAGGTGAACAATATTGAATAAGTCAAATTGGTTCATTTTCACACCTTTATTCCTCAAGTATCATTGGAGCATATACAGTGACATGATCAACTAAAGCAATTTAAGACAAAGCAGCAGAAAAAACAGTTTCCTTCCCTGATTTACGTCACTGATTAAAGTTTATTTAAAATTATAAAATAACACGAGTCTCATTTTTAAATTAATATTTTTTATAATTTTTAAATTTTCAATAATTTAATTAACAATAAAAATTATATTAAACAGTAAATATCCTTTGGGGAATGGCAAGCGCCATCTACTTTGTTATCACCATCGCTGTATTTGGCTCCATGGTTCTCCTAACGACTCATTTGACCTTTATAGCCATTTGCGTTTCTTGCTGTTAATTAATGCACTCTATTTCCTATAGTGGAGAACACGGAATATCTTTTTAAATCTTATTTTAATCTGTGTAATATTATTTATAATTTTTTATTATAAAATGTAAAATTAAAAGTAATTGAATTAATTAGTACTATGAAATATTTTAATTTTTAATAATGTTTATTCATTAATTTTTTGTCAGAAAAATTGATTGGAAGACAAGCGTCAAGCATTAATCTATGTTTTGCATCCACCTTTTGATGCATGTTTATCCGCTAGAGCGTGCAACATGGACAAAGAGCAAATAATCATAATAATAAAAAAACTTACCAATTAGGGTGTTTCTTCCACATTTTTTCTTTCATTGGGCAACTCCTGCTTTTATACGCATTCAATATTAGAAAATTATTTTGTGTACTCCTGTTTATTTTACAGTATCATAAGTATTTTCTTTTATGTTATTTCTAATTAAAAATTAAAATTCTATTTAAGTAACGCTTCTCAACTTTTAATATTAATCTTTATGATATAAATTATCAACATGTCAGAAAACTGAACCTGATTTTCTTTTTTTTAACTTAGAAGGGGAGTTTTTTTTTCCCCTTTTCACTCCTCTCTTAAAATTCATCCTTTTTCCTTTTTGAAAAATTTAACATAAAAAGGACAAGGAGGATCATTGGAATAGCTTTTTATTCAGTGATAGACTCTACTATAATGTAATTCTAAAAAACTAGCATGCCCTAGGCTTTAATTCACTTTTCATCTGTTTCTTTTATTAAATGTTAGAAAATATAATTGTTTTATATATATTTTTTATTCGGTTTCTTTCTAACCTTTTTTAGCCCAAACAAACATAGGACATTAACCATGAGTAACAATTAAACAAATTTTCAGCTGTGTATATCAAAAGATAATAGACACAATAGAACATTTATGTAAAAATACTCAACATTTTATTTTTATCCTGACGAGTATTAATCACAGCAATACAACTACTTAACCGCCTAATAACGTCATTATAAAACTTGATTATGACTTTAGAAACATTTTAACATTAAAGTAGTGTTGTTTTTTCATGGAATGAAATGATTTTTAAATAAGAAAAAGTCACAAACAGTATTTTAGAACATTCTCTTAACCCTTAAGTCTTAACTAGAGAAAAAAAGGGTTACGTTGACCATGAAATTAAGTGTTTTTTTCAAAGAGTTTCTTACATTTTAGACCATGAATTTGTTATTTATTTACATATGAGTCAAGCCTTGTCGTGCCAAGCACACTTCACATAGGCACAAAACGGCGTAGTATATTGGCAAACACTACCTTCAAAATTGAAAGTAGAGTAACGCTATCAATTCCACGTTTTTTCCCTCTAAAATGGCAGCAAGAAAAATGCGGGTGGAGGAGCTGCGAACAGAGCTTGACCAGCGTGGACTCTCCACCACCGGAACAAAGCCCACTCTGGTACCCTAAAAGCCCACACTCTTTCTTTTCTTCCGTTTTTTCATCACAATCATATTTTGTAACATTCTCTGCTTCCAGGTACGTAGGCTTGAAGCGGCTCTTCGCAAAGAAGCTCGGAACGAGACGAGTGTCGCTGATGCTTGCTCCTCTAGTAGAAAGAGACCAAGAGATTGTGAAAATGGGGATTCCAACCACTCGAACGAAGTCACGGTTGCAGAGGAGACAAGAGAAGAGGAAAAGATAGTAACTGCCACCAAAAATGGTGCTGCTGTTCTCGATCAGTGGCTCCCCGATCACGTGAAGACACGCTATCATGTTCTGCAACTGGTAATTTTGATAATAATTGCGATGTTACCTTCCTCAAATAGTTGCATGTTGCTCTGCTGTTGTTGTCTGTGGGATGTTGTTCAGGTTGATAGCTTTTGTTGGTGTATTTTTTACAATGCAGGGTGGTGAAATCTATGATGCCATGTTGAATCAGACAAATGTTGGGGACAACAATAACAAATTTTATGTGATTCAAGTTCTTGGTTAGCTCTCAATTCCATTCCTGTTGACGATGTTATGATAGTTTTTTCTTACACTGGTTTATTGCTGTGTCTAAGTGGTTATGGGAGGAATATTGATTCTTCGTAGCTGCAAAATTTTGAATGGTATGAAGTATGGTTTAGTGTCCCTTTCCTGCATTATGTTGTTACTGCTTCTCCTTTCTTGTTTTTTTTTTTTTTTTGTTGGAATATCAGATGATTATTGGACTGAGGTGTTAATGTTTAATAAGTGGTTATCTCCAACCTGAAATGTCGTGTGTTTACAAAAATTTGTTGCTTGAGTTGTAGAAATAATGCTTTGCCTCGTGTTTCTCTTGTAAATTTTTTCTGTTTGTTCTACTGGTTTTGCTGACTGCATTATCAAAATTTCACGCAGAATCTGACAATGGTGGTGAATTCCTTGTTTACAATAGATGGGGAAGGGTAGGTGTAAAGGGCCAAGACAAGATACATGGCCCTTACACATCATGTGGTAGCGCCATCCAGGAGTTTGAGCAAAAGTTTTTAGCAAAGACCAAGAATACTTGGTCTAATAGGGATAATTTTGTTTGCTATCCAAAGAGTTATGCATGGTTGGAAATGGACTACAGTGGCAAGGAACAAGAATCCACAGTGAGTTATATGACTCTATTCCTCTTGTTGCATTTTCCTTTTGTTCTGGAACTTGATGTGCCTTCTTGCAATTAGCTCTGGTCCCCTCTCCCTTGATTATGAAATTAGTTTTCTGTCACTTTTATGCAAAGGCATTTGTACTATAGAGTAGATTTCGTTCATTTCTTGTCAACAGTAATTGATGCTGTCTTAGCTTGGGGTGTTGCTGGTGGATGGGGAGCATGAGAAGGAAAAAACTATTTAAATTGGTCAATCTAAATGCTTCTCAATTGCTTTAGGTTACAGAAAACCCTGGCCATGCTTTAGGAAAGCAGCCACTGGAATCAAAACTTGAGTCGCGTGTTGCAAAATTTATATCTCTTGTTTGCAATGTGAGCATGATGAATCAGCAAATGATGGAAATAGGTTAGTTTGTTGTTGCTTCTTTTCCAGATCACACGATCCCAAAGCATGGTTGACATTCTGTGGAGTCATTTAAATTCAATGATATGGTTTCCTTTGTCATGCATTTGAAATTCTTTTTTTATTTTAGGGTACAATGCAAATAAGTTGCCTCTTGGAAAACTTAGCAAATCAACAATTTTGAAGGTAAGTAAGCCTTTGAGCATGTCATTTCTTTTTTCTTCTTTGACTTTTGTTGATTTTATGCAAATTTTTGTTCAAAAGTCTATTATGTATAATATTTTCTTCTCTTGCCATGACCATATTGTTGATGAGATCAAGATTCTCTAATACCATTGAGCTTTTAAAGTTTATGGTTTATGTATTATGAATTATTTCTCTTTTTATATCTGGGTAATTAAAACCTATATCGATATACTTTTGGGTTAGAATAACAAAATTAATACCATTCAAAATGAGGCTAAGTTTTCATATTGTTACTCAGAAGCATTTTGGTTTCAATCTGCTTCTCTTTTTCCTTTTTAAAAACTAACAAAAATTTAAAACTAAAACCTGAGGTCTTTTTACATCTTGATCATGGTGCAACCTTGTGTGATGACTTTTTTGTTTTTAAACTTCTTGATAACTGCTACAACATTTCAACTTTCATGTTTTGCATATTTTGTCTCATTGAAAATTTAACCGTTTATATCTCTTAAATTATTTAGGGCTATGATGTTCTCAAAAGACTTGCTGATGTGATTGATAAATCAGATAGGAAAATTCTGGAGCAATTAAGTGGGTAAGAAATTTTGTTGTCTTTATTTTCCTTGATGTACTATGCACTACTTTTTTCTTTGAAGTGCTTACCTTTTTTATTTGCTTTTGAAAGAGCTGTCTACCGTTTTGCCTTTATTTAAATTTTCTGTCATTTGAGGATGATGATTTTTGCTTTAGAGAATTGGAATGCCTTATTTTATAATTGGTTTTTTGGCTTGTTGCAGAGAATTCTACACTGTAATTCCTCATGATTTTGGATTCAAAAAAATGCGTAAGCTGTCTCTCTCTGTCTCATTTGTTTCAAGCAGACTTTTATTTATAACAGTTCTAAATCATAAGTAAATTCTCATGGTGGATATGCATATGCATTATTTTTTGAGAGGAATATTAATTGACACGGAAATGTAAATAATGGCAGGTGAGTTTGTAATTGACACCCCTCAGAAGTTAAAACGCAAATTAGAAATGGTAATCCTTTTTTCCAGCTGTATGTATTGACCTGATTATTCTGGTTGCTTGTAGAATATGATTACTTATATTGTATGTTTTTATTTATGACTCTGTTGGCTCTCCTATTAGCCTTGGTAGCTTCTTCTTGTCCCCTGGGGACCAACTTCCTCCAACCGTATGTAATTGTTCTTGAAAAGATATTTAGTTTTAACTGCGTTTATTTAACCCTTAGCATTTTTTCATTTGTTTTAAAGGTTGAAGCTCTAGGTGAAATTGAGGTTGCCACAAAGCTCTTGAACAATGATACAGAAATGCAGGTACGTCTTGTTTAGTTTTCTTCTGTTAGCTGATTATCAATATCTAATTTTCTCATATCATGTTTTTGATTTTTTTCTGGGATAATCCTGTTAGTTACTACAAATAATATCCTTATCTCTTTTAGCTCTAAGGATAACTTATATAAGTAACAAGCTTGATGCATATGATATATAGGCTCCAGTTGAGGGGTAGTAGCATTAGTTACTATAAGATAGTATCGTCATCTCTTAACCTAACAATCTAGGAGTTATTTTTTATCTGGGATTTGAGTTGTTGTCAAAGTCAGATTTAAATATAAATTTGCAGGGGCCTAGAGGAATTCTCTCTGGCAATTCCCAGTATTCTAAAGGGTTTAAGTACTACTATGGGTGCTGAAAGTATGATGGAAATTAACATTAAAGATTGATCTTCAAGTTATGATTGATTATTTATGGATATGTTGGTATCCCATATTTTGAATGAGAAATATTTTATGGTTGTATTTTTTAGTTCATTTGGTAAATGAATGGACAGATGTGCAACATTTATTATGTTAGATCGCCTAAATTGATTTGTTTTCTCTGGAAAGGAATTATTTTCTGTTTTACACCAATTTAATATTGGAGTTTATACGTGTAATGTTTTATTTAACACAATTCTGTATATGCTGTAGGGAGATCCCCTGTATACTCATTATCAGCGCCTTTGTTGTGAACTGGTACCCGTTGAATTTGGCTGTGAGGAATTCTCTATGGTAAACATTTATGCCGCCTTATAGTTTTTTTGGAAAAATTGAAATGTAATTACCATGTCAGGAGAAAAATTGAGAAAGGAAAAGCGAAATCTAAATGGTGATAACATTTCTTTTCATCTATTTTGGAATATCATTTTGTTCCTAAGCCTTTAAAACATGCAAAATTTCATTCTGCAATTATTTAATTTGACCTGTTTCCTATGCTTCAGTTCTTAATCCTGACACCTTCATTCCCTTTCATATCATTTAGTCCTTTTTGATGTTACCAGATTGAAGAGTATATGAAGAACACTCATGCAAAAACACATTCAAACTACACCGTGGAAATTGTTCAAATATTCAGGACATATAGAGAAGGCGAGACTGAACGGTTCAGAAAGGTGCAGCTACTGCATAATTGAATAAGGATCTTCCTCCCATATTTTTTCTTATGCTGGGACTGTAATTTTGTGATTCAAAGTTTCAGTTTGTGTTATAATGATTATGTGTAGACATTTTAATTAATTGAGTCAACTACTTTTGCCTTTGTATGACAGTTTGCTAGTACAAAAAATAGAATGCTTTTATGGCATGGTTCTCGGCTCACAAACTGGACTGGAATTTTATCTCAAGGTCATCCTTCTCTCATTTGTTTGGTAGTTTTCTTTGTTTGCATGTATGTGCATATGGAGTGTAGACATTCTATTATTTGATGCAATAATATCTGAGTCTGAGATGCATGAACCATTGTCAGGTTTGCGCATAGCTCCTCCTGAGGCACCTGTAACCGGCTACATGTTTGGGAAGGGGGTGTACTTTGCTGACATGTTCTCCAAAAGTGCAAATTATTGCTATGCTACTCGTACTGCAAGAGATGGGGTGCTCCTTTTGTGTGAGGTTGTTTCTAGCCTGATGAAAACATTGTTGCATTACTAATCGATATACTCTCAGGAATGAGAATTGAAACTCCAATTATTAGTTTTGCCCAGCCGTGTTACTGTTGCATGTCTAACATTATTAGATAATTATAACAGCCCAAGTTGGAGAATTTTACTTTGTTTTGTTATCATATGTTGCTAAAGTACAATGTGAATATTGTCTGCAAGACTCCATTTAGAAGATTAGGCTTGCATTATGTTTATAATTGATCCACATTTTCAAGAAATTTTATGTATATTAACTTGTTTGTTCTACCAAATGTCGACATTGATTCACTTCTTTGGGAAGCATTATTTATTTGCTATTCTTTCAGGTTGCACTTGGTGAGATGGTTGAGCTTCTAACTGCTAAATATGATGCTGATAAGCTGCCTGAAGGAAAACTGAGGTTTGTTCCTTCAAATTTATCACTGTCACTATGTTGTAAACTAGTATTGGCAAATGGAATGATAGTAAGAGTAATGTTAGCTAAACATTTTTCAAAACCCACTGAATTGATAGTAGGACCCACTAAATAGAGAGTGGGACCCACCGCCTATTGAATCTCACATGAATTTCAACCAATAATATAGTGTGCTCTAAAGTGTGTGTAGTAACATTTCTTATTGTCTAATTCATTGACTAAATGTATATTGCACAATTGATTTGTCTCTATGTAATGTCAGTCAATAGAACAAGTTTGCATGGAGCCAGGCTGGCTTGGTGCCTGCCTTCTCATTTGACTGCAAATAAGTTCCATTTCATTGCTGTTTAATGCACAAGTGATTGTTTCGTGTAACTTCAAATATTGTGTATTGTATGCTTTTCTAGTTAAATTTATATGTTATGCAAACTCATACTGCAGCACAAAAGGATTAGGAGGTACAGCGCCTGATTTTTCAAAAGCTCGGGAGCTGGAGGATGGGCTCGTTGTTCCCCTAGGAAAGCCAAAAAAGAATTTAGGCATAATGGTATGCACCTTAAGTTGAATTTGTATCAGAAGGGGAGTTTGTTGATGATTGCCATGATTTAATACTTCACACTATTTCTCTCTCACTGTGTTGCAGGGCGGCGATCTATTGTACAACGAATACATTGTTTATAATGTGGAGCAGATTAGGATGCGCTATATTGTTCACGTAAATTTCAATTTTAAGAACAGAAGTTAGCTGCTAGACGTGATCTTTCATCATTATCTAGTTCGCCAAGCCGATCAACAACGAGGGTTAGTGTAAATTTTTTACACAGGAAAGTGATGAGGCTTGCATTGTGGCGAAGAGAAATGAAGTCAAATGGTAGTCATTGATTTCGTATCTTTTTAATAATATTGTAAGCCGAAACAAATAAATGGAAACTAGGAAGAGATAGATAAGAAAGGTTGTAACGTCAATAAAAAACATTAACTAGTAGAGACAAATAGGTAGAAGTGTTTCCTCGTTTATTTTATTTTTTATTTATACTTGGATCAGCATTATGCACTTGTCCGGGAGAAACAAAAACTTATTTAGATAAAAATGGCCATGTTTTGTTAAGTTACACGAATGCCATTAAGCGAGAAATGTTTTCTCCTTGTAGGTAAGCTGGACAGATTTGTGTGAAATTGCATTTTTTTAATATATCAAAAAATGAGAAATTTAAAGTTTAAATAAGAGATTGGTCCCTGTGTATTTTTTCTTTTGATCCCTTTAATTTTTTTTTAGTTTTAGTCTTTACATTTTTTGTTTTGATCTTTGTTGTTGATGTGATAAAATAAAAGCTTGATGTGTTAGTTTGTCAGTGAATTATGTTTGCAAGATTGAAATAAATTTGCTAAAATGTTGGAATTAAAAAAAAATGGTTTGGAAGGAGTAAAAATAAAAAGTGCTCAAATATAGACACCATTTTTATATTGAAGCTATAACTTAAATCTCTTCTTCATCTACGTTCTTCATCTACGTTTTCCCTTAATTATCCTTCAAATTGAAAAACAATATTAGTAAAATAAAATTCCTTTTGCACAGGCAACTTTTTGTCTTAATTTTTAATATTTTTGATGAGGTGTTATTTTTTTAATTAGAGACATAAAAAGGACAAATAAATGGTGCTTGATTTTGTGAGACACCACTGATTGCCGAAGGTCAAATCCGGCATAAGAATACGATCCATATAAAAAATTATGGTTTCTGAGCGTTCACTTAAAATTATGTGAACTCACTTGAATCAAATGTAACAACGATGAATTTATTAAAGCGAGCAAACGCTATACCTGAAATAATCTTGTTTCCCTGTCAACAACGTCACAATTAGATAGACTTGAGCCACTTTTTGAGCTAACATTGAAAAGACTCTTTGGGAGTCATTTGCATCTATAGAAACTAAAGTTATGGGTTTGATTTTAATGGGACGGTGGTTCAGCGTGTCTTGGTCCATATCGTAATAAGAAAACAGAGAGAAAAATTGAAGGGAAGTGGTAATGGTAGGTATTAGTTCCATACTGGCAATTATTGAACGAACACACGTTTCAGTCCCATGTGAGTGGGTTCGGATTGGTGGATATATCGAAGGATTTTACGATTTCCCAAATTTAACGGGCAAAGAAGGAAATGGCTTTTTGTTGTGTTGCTGTTCCTTTTTCTGAAGCATAGTCAAACACATACATCAAGTGCTGTAGAATTTTAGCTGCTTGGGAACATGATTGAGTTTCAAAAAACCTTTGAATAGTATCAATGCCTGACCAAATAAAGCATTTACCACATACCAAGTGCAGAGTGCACACGCCAATATTAAAGTCCTTAGATTTGATAATGACCTCATCCAGAATCTATGTTCTTCTCCCACAAGATAGAGCATGGCCATTTTTTTAAGCCATAACTGTTCCTGTTCCAATCCATCTTTAATGTATGACACTAGAAAATCACCCTTCCCCTACACGAACTTTATCCACTCTTTAATGCATAAGACATGAGTGCTTGTCAAAATTTAGAAATCCACTGTGACATACAAGCCTGTTTCATTTTTCCTTTGAACCTTTGTGCATAATTCAATTTCCATAGCAGTGAACCATACAGCAAAGAGTAATGATGGGCTGCGTAAGTGTGACCTATGTAGAAACTGAACTAGGAGTTGAACCATTGCCGCACGGCACAGGTTCTCTCGCATGCTATTCACTAGACTTCGTAATGTTCCATTACTCCACAAAGAGGGGGAAAAAAAACCCTCTCCAAACAGGACTTGTAGGGGGGATACTCTATCTTCCAATTGAAATAGTTTTTGTCCTAGGTTTAGATCCTTTATCAAGTGGTAAAAGGTTTCAAGGAGTTGTAGGAGAGACTACAAGACCAAGTTTGTTCTGAATTGAGGATGGTTATCATAGACAAAACATAACTAGAACAGGTTGGGTTTGGCATTTGATTTGAAGTAGCTACGATTCATGCTAACCAGCTAAGAAGATGTGGAGGTTTAGTAGGGTTTTTCTTACTTAGGCACAGTGCCTATGATGTGCACTATGGCTAAGCAAGAAGATCAGGGTTTAGTGTCCTTGAGGGGCAGTGTTTAGGTATTAATTAGTCTTTGAAATTGTTGAAGTGTGTAGCCTCTATTAACCGCTAAAAGCTTTGGGGAGAAAAGGTAAGGGCCTATTAGATATAGGGAATGATATCAACCTAGGGAGCCTCCAAACTTTCTCTAAAACTCACACATGCTTTACTCAAAAACTTGCGCCCAACACGCAAAGCCTACGTGCACTCATACATTATTCTTCTCTCCCTGCTCGGTGCTTGCACCATCCAATTCTTTGCAAAACCCAATATGGGGTAGCCCCGTATGCACGTGGGGCCCAACCTTGTTGATCCAAAGGCTGGCATTTGTCCAAAGGCAAAGGGTCTTTTAGTACTAGTGAACCTCAAATGAACAAAGGGGTTGGTGACTTTTTTATGAAATTAAGGCAGACAAGACTCAAATCGGGTTTCCTTCGATATCCCTTCTTTGAATTTCTGTGTACACTGGCATCATAGCATATCGCATGGCACGATTTGCCAGAGTTATTTTTCTTTACACCAATACCTTCACTTCACTCATTGCTCCTCCCACGTTGCTTACATATATCTCCTCTGAACTTTCTACTTATAAATACTGAACCTTTTCCTCTTTCTAGCTCAACTTCTACTACCCCGCTCTCATGGGTATGGGTGAGAAGCTCCTTGTTGGAGAAGCAGGGCACGTGCAACTCTCTAGGATCTCTTAGATGCCATTGAACCCTTTGCACGTGCTCCCCTTCTCCAACACGGCTTCCTCACCCTTTATTGCCTCTCCTCTCTTACTCACTCACCTTCAACTTCATGAGGTAATTCCTTTCCTTGGTTTTTGTAATTTCCTGCGTGAAGTTTCAAATTTACATCATAACTCTTCTTCTTCTCCTTGGAACAGTGTGAAGGTTAGGATATCAGGTTTGAATCATGGTCTCCGATAAATGTAGTAGAGAGAAATAATTACCATTTTATCTGACTACCCTTTGAACATTAAATTCATTTCTTCACCGAGATAACGTGTACCATGTGAGCTATAGCATGTTTATGTGAGAACTATCAATACATTCTCTTTTATTACGGCGTCTCTAGCTTGAAACTTGATCAAGGGACACTGTTTTACGTTTATAAGCGGTTTCTTAACTTGAGCTCCTTTCAATTCTTTCGAGTCTTCGCGTGGAAGTTAACTGGGCAATGTAACTCAAGCACCATACTTGCACAAAGACGAGTTTCTTGGAAGTGTAATAGAGGAAAGTTTTCAATGAGCGAGGCCTTGTAACAGTGTAATCGAAAATGATGAAACATGATATAGAGTCAATACGACGGTTCTGCTGTCCAAATGCGTTTGTTGTTAAAAGAACCATTAATCTGTTATAGACTTTAGTGTTTGTTTGGAGATGGTTAAATTATGAAAATATTCTTAAAAAATGTGTAGAGCAAGACACTCAAATTCAATTTTTTTACTCTTCTAAATTAATATTTTTTCTTATATTTTTATAATTTTGAATAAATTTAACTAATAACTAAGAAGGCGTAAAAAAAGTGTATTATAGAAGTGTTGCTATTGTTAAAATTAACTAGTTTAAACTTGCTGTCAGTGTTTGGTGTGAGAGATTGAAGTAGGCTCCAAGTTCAAAGAGACATGGAGATGCATGTTGGTCAACTGTTTTACACCAGTGTCTTACGCCTCCATATTCTTCTAAACATCATTGTTATTTGTTGCTAAGTTCGGAAAGCACAGTTCTACATGAAGTTCTATTAATTTTATTTCAATGAAAAAACAATGCTAGAGGAGTTCAAACTTGTGATTAAAGTAATTTAAAGTGAGGGTTTTTATTACAGGATAAGGTAAAAAAATATATAACTATTAATAAAAATCAATGGTTAACTTTTGTAAAACTATATTATTTATTTTATATATAGAATTTACTTATAATACATATACCATGAAAAATGTAGAAAAATGATCCATAATAATTTTTTATTAACTTTTACAATAATTATTTTTGAAGTTATATTTATAATAAATTTTAAATAATTAATAATGTCAAAACCTTTACATTAATAGAATAACATTGTGTTAAAATTAAAGACACCCATATACGTATGCATGTATATTCGTATTTGATCACAATTTGAACAGTTTATTCTTCATATTTTAGACCTAGAAAGTTTCGGTGTCCATAAACTATTTGAGAGGTTATGGCAAACAGAATCGAAGGAGTCAATATCCATTATGGGAAACCTGTAAGCCACCCATCACCATTATCACATTCTGCATATGGAAGGAAGGACTTTGATTTCTCGTTTAACCGATAGAGTCAAACGTCTCAATAGAAAATTAAACTTTAGTTTGTGAAATATGAAAAATTATTGTTAGGAGGACGACGAGGATGATGAAAGGTTATGTTTAATCAAGTTTAATAGGATTTTAATCATGTGTAATCTTTCCTAATACAACAAAATCAAGTTTTTATTTTTAAATTGACATAACTTTTATTATATAAAAACTAATAAACATCCTTTCTACAACCTCAACCCCCAACATAAGCATCCTTTCTTCTTTAGTAATTATTGAATTAAAACATATTGTTATATTTTATTTTTCATTAATATTTTAAAAGTGACTAGTTGAATTTGCAAAAATATATAATATTTTTTTAAAATGAATTTTATTAAATCAAAATTTTAATTTAATTTTTTTATATAATACATTAAATTTACAAATTTAATATTAATTAATCATTTATCGCTTTGATATATTTTAATAAATAAATTGTATTTTATTTAAAATATAAGTAGATAATGCTAATGTAAACACAAAGTTGATTTAAGTGATAATGACATTGAAGACATGTAATTTTTATTTTGACAAAATTCTAATGAAAGTATGAAAAGTGTTTGTAAGAGAGATCGAGTGAGAAGGGAAGTGAAAGTGATAATAATTACAGCATCAAAGTTTGTTAATGATAGTTTTAGTTTCATCAATAAAATTTTTGCAAATATAAAACATTATTGTAACCATTTTTCTTAATCACGAATTCCATGTCATTCTAATCACAACATGATCTAAATAAATATTGTTGTACTACTTTTAAACATTTTTCTTATAAAATGATAATTGTGATAGCCACTACACCATTTTTTGCAACTCAATGTGAGTGAAGAGAAGATTAAATGATGGATGAGCTTGATTTTAAGGAATTTTATAGCATGTTTCTCATGGGTCAGATTATTTTAGCTTTTTGAGTGATTTCTAGAATAAATAAAAATCATTTTATTTTTAGAGATTTCTTAAAAATTACAAATTAATTTTTATTTGATTATAAAAATATTTTATATTTAGTGGGTAGTTATAAATTTAAATTTTTTTAAGAAACTATTTAAAACAGTTTCTCTATAAAAAATCAGATCACTTTTAGCTTTTAATTTTTTTATTACCGAACTAAATAATTAAAAAAATGAAAAGTGTTTTTTTTTTAAATTTTTCATGAAAACTTAGACAAACGAGTTAATTATAATTTTAGGTATTGAAATTGATCTCATTTTATGATCACTGTAATTAAATTGTAAAATTTGTAACACGTAGTAATGGAACAAGAAATTTCATTTGTTAATTAAATATTTTAGGATATGTTAAAGTAATTACTTAATCAAGTACTTTAAAAAGCTCTTATGTTATAAAAACTTACGATATATCATGCGATTTGTTGAAATAAAAAATTATAAATTATATTTATATTTTTTTTTATAAATTCTTTTAAACACTCCTTTAACATAACCTAATTCTAAAGATCACTTTTATTTACTTTTAAAAATATAAGAAAAAAATAAAATATTTTCAATAACCAGAACACAAAATTAAAATTTTTCAAAAGACTAAAATTATAAAATGAGTTTTTAACTTTGAAAATAGTATGAAATTTTAGAATAAACGTAGACAATCCAAGTAATTATAAAGCGACACAGTTATATATATATATATTTTTGAGACTTGAGTATTATCTTCAATTTTTCAGAAATTATGTTTTGTCTGAATTGTTTTTTCTTATTAAGTTGTTATTAAAACAGTACAGAAACAACAATTATGTCAGATATATTGATTAGAAAATTATAATTTGCTAACATAAAAATTAGAATAGTTTTGTTTTTCAGAAAACTATGTGAAGCAACCAACGTGTGTTCTGGGACCGGTTTGCTTAAAAAAGAGCGCTGCAAAAATGATTCTCGAACTTTCAATTTGGACTCTATTGGGACTTGGCAAAAATTCAAGTTTCTCTGATCTAGTCTAACAATTTTCCACCAACAATCCCCATTTCCTCACTCTTCAACATATGCATCTGCATCACTATCGATTTGTTAGCTTCTCAAGAGACTAACAATGTTGCATGAGCTTCTGCTAGCTTTACTGGGCTACACCGGCGACTTAATCGTCGACCGGAGGGACCAACTCACCGTCGAAACCCCCGTCTCCGAAGAATGCACTTTCAAGCTCGCTCCTGACATCTCTTTTATCGATCCAAGTGACAGGTTCTCACCCCAATTTTCAATTTTCATTTTTTCTAAAAACCCCCAAAACAATTCGTTTTATAGGGTTGTTTATTGATGGGCACGTTGAAAATTGAAACTTTCGAATGAATTGTGTTGGTTTCAGGGAGCTTATTGAGAGGATCATTGTGTTGGGGTTTTATTATAGGGAGATGGAGCGATTTTCTGCCAAGTCTAGGAATTTAAGTTGGATAAGGTCTTCAAATGTGAACCCTTTGGAGAAAAGGGAGAAGGCCAGTGTTTATCGTAGGGCTCTAGCCAATGGCATTGTTGAAATACTCTCAGTTTATAGGTCTGCGGTTCTGCATATTGAGCAGAAGTTGTTGTCTGAGACCATGCCTATCTTGGCAACAGTTACTCAGGGTCTTAACAAGGTAAATTTTTCTGTCCCCTCTTTTCTGTTTATTTTGACATTGACTTTATTTTTTATGTGATTTCCAGTTTTTTACCCTTTTGCCACCACTGTATGAGCTCATACTAGAGATTGAGCGTGATGATATTCGTGGAGGTCAACTTCTTAATCTTCTACACAAACGATGCCACTGTGGAGTTCCGGAATTACAGACTTGCATACAAAGGTATGCAGTTCTTTTCATGCGTAGTATTGTTGGTAATGTTAAGATGCGTGCTATGTCATTTCCATGTATACGATGATCTGGCTAAATTTTGCAGTTGTATAAGACTATTAGTCAATAAACATTTACAGTTTTAACTCATGAATTCTTTAATGCTATTAGTCGCTAGACAGTCCTTAATTTATTAAAAAAATATTGGTGAAGGAAAAATATCGAAGACTATCATATTCACAGGTTAATGATGAATTTCTTTTTGGGACCAATTTGTTTATTCTGGTTCTGAAAATGCCTAGGTCTTTGCATCAGTCTTCAGATCATACTCCTGGCTAATTGTTATTATTATCTTTTTGGTTATTCTTGTCCAAAGCTTAGGCTTCTTTGGCATGGGCACCAGGTCATGTATAACCAGCTTGCATCATGGATGATTTATGGGATTCTTCAAGACCAGCATGGAGAGTTTTTCATTAGGAGGTAGCTCAATAGTAATTTTTAGATATACTGTTGATATGTGTTATTTGTTTATCTTTTTGTATGCATATCTTGTATCTCATGTCACAGTTATAGGGTTGACTGATGTGGTGTTGTATTGCAAGTGTGGTGATTAGAATATGATATATATTTTTCCATTTATTATCTGAGAGTTCGTAACTTGTGATTCTGTGAAGGCTATTTTTGAAAATATTTCCATAGTTGATGCATCATACTACTAAATTGGGTATAAAACCATAAGTTATCAAAACAACTGTAACCCTTGTTATATTTCAGTAGTTTCTGTTGTATGCTATTCTCACCTGGATTTGACCATGACTAATCAATACTTTTTTTTTTATCTGTTAGAATATATGAAAATTTCCAATATTATCTTGATCTTATCTTAGATTATCCTTTAGGATTAGTTTCTCTATTTCCTTATCCTCTCTTGAGATTGGCTACCATATCTCTCACGACTTGTTATTTAGTTAGGATTATGATTAGTACAAATAGGGTTAGTGCTTTAGGTTTTATGATCATATCATCACACTATATCAAGTTATACCTATTTCATAGTATTTTGTCTCTATTCCTTCTATATTCTTTCTCTATACCTAAAAGCTCACAATTTCAACATTGTCCATTATATTGTATACTTAAGACTTAAAGAGAACCTATTAGCAAAAGAATATAGAGAAGAAATGTGGGTGATGAAGACAATTAAAAGTATGATCTCTGCTATTAAATCTAAGTGCTCTTTCTCTCCCCTCAAAACTAGACAAAACTATGTGGTATATATGTCTATTATGATGTGTTTGGTACATGAAAACTAATTTATCTGGATATTAGTTCTTCCTCTACACTTCTGTAAAAACTTTGTGATTGTTTGGTAGCATTGATAATTTCTGGTTTCTCAGGTTCCAAAGTCTCATATTTGTGATTGCTTTGCATTTATATACTTGACCTGATTCATTTGCTTTTCAGGCAAGAAGATAGAGATGTAGAGAATGGATCATCTCATCCAGACATCTCTGAAAAGTTGGCACGCATGTCAACGGATGATGCATCTTTGACTGATTGGCACTTAGGCTTTCATATTTCTTTGGTAATTGCTCTCATTATTAGCTAATCTGTACATGTCATGACATGGAACTCATTTCATTTTTAATGAAAATTGTTTTTGCTCTTATTGTTTGTAGTTCACTTGTCTGTTTAATAAATGATATTTTTTTTCCAGTTTGATGTCCTTTCCTTTAAATTGACTAGCGACCAATGGTTTATACATACAACTTTTGTTATTTGCATATGTTTTGCAGGATATGCTGCCAGAATATATACCTATGCGTGTAGCAGAATCAATTCTTTTCGCTGGCAAAGCTGTCAGGGTTCTACGAAATCCAAGTCCTTCCTTCCAGTCTGGAGATGGCATGCATCCTCAAATGCCTAAGAGCTTTCAGAAAACACTTGGATTGGCAGGGCGTTTTCATTTTCAGACGGAACCTGCAATCAATATGGGAATGGGAGGAGAAGATCTGCTTCCACAATCTGAGGCTGATAAGATTGAAGCAATGCTTCTGAACCTAAAGGTTGTTGGGTCCTACCACTTTACTTTAACATATAGATGCTGATTTTCCAAAGCTGTTTTCTTATTGGTTGGATACTTGAACTGTTGGCAGACTTTAATTTGGTTTACTTCTACAGTTCTGAAAAACTGACTGATGAATTATGTGTTGTGATTCAGATTTTCTTCGCCATTAACATTTCCCATTAGTCTCAGGCAAACTCATTTTTAGCTTTCTGCAGGAATCGTCTGAATTTCATAAAAGATCATTTGAATGTGCTGTGGACTCTATTCAGGCGATTGCGGCCAGTCATCTATGGCAGGTGCTTAACATAAATCTTATGTTCATATATTTATACATATTTGCTGCATTTTTGTTCAGAGATTTCAATTTCTTTTCCATCCATGTCTGCAGCTTGTAGTTGTACGTGCTGACTTAAATGGCCACCTTAAGGCCTTGAAAGACTATTTTCTTTTGGCAAAAGGAGATTTCTTCCAGGTAAAGCTTGAAATAGAGTCTATACTGACATTTTGATTGGCAATGGGTGCCTGTAAACTTCCACATTTTGTTTTATTTGTGTTGAAGAATGTACTGTTTATTATAAATTAAAGTTTGACATTTGCTTGAATGGAAGTGACAAAAGATGGACGATTGGGGTTGGGGCTGGGGCAAGGGGGTAATGGGAATTTTCAACTTTTGATAACTATCCATGAAATAATGATTTCAATTATGTGTTTTCTCTTTTCCTGTATGTGTTTGTTTTAACCCTTGAAAGTGATCATACTGGTTTCATCCTAGTCCTTTTATGTGTCTCTGTCTATTGCCATATCATATGACATTACTTTTAATAAATCATACTGTACCCATGTAGTAATTTTAATCAATCAGCATGTAGTGTAAATTGTGGATTGCTAGTTATTTTGATAGTAGCTGATTGATTTGTAATTGCTCATAAGTTTTGGTTCCTATCATCCTAAATCTCTGAAATCTACATTTTCTTTATTTCAGAATTATCTCATTTGGGATGAATGGGAAAAGATAACTTTTGAACCTGCAAATTGGCTTGATTCTTGAACTAGTAAATAATAAATAATTCAGTTACAAGATAGGAGGTGTTGCCAATTACTTTAAACTTCAAACTGCAAATCAATATTAGGTAGTTCTCCCTCTATGTTGTGTCCTTGGATATGCATAAATTATTCAGTGAGGTTCAAACTTCAGGTTATCATCTACTTTTAATGCAATTATACTGATTTCTTTGATTTACTCATGATTTTCTGCACAAGTGTTTCCTTGAGGAAAGTCGTCAGTTAATGAGATTGCCACCGCGCCAATCAACTGCTGAAGCTGATCTTATGGTCCCATTTCAGCTGGTTTGTTTTACTTGATGATATGATTTTTAGGCTTAATGACTTTTACATGTTAGTTACATAAGTATGTTTGTGTTTTTGATGCATTAATGAAGCTTAGTTACAATGCAGGCTGCATTAAAAACTATTGGTGAAGAAGACAAATATTTTTCTAAAGTGTCCTTGCGGTTAGGATCCATATTCATATATTTCCTTTCACTTGTGCTATCATCATGCTGAGCTGTTATGAATTGTATGCGCTAATATGTCTTATTCCTCTTCTAGGATGCCATCTTTTGGAATCACAGTTAAATCTTCCCTATTAGATTTACCAAAGGCAACCTCTTCTATAGATGGTAGCTCTGGTGCTTCACTCTCAAATGCTTCAGAAATGTCATTTGATGGTTGGGATGGCATTGCTCTTGAGTATTCTGTTGACTGGCCTTTGCATTTGTTCTTTACTCAAGAAGTCCTCTCTAAGTAAGTTTCTACTGCTAATGTCCTGATGCCAAGGGATAATTATTTTGTCTTGCTATTTATTTTATACTATATCTAACTGGAAACTGTTACGATATAAAACTTTTTAGAAAGTGTCATGGCATTGTAAACCAAATGCGGAAGATGTAAAGATGTTACATTATTACAGGGATCATTGGTTTAAGAGATATATATCAGCTGTATTGGGGATATATCTTGTGAGAGCTTGGTTTACTTTATTATGAACAAATGGGGACTGTTGGATAATCTGGCTTAAATGGTCATGTTTGAATGAGTTTTTAAATAAGTTACATAACTTTGTGTTTTAATCATGACCATTCATGCAAGATTCAATAATCAGGATTTGTCCGCTCACTCTCATACTAAAACAGTGCTCTGGTATCATGTCTTCATAAACTTGCTATGTTGTTTCTGCACAATTAACACTTTTAACAGGTACCTTAGAATATTCCAATACTTACTGCGGCTCAAACGAACGCAAATGGAGTTGGAGAAATTATGGGCATCTGTAATGCACCAGTATCACAGTGATTTTGCTAAACACCGAAAGGATCAAGACAAGTGCTCAATAACACTGCAGAAAAGTCAGCGGTCTCGACCAATGTGGCGTGTTAGAGAACATATGGCATTCTTGATCAGAAATCTCCAATTTTATATTCAGGTTGTTGTCCATATTATATTTTGGATGCAGAAGTTGTTAGATTGCTACTACAATTATTGTTTGAAGTAATTGTGTTATCTATATACTCATTCAGTGCTGATACGTTTGTTTGGATATACACACAGTCACACAATCAGTGGGCAACTTGAGAGAAAAGTTTGGGGGATGGGCATGCTGGAACTAAGGGGGCATGTGGCCATGGTTTAAGGTTTTTATTGGTTGTGCTATCATGGGTGGCTGCATTGAACCTTATTTTTATTGTTGGGGGGGCGGGGTGGTGTGAGGTTAGAAAATTCTCCGCTACATGCACTCACATATTTTAATGTGTGTTGGATTGAGTAAAAGAAGTACAGTGATGGTATCATATTGACAATTGTTTGTAGTGTACTGTTACAACTGTGCCTTTTGTAATGAATAAATGTCTATCTCACGTTTAAAATTTTGTCTTTCCCTTTGCAGGTGGATGTGATAGAGTCTCAATGGAATATTTTGCAATCTCATATCCAAGATTCTCATGATTTTACAGAACTTGTGGGCTTTCATCAAGAGTAATAATTTTTCTATTGCATGCTTTTAACTTTTACATTTTTAGTGAAAAATTGTTTTGCTTGCTAAACTATTTCACATGCATTATATAATTACCAACACAATTATATTTATCCAAATTAATATTAGCTTCTTGGTGACCGTCAAAATGGTAGGCTGATTTTTATCCAATTGCTGTTGCCTGTAGGGATCATATTTTACTTTTATGGTCCAAGATAACATAGGAGCTGCTTGGTTATAGAAAACATATTTTATTTTCACTTTTAATTAAAAAATGCCATATTTTTTCATTCTGTTTCTGATTTTAAAGATTTATAAAGGAAATAAAGAAAACATTTTTGAAAACAGAAAATAAAATAAAAATAAAGTGACGTTTTTGTAATTAAAAACGAAAACCAAAAAAATTTCTTGAAACCTAATGCCCCTTAGCTTTTCAGTTTGCTGTGATTGGGCATAGATAGGAATACTATTGTAGCTCAGGAAACTGCTTCCTTTACCATGAACAAGCAATTCAATGAGGAGAAATAGGAATGTTGTTAACATTCACTTTATTCTCTTTGGAAGCAGTTCTCAGGTGCCAGTGTTTAAACTTACGGCTTTATGAATTATGAATGTGTCATTGTGGTCTATTGTATTCCTTGTGGTGACTGTTTTACCTCAATATTGTTTATTACTGCATCTTTCATATTTGATTTTCATGTATCCTACAGGTATCTGTCAGCCTTGATTTCACAGACTTTCTTGGACATTGGTTCTGTGTCCAGGATCCTGGATAGTATCATGAAGCTTTGCTTGCAATTTTGCTGGAATATTGAGAATCAAGATAACTGTTCAAATGCTTCTGAACTTGAACATATAGCTGAGGTAGTATGAATTACTGGCTTTGCCAAAAATATGTACAGGAATATGCAACTCACTTAAAACCGATAATGTCCTCATACAGTTTCATATATTAATCTTGGTAGGCTTAATAGCTGAACATTTTTATTCAAGAGAAAAATTAATATGCTAATTTATCTTCTTATTCATTCCATGCCATGTGTAACTGTCTTATTCGTTTTGTACTATTATGATATATTATGAATTGCAGAATGATACTCTGCATTCTCCGTATAATTCATTATGACTTAATAATAAAATCATGGGGGTATGATGATACATCTTGGACTTCTGTAGTTGTAACTTGTACCTCTCTAAGATCTACTATAAGACAGACTGAATTGGCTTTCAAGAACTGCAGATTTGACTTCTAAACAAAATTAATTATCAACTCTGGAACATCATAGACGATAGTCAGAACAAGTACTATATAGTTGCTTCCTTACAGTTCTGTTTTGCACAACCCACCTTGTTCAAATTGAGCAGGCAGAAATTTATACGGGATACATGCTTGAGCCCTTCAATTTCCCTTCAAATTTCTTAAGTTCTACCTCACTTAACAGAACAAACAAGAAATGAAAAATTACTATTTATTTCATTCTATTGTCGAGTGCATGCTGTCAAAAATTGAACTTTCTTCATTTTAGATGTATTCATACAAATTTAAATCTCTTACTGTGGCTAAATTGCTGAGGTTGTTTTGTGCTTGAACCTTTTTCATATTACTGGTTGCACTTCTATATTTTAAAATTAGATCTCCATCCTTTACTGCAATCTGTCTTTTTGACTGTGTATTTATCTTTTTGATGTTTTCTGAAACCTAACTTCTACAGGAATTCAACAAGAAATCAAATTCCTTGTACACGATACTACGCAGCAGCAGGCTTGCTGGAAGTCAGCGTGCTCCATTTTTGAGACGTTTTCTCTTGCGGTTAAATCTGAATTCGTTCTTTGAGGTAAAACAATCAGACGCTTACTCAATGTTACTGTTTAAATCTGTATGTCTTACTGCCTATTCTTTTGTCCCTTAACAGGCCACTGCAAGGGGTGTGCTGAATGTTGTCAGGCCACGTCCTACACTTCCTGTTTTAAATCAACAATAGTATCATACCACCACAAATTCAGAGTTTCTCACTTATAGGGATGTTTGGCATGTGTCCTTCGGTTGAGTAAATTCCCCCTTCCCATTTGGTGAGCAAATTTTGCTGTTGATAATCAAGTTACTTTCTAGTCGCCATTGGCATTTTATCATCCGGCAGCTGTCCTTTGAAAATCAGCTGCACATTCCATTTGCTATTTTGAGAAAGTGGTCCTTGATCCTAACTGATTTTGATTGATGTTATTGTAAATGCTGGTCATTTTGGAAGGTTGTTCATGCTTGTGCTTCTTATGTGGCTGGTGGATGGCTGTTGCTGTCTTTCCCACTATTGTTACCTTTTGTAGATGGAAGCAGGGATCTTTGTGTATAGTGTGATTGGTTTTTCATATCATGATTTACTTTACTCAATGCAATTCTTTTCGCGTGGTTAAATTTATAATCTGAATGTGTTCGGTTAAATGTATATATTTCTATTACGCTTCAAATCCTTTATCCCGTCATACCCTTCGAAATTCTCTTCATATTTCCATCTGCCAGAATATTAATGCCTTGAATGACTTGAGCTATCTAAAAGTACAAGTACCATACCGGATGAAAATTGACATGATATAGCAAAATGACCAACTTTGGGTGATTGTTCTCTAACGTGTAAAATAAAAACTTTTAAGATTCTTCCTTTATCTGATAAAGGGTGTTTAATTCACTATAAAAAATGCGAACTTAACGAAACACTGAAAAAATAGAAGCACCAAAAGATAAGGAAATTTGGAGAATGGAGACCAAACTGTGTGTAGAAGAATGCTGAAGTGCAAGCAGAAGAAAAAGGTTAGGTGGAGGTTGTTGGTGGCCAGCCTTCAAAGACTATAATACATATTTGATTATTCCTTTGAAATCCGTTGATATCTTCTAATTTTTAATGAAAATTGTTATACATAATTTTTTATTATATATTTTTAAATGTGTATTTACAAAAATTATATATGTTAATTTATTGTAATGTAAAATCAAACAAACATTGTATATTACAAAGTAAATAAAAAAAATAGATGATCCATTAACAAAATTAGTTTAAGAAAATAATAATTTTATTTTAGGGTCATTCTGATATTTTTATGTACATGCGTTGCTTAAAAATTGACATGAAAAAGAGACAGATACAAAAAAAAGGGCCCTGATGGGATGATTGTACAGTACAATTCCAAGCCACAAGGAGAGAGAAAGAGAGAAGCGCCTTACCAACAACATCTTACACTAACCCAACATCACAAAGCAGAGGTAGTAGGTAGTGGAAAGATAACATAACATATACATAAACATAAGCTTCATATTCACTTCATTCTTCAATTCAAACTATCTCAACCCCAAAACCAAAATGGATTCCAATCACCAAATTGCAGCAGAAACAGAGAAAGATGAACAAAATCAAAACCCAACACACTCCACAGAACCTCCATTCGCGGTAGCATCACTCTCGCTCACTCTCTCCACAGTTCTCCCATTTGTTCAACCTAAGATCCCATCTTTTTTCTCTCGAACACAACCCAACAAGCTCAAGTTCCCCCCAACTCAGGCTTCGTCCCTCACACACCTCTCTCTCTCCACCCCCGCACCCACCAAAACCAGCTTCAAATCCAACCTCTCCGCCAACCCACTCCACACCCCACATTCCCTGGGACCCCACCGCCCCCTCGACCCTTCCAACGCCGCCGCGCTCCGCCGCGCCTCCATCGTATGGTTCCGCAACGACCTCCGTCTCCACGACAACGAGTGCCTCAACGCCGCCAACAACGAATCCCTCTCGGTTTTACCTCTTTACTGCTTTGACCCCTCCGATTACGGGAAATCCTCCTCCGGCTTCGACAAAACCGGTCCCTACCGTGCCTCCTTCCTCATCCAATCCGTTTCGGACCTTCGCCGGAACCTCCAGGCTCGAGGCTCGGATCTGGTGGTTCGGGTGGGAAAACCCGAGACGGTGTTGGTTGAATTGGCAAAGGCCGTTGGAGCTGATGCCGTTTACGCTCACAGAGAGGTTTCGCACGATGAGGTGAAGACGGAGGAGAAGATTGAAGCTGCGATGAAGGAGGAGAATGTGGAGGTTAAGTACTTTTGGGGAAGTACTTTGTATCATGTTGATGATTTGCCTTTTAAATTGGAGGATATGCCTTCTAATTATGGAGGGTTTAGGGATAGGGTTCAGAAATTGGAGATAAGGAACACTATTGAGGCCTTGGATCAACTTAAGGGTCTTCCTTCTCGTGGTGATGTTGAACCTGGGGACATTCCCTCCTTAATGGACCTTGGCCTTAATCCTTCTCCCACAATGCCACAGGTTTGTTCCTGCTTCTTCTTTTTGTTACTCTATTAGTAATTATTTATTTTCTTTATGTTTCTTATATTTAGTTGCTGTAGTGTAAATACTAAATGGTTTTGCATTCTTAATACTAGGCTACCTATGTTGAGAGTGTTTGAACATGGGGTATGTCAATTGTCCCCTTATGTGTTTATATTGTCACTCCTTTTTAAGTTTTTTTTTTTTTCTTTCTAAAATGCCCCCTTTTCTAGTCCTATTTTATGACTACAAAGGTATTTTACATTGAAAATAAAAACTTAAATAGAAGTGAAAAATAGTTATGAGAGTGACATTAAACACTGCCTTGAACTGAAACAGAAACATAGGGTAGCCTTAAACATCTGCACAACTGCCAACATTATTTCATTTTGCTTGCTATTGCTATTTGAGTTTTGATGCCATGCCAAAGTTGTTTGGGAAAAAAAATAGCGGATGTTTGCAAAATTTCGTTTCCATTTTTTTGTGCTTTGACTTCTATGTTGCCATCCATCACTTCTCGGTGTTCGTGTCAATATGTAGAAGTGTATCGTTAACCATCTGTATTTTCTGTCATTGTTCTGAAGGATGGGAAGCCAGCTGCTAATGCTTCCATGGTAGGAGGGGAGACTGAAGCGCTGCAGAGACTCAAAAGATTTGCAGCCGAGTGTGAAGCACAGCCACACAAAGGGTCTAAGGATGGAACACAAAGCATATATGGTGCCAATTTCTCCTGCAAAATTTCTCCGTGGTTGGCAATGGGATGTCTCTCTCCACGCACAATGTATGATGAACTAAAGAAGACTGTCAGCAGGTGTGCTCCAAAATGTTCTTTGGTTTACTGGAATTATCATATTTGTTATGAATAAGTTATGTACTCACCAATTACTATGTTACTGACAGATCCATTTCTGCTTCATCAAACCGAAATGATGGTGGTAGTGGTTCATCCAAAACTGGAACAAATTGGTTGATGTTTGAGTTGTTGTGGAGGGACTTCTTTAGGTAACTGTTTTTGGTTCAGATCTTTTGAGTTCGCTTGGAACTTTAGTGCAGTTTTCTTTTCATGAGATGTATGGAAGTAGGGGAATTATTTTTCTTCCCTAAACAGAAAGTTACAAGTTGGTGATGAAATGGGCATTTTTAAGTAGATTTCTTTCAAGTATGCAACAATTTTTCTTTTCCTATTGCTAAAATATGTAACTTCTCTATTTTCAAGTTTAGTAGTGTACACAGGAAAGTTGCTAAAAACTTATATCTAAACCTAGAAGTTTTAACTGTTTCTCAAAATGTGGTAAATACCGAACAAATGGCCTTTTTTTTAGGCATATATTTTCTGTACAGAACTCCCATAGATACATAAATCAACAATGTGTCCTTAAAGTACCGTCTCTGAAACATTTACTTGTCTTCTAAGTTTTATATTTTAAGAATATCATTCACATTTCCTGGAAATGTAAGGGCCCTATGGATGGTTATTGAAGGTATAGCAATTCTGATTCAGATTTCCTATTTGACTGATAACAATCGTCAAGTCTTGCTTTGTGATCACAACATGATGATTTCTCTTCATTCTGTTATCATAAAAGTGATAATATTGTCAATAAAATGTATTGTTGTGTTATTTGTTAGCAAAAAATTATTTTTGGATACTGTTTTTGGCAATAAAAATAGGTCTTTATCCGTATGATTTGTGAATTTATAATCTTGTTGATGTGTACAGGTTTATAACCAAAAAATACAGTTCTGCAAAGAAACAGCTGGAAGCTACTCCAGCCACTGCTTGTACGGGTGCACTTGCTTAAGCTAGAAGTTGTAGTGGGCATAAGAAAATTTGTTTAAGGATGTGGATTGCTTCCCTATGCATATTGGGCAGTAGGGTTCTGGATGAACAAGATTTGGTTCCCCCTCTGAAGTTCTGTTGTAATTGGCAGATACATTATTTCAGTATGGAAGCTTTACATTAATTTCTTGATGGCAAGTGTTAGTGTTGTTAAAATAGCATTTCGTCTGCATCGGGTATCTTTTCTGAGCTTTTCTTGAGTTCAAAATTCATCTCTCTCCCCACAATAACAATATTTTGGGAGAAATTTGAAATTTAAGAAAGGATGTAATTACTACGGTATTTATAATAATATAAGGATGAATTCTCAGATGTTTATTTCGGTTATGAAGAATAACATAGGTGATTAGATAAGAATTATCTAATAAATTTGATGGGAGTTGTAAGAAATTTTTGTTATAATCAAATGAAAATTTCCTTCATAAAAATCTAATCCGTGAGATAAAATCTCAATTATAGTTTCTTTAATAAGCCTTGCATAAGAATTCAAATTCAATGATAATATAAGGTTTTTATTAAGAAAAAACTTAGAGCATGTTTGTATCTATATTTAAAAATAATTTTCATTTTTTAAAAATTACTTTTAAAAAAACAAAAACATGCTTTAGATTCAAGTGTGTTACGTCTTCACTATCAAAATTTTCAGTAAAATAGTACTTGTATGGATGTTCTTTTTAATATTAAGTAATTTTTGTTAAATATGAATTGTCTATTATTTAAAATAATTACATGCTATCATTTAATTAGAGAATTTAAAGGAATATGGGGAAGTTAGGGTTTTGTCCTTTCACCAAAGTTCTACTTACTATACTTTTATTTCCTCTGGTAGTAATAAGCTATACCCAACCCATTGGCACTTAGCAGGTGGTACAGGTCATTTTCAATTAAAGTATGTTGGGTAGAAGAATTTTAGGTAAAAAACTTTACAATGAGTAAGATAACATAATGCAATTCTAAAATCTTAAGGTAATAGGTGTATGAATCTATCTTTTTATAGACTATTAACTTGTCCATATCCTATTTAATATGAGACTAATTTATACTTGATTATAACACTCTCTCTCAAGTGTGAACTTATCTATTTCATATTAATTTTCTCCGCATTTTTTTCATCTATGAGTATCCCTTTAAGTGTAAATCTATCTATTTCACATCAGATCCATGGTCTACACTCTTGTTATCTTCTACATAAGATGTGTTGTTCACTCAACGACATTTTTTTGAGCTCCACACCTTCCACACGTGGGTGTTATCAACTCTTTGCTAAGACTTATCTAGTGTCATTGTTTCCTCTACAGTGCATTCTTACACTAACCATGGGTACCACAAGATGCACTCTCATTCTGACTATGGGTGTTATAAGATAGACAACACAATGCAACTACAAAACCTTAAGATAATGAGTGTATAAGTCTATTTCTTTATAGACCCTTAACTTGTCCATATCTCATTTCATATGAGACTAATTCACCCATAATTCTAACACTCCTCTTAAGTGTGAACTTATCTATTTTATATAAATGTATAAGTAATCTTCTTATAAACTTAAGAGTTTAATGCAAACTTATCATGATTTTCAATGCACTTTTAATTCCACGAATAAATAGCTTTTATTTCTGAAAGTAAATTTGTATTGCTCCTCTCAACGGAGAAACTTTTTTTTTTTTTTGTTGAAGTGTAGCCAAGAGTAATACAATATGAAATATGGGATGAAAATATTAAGGGTGTTCAAAAAATTCAATTTTATAAACCCAATCCATAATCAATGTCAAATTGGTTTTAAAAATCTAGACCTATATTAAATCGATTTTTTTATTAATTATATTTGTGTAACTAATTTAGTGTCTAAATCTATTTTTTAAAATCAATTTTTTTTTAGTTATTCAAAACCATATATATGAAGCAACCTTATATCTTTATTTATTAAATTTTAATATTATATTATTTTACAAAATTTTATTGTAATTATATTTTACCACTAATATTTTTTTATTAATCTTAATTCTTATAATTAAAATTAAATATTTAAAATAATTAAAGATATTAAAATATAAAAAATATTTTTAAATTAATTACTACTATTATTTTTATATTTATGTTTTTTTAATTTTTAAAATATTATAACATAAAAAATTTATTATTATTTATATTATTAATTTTTATTTTTATAGATTTTAATTTAAATTTTTACTATAAATTCTATTTATTAAAAACAAGTTAAAAAATAATAAATATTTTATATACTTCTATAAAATATAATATATTAATAAATATTGTTAAAATCTTTGTGAAATGCACAAATTTATTGCGATTAATATTTTGTTTAATAAATTAGTTTTATCTTAAAAATATAATTCACAAATATATTAAAAGTTAATTTTGTGTTAAAAATTAAATTTAAAATCGATTTTAAACTAAATTTAAATTTTAAAACTATTTTTGAACCAATTAAAACAATAAAATAAAATAATTTAAAATTCAACTCATATAATTAATTTATGTGATGAATAGATGATAAAAAGTAGAATATCTCTAAATATTTATTACTTTAATAAAATAAAAAAATAAAAAAATATTATTAATAAATTAAAATATACATAAATATTCTCTAAACATGTATTGTTAATGTAATAGAATAGAGTACTCCTTGTATTTATATTTTATCTTTAATAAATATTGATGCTTAACAAATAAATAAATAAATAAATATATATATAATGTTATATTATTTATTATAAAATTTAAATATTTTTTAATATAATAATTTAATAATAATTAAAAAATAGTTATAGTATATTTTTACCATATGTAAAAATAGTTTAAAATCAATTTTAAACTAAATTTAAATTTTTAAACCAAATTTAAACTGGTTTTAAAAAAATTAAAATAGATTAGTTTATAATCTAATTCATATAATTGGATTTTAAATGTATCTAAATTGATTTTTTGAAAATCCAATCTATGAATACCTTTAATGGAGCCTATGGTGTAAATCTTTCGCATTAAGACCACGAAAATAAAAGAAATGAGACCATGATGTGAGAAAACAAAATATTGTAAAATTATAAATTTCCTTCAATTTTATAGGAAAGTTTTCCTAAAGCTTTAATTTTATCTAATTATCTGTTTGAATTTTAAGTATCAACACCTAACCATTTTTACTAACTATTTCATATTTGGAACACCAAAAGTTATTATATTAATTTTGTTTTCAGTAAAAAAAGAATCCCAAGCATTGAAAAATACAAGTATATGGAAATTGATTTGGGAAAAAATTGGTGAAATGCCGGGTGCTGAACGTTCAAGCATCAAAGAGAACAACAATTACCAAATGTTCCTTCTTGCAACATAAAGAGCACGAGGTTTTTCTATCCTTTTCTATCTTACATATAACCACAAAATTAGTGAACTTTATATTATTCTACATTGAGTACAAGGAGGAATTTTAACCAAAATTAAGATTACTCTAAACACAGATGGATGTTTAAATTATATGTAAGATATTCAAAATCTGCCAAGTAACAAAATTTTGCTTGTTGATGCAATCCGAAAAAATTACGAGTCTTAAATATTCTCTGTCCGGGTTTCTAAGATGTATTTAAGATGTTCTGGAATAATCAGCTGCAGCACAGAAAACAGAAACCAAACCAGCCATCCCAATCACCTGCGTCCAACTTCGTGTCCTAGCAGCAACAGCTGCACCTGCTACGGCACCCGCAATCAAACCATTGACCTGTTGGGGAAATTTAGAAAGAAAAGGAGAAAATTTAAAATTAATTTCAGCAACTCATTGAACCAGGATCATGTTGTATTGTCACTCGCGATTGTTAAAACTTAAGTGCCTACATATGCAACCATGCAAATACATAAATCTAGCCAGATCATTGCTCGAAACATGCTTTGCAATGTCAAAAATAAAATGGTGGTTTCCGAATCAATGCCAAAGTTAGCCCCCAAAACTACAAACATAGCGTTAAGCAGTGTGCTGTCTGGTAAGAAGAATCTAGCCATTCAAAGAACCTTAGATAAATATATAACTAAGTCCCTAATGACCTGTCACTAATATTCAAAGATTGAAGCTTCTACGCAATCAAAGGTTCATGGTGCTTGAGTGCCTTTTTTTTTCTTTTCAGTCTTGTGCTTGAGTGCTTTGTACTTGCAACATCGTATTAACGTTGAAGCGGTATGATCCTACCAGGCCCAAACCCAATACCATTGCTCCTACCACCTCGATCTCTAAAGGCCTTGCTGCCCATAATAAGCACACACCAAGGTGCATCCAAGTATCTATTAAGTCTAGAATAAACTTAAAACAACACGGATACAAGAAAATTTTCAAAATTCAAGATAGCTACAGTGTAGATACGTTAATGTAAATTAAAAAAAAAAAACATTAATGCACAATATTTATAAAGAGACTGGAGCCATGTGCAATTTTGTTTCAATGGTCAGGAAGATCAAGCTTCAATGATCAACGAAGACAGAGGATACGAAGAGATACAACATGTGAGACTAGAAGATGTGAGACCAGCAATATTGTGAGATGCAGAATAGAGATCACGTGCAAGACCCAGAACAAAAAGAGATGTGCAAAAGCCAAAAACAGCGATGTGTGAGATCAGCAAGCCCTGATACCAGTCCATTTTGTTACGACCGTACTATGTGCAAAACAGTAACAGAAGCACTGGGTTTAAGATTGAAACTAGCCATATTGAAAATTACCAATGCACTGTATCTTTGGTCAAACATATTTTGATGGTAAGTCATATGAAAGCAGTGCACCAAATGAATCAATTAATGAAATTAAAAAAAAAAAAAAAACGGAGGATAGTCCCGAGGATATTACGTAGGTGAATCATACGTCTGCAACACTGATATTTTGCCAATTTTGGAGTACTTGGGCTTCATAGGTACATACACCTTTCTGACATGAAAAAGTAGCATTGAGACCACCCCAGGAATAGTCAAGAATTAAAACAGATATCTAAACATCTGACATGACTGAAGGAACATCTCCGCCAATCCGAGCAAGCATAAAATAAATTAAAATCCGAAAATCATAAATCTATACTAGAAGCACAAATTCTATTGCCTGATACTATATCTGAAAGCTTCATCACAGGTCTAGATTTGTTGAAAGAATGACTCTATAGCATTTGCTCAGTAACAAAATCTATTTCACCTAATTGCAAATGAATATTTTTTATACTGTTGACCATTTGCAAACCAAGGCAAAAGAGAGAAGGAATTCACTAACCCAATCATTCTGCCTCCTGTATTTCTGAACCCCACATCGAGTAATGCTGAAAACGCCAGCTACAATCCCTAAAAATCGAAATCAAGCAACGTTAACGCTCAAAGCATGATTGCACATCTTAAACATCATCTTGTCCATAGTTGAATTACCACATCGAAACAAGTTTTTGCGAACTGAATTTGCCTGTGCAACACAAAATTAAGTCATCAGGTCACTGAAAACCTTAAAACCAGTTTTGAATTTGATAGAATAATAAATAAATAATGAAATGATTCCTTTACCACAAAAGAAGCTTGAGCAATACCAGTAAGACCTGCACAAGAAATGGATGATCACAAGTTAGAAATTCATATTCATAATCATAATAGAAATTATAGTGGTACAACTAGCATTACGAGTAAGCATGTATAACACAAATTTACCCTGTTGACGAGCGTCGTAGGGACCGCTACACAAGCCCCAGATTGCACCTGCCTGAAGAACAATTTATAGTTTCATTAGGTCGCTGATTTAGCAATTAAAGAAGAAGCAAGCTATAACATACGACGTTACCGTTCCGACACGAATGATAGACTCGACGGCGATGGAGGAGCACGGAACGACGTCGTCCATGTGTTTTTTTTCCAGTTTCTCCCAGTCGCAGCGGAAGGCACCAGGGATGGGAATGTTTTTCACAACTGGGCCTTTTGTTGGGCTTAGACCCATGCTAAAATATCATTGGCCCAAATACTTAGAACCCGAATAAAAAAAATAAATGGGCAAAACGGCAGCAGTTGCTGGCGTTTTAAGAGACGGAAACCCTAGTTTATATTGGTAGCGCTGCTTCTGTGTTGTTCGTTTATCCCCATCAGCAGGAGCAGAGTGTGAGAGAGAGGCGCGAAGATGAGCGGAGCGAAGGGGAAGAAGAAGGGAGCGAGCTTCGTGATCGATTGCGGGAAGCCGGTGGAAGATAAGATCATGGACATTGCTTCCCTTGAGAAGTTCCTTCAGGAGAGGATTAAGGTCGGCGGCAAGGCCGGTGCACTCGGCGATTCCGTTACCGTTACGAGGGACAAGAGCAAGATCACCGTCAACTCCGACAGCAACTTCTCTAAAAGGTGCTTTCTTCGTCTTTGACTAACGGTGCTTAGTTCACGACTCTGCTCTTGTGCTTCATGTTTTTTAAACCATTACCATTGTCGCGTTCCTCTAATCAAGGGGTTCTATTTTCCCATATTGTTGTTCGTCGTCAATTAATCTTATTGCTCCGCTAGCTGAGATATTTACCAAGGGGAAATTTTTTGCCATGTTACTGGCATTTTGCACTTCCACTCTTATGCGTTTCTATTAGGTTAACTAATTTTTTCCTTTAGTAATTTTGTACTATGGGATTGGTTGGTGGTATAAGGCTAAATGCGGTCATCATGGTGGAATATGCTTCATTTAGTTGTTGTTTAACGTTTATGATGTGATTTGTTAGATTGCTTAATAACTTGTCATGTTTATTTGAATTGAAAAGTATATGTAGAGATGCCCTGTTTAGTTATCTTCTCGGGTAAGAAGATTAGGTGTTGCTGTATGCATATTCTATGTATGTATCATGAAATTGAATTTGGTTTTTTTGTAGCCCAATTTTCTGTGGGTACATTTCCTCTCTCTAGTATTTTGATTTTCCTTCATTTACAATTTTCTATTCATCACCTTGCTCAGGTATCTGAAATACTTAACCAAGAAGTACTTGAAAAAACACAACGTGAGGGATTGGCTCCGGGTGATTGCCTCCAACAAGGACAGAAATGTCTATGAGTTGAGATACTTCAACATTGCTGAGAATGAGGGTGAAGAGGAGGACTGAATGTTTAATTATGTCTTGAGGCATTCTCCGTCAGGCTTAGTTGTTGTGGAGTCTTTTTTATCTTTGTTGTTTATTGACTTGTTACTGGTTGTTTAAATATTCCTGTGTTTAATTTGGAACTTTTTGCCCTAATGAAGTTTTACAGTGATTATTGGAGAGGTTGCCATAAAAATTCAGATACCGTTCGTGCAACTTTATGTTGGCATGACTATTGTTAATTTGGTCACCTTTTACTGTTACAATGCCAGATGTGTTTTTTGGTTTTTCCTCTTCCAATGGGGCATAAAATTTGTGTTATTATCGATGATAATCACAGAAAGTTTAATTTGACGCCGGATTCACCTTTATTAAGCAGGGTAGAGTTTTCTCCCCGAAACATCTAGATTCGGATCTCGACTTCTATGCACAGTATTTAATAGCCCAATGTACAGGCTCGCAGAAGTACAGTGTTGCAGGTGGAGTCTTGGTGGCACGGGAGGCTTAAAAAAGTAAAAATTCATGCGTGAATTAATACGATATAAGGGCAGCAAGAACTCTATTGAACGATTTTTTTTATGTTAGGGTGGTCCTAGCACTAGAATAGCGCCTAAATAATATTTGTGAAGGACCTCCGAGGGAAGTGAAGGAAAAGGGAAAACAAATAATTATTTTTTGTTAAATGATGTTGAAAGTAATCTAGTTCCAACCTATGAATGAAGCTAGAGGGCCTATTCAAAAATGTATTTTCTTTGGATAGATTATCATAACAACGATGTAGATCATAAAATATTATGCAATACTTTTGTTTTATAAAGTTGTCCTTTCACCTTAACATGAGATTGCCTTCGCGACTGATTATACAGCTAGAGAGAAGCATAATTTTGTTAAATAGCTAATGATTCATTGGCTTACAGTCGAAACAATCCATTATGTGTATTTGTCTTGTGATAAAATTCAAGTATCTTTGTTTTGTTTGATAAATATTTCCTTGATCAATTTAAATTGTAAATGTTACAAGAATATAACCACAATTCTAGGTTTTCTTATAATTTTATCATTATTAAGCCCTGGGTGAATTCTAAACAGTGCAATTACGAAGTAAGCAAGTAGCAACGAAAGTGGCAATTTTGAAGAAGTGAAGTGGGTAAAATAAAGGTCTCTACTCTGCAACACCAAAACCCAGTGTTTATGATTTCATTGGCTTTACGAGTGAGCTCCAATGCGTGCTTCGACGAAGGCTATATCAATATCATGTACACACCCAACCCTTCATCTGTCCCACCCCAACATCGAATCCTTCGTCTGGAATAACCTCATTCGAGCCAGCGCCAGAGCCACACTTCAACATTCACCGTTTCCACCATCACTCTCTCTCTACCTTCGCATGCGCTCCCATGCTGTGCTCCCCGATCTTCACACCTTCCCTTTCCTTCTCCAATCCTTCAATTCCCATTCTCAGCTCCCTCAAGGACGCTTACTCCATGCTCAAATCTTCCTCCTTGGCCTCACCAACGACCCTTTTGTTCAAACCTCCCTTATCAACATGTACTCTTCCTGTGGCAGCCTCACCTTCGCTCGCCAAGTGTTCGATGAAATAACTCACCCTGATTTACCATCTTGGAACGCTATCATCCACGCAAATGCCAACGTGGGCATGATTCATATTGCAAGGAAACTGTTCAATAAAATGCCCAACAGAAACGTTATATCGTGGAGCTGCATGATTCATGGTTACGTGAAGTGCGGTGAGTACAAAACCGCACTTTCTTTGTTTCGTAATTTGCAGGTGTTGCAAGGTCGTGAACTCAAACCCAATGAGTTCGTCATGTCTGCTGTGCTCTCAGCTTGTGCTCGCTTAGGTGCGCTTCAGCATGGGAAATGGGTTCATGCTTATATTGACAAATGTGGGATGAAAATCGATGTTGTGTTGGGCACATCTTTGATAGACATGTATGCCAAGTGTGGAAGCATTGAAAGGGCAAAATGCGTATTTGATGATATGGGTGTTGAAAAGGATGTGATGGCATGGAGTGCCATGGTTGCTGCATTGGCCATGCATGGACTTTCCGAGGAATGCTTTGAACTATTTGCGAAGATGGTAAGTAATGGGGTGAGGCCAAATGCTGTGACGTTTGTGGGTGTTCTTTGTGCTTGTGTACACGGAGGTTTGGTTAGTGAAGGAAGTGAATATTTCAAGAGGATGAGGAGTGAGTATGGTTTTAGTCCTCTGATTCAACATTATGGTTGCATGGTAGATCTATATAGTAGAGCAGGTCGTATAGAGGATGCTTGGAATGTTGTGAAAACAATGCCTATGGAACCTGATGTCATCGTATGGGGCGCTCTGCTTAGTGGGGCTAGGATGCATGGAGACATTGAAACTTGTGAGATCTCAATAAAGAAACTTCTTGAGTTGGAACCCACAAATAGTGGTGCCTACGTGCTTCTTTCTAACGTGTATGCAAAGCTAGGACGGTGGGGGGAGGTGAGGCATTTGAGAGACCTTATGGAGGTGCGGGGCATCAAGAAAGTTCCGGGGTGTAGTTTGGTTGAGATTGATGGGGTTATTCGTGAGTTTTTTGTGGGGGATAATTCTCATCCAGAAACCCAAGATATATATAGAATGCTTGATGAGATTATGAAGAGGTTGGAAAAGCATGGTTATACACGTAACACGGGTGAGGTATTGCTAGATTTGGATGAGGAAGGAAAAGAATTTGCATTGTCTCTTCATAGTGAAAAACTGGCAATTGCATATTGCTTCCTCAGGACAAGCCCGGGTACCACAATTCGGATCGTAAAGAACTTGAGGATATGTAGCGATTGTCATGCTGCAATCAAGATGATATCTAGGGAATTTAATAGGGAGATTGTTGTTAGAGATTGCAACCGGTTTCACCATTTTGAAAATGGGTTTTGCTCCTGCAAAGACTACTGGTAAATAATAATGGAAAACTCGAGTGTATATTTTTAATGTAGGATATATGTACAAACTATTGACTCGGATATAGTTTCACGAGAGAAGGGTGGACAGTATTCAGATAAAAAGAAAGGAACGAGAGTCGAGAGTATACTAATGATTCTCTATGGATAGAGGGCGAGTTAGAATAATACCACATACCAAAGTTCAGTTAGACAAAAGACACAAAGCAAGTGTTCTTTCGTTTGTTTGCCTTTAATGAAATTATTGTGTCCTTTAAACAGAAACTTCCTTTTTTGGTATGTATTGCCTTAAAATATCCGTCCACAGAGTGAGCTTCCTTTAGCAACACACGCTAATGCTACGTTATATACACAGTAAAAGGGACAGATGAAAAGAAATGAACGAGAGTGCGTGAATGATTCACTGTGGATAGAGGGCGAGTTAAAGTATAATACCACACGCCAAAATTCATTAAAAAGAGAAGAGACACATATAAAGCAAACGTTCTTTCGTTTCTTTGCCTTTAATGAAATTATTGTGTCTTATTCGTAATTTTATGATTTAAAATAGAAACTTCCTTTATTGGTATGTATTGCGTTAAAATATATTTGTCCACAAAGTGAGCTTCCTTTAGGAACACACACTAATGATTACTACATTATATACACGAGAAAAGTGAGCGAGGCGAAACACACCCTTAACTTTTACCTCAACTTTTGGACCTCTCAGCTAGATTCTTAACTCTTAGTTTATCTGTTAATTTTGTATAATGTGCCGTTAACAAGAAAGGCCAAAACCAAAAGTGGGACTGAGATATGTATGAGTGTGTGTTTGGAATAAATTTGCAAACTTGAATTTAAATTAATTTGACTTTAAATTTTTTATTTTGTTTTAAAGTAAGTGATTTAAATTGATGTGATTGATGTTTAATAGAAATTCTCTTAAAAATAAACTTGTAATAAAACTCAATATATATATATATATATATATATATATTTTATTTAACGCAAGAGTTATAGTTTATCATATTTACTCACATGTAAGTTTAGAGTTAAAGTTAAACAAAATAATCAAAGCATGTGTGCATCAATTTAATGTGATTATAAAAATGTAAACAAGATACTAAACATGCACTAAAATCTCTAATGATATTTAAAATTTAATAAAATTAAACTGTATATTATTTTTAATTTGAATTAGTTTTTTACATAAAAATTGGAGAGAAAAAAAAGTCCAATAAAAAATACCCCTTCCAGTCTTTCGGCTCATTGACGAGGAGCTAATGAGAATGAGAAGCAAAATATTGAGTCATTGACATCATGGAGTGTATCAGGAATAGATTGCGCTGTGTTTTTTTTTTTAATAATTTTTCGTTAATAATTTAACTAATTAGTCACTGATGTGAATTTCATGTTTTCAAAATAAATATCTTGCACTCTTCACACTAAAATAATAACAAATATCTTGCTCTATTCATCAAACAGTTAGAACTACATTGTTTAAAATTTAATTCAACATTTTAATAAGATAATTTTTAGTTATTATTTAACTATAAATTACTATTCTATCTTTAAAAATATTATTTTTTATTAAATAATTTCAATATTACATGTAAGAATATTTTTAATTAATTAAAAATATAAAAATATTTATATTAATAGTATATTAAAATTAAACTCTATTATTTATACAACAAAGTTTTATAATTATTTTCTAATACTACTTTTTATTTTGCTTAACCATAGTCCATATCACTTAATTACATATTCATTTTTATTTTTTTCTCTCTTTCTTTTATTTTATAGAAGATTATATAAAATGTACAACTAACACCTCATAGTAATAAATATCTTGCCCCTAAAACTTTAAAAAAATAATAAGTATTGCGTAAGGGTAAAATTGTGATAGGGAAAGGTAACATTAGTTTATTACTAGTGGAAAAGGGACAAGTGGCAACTTGCTTTGAAGCTTTATTTCGAGGAGAGATAAAATAAATAATAATAATAATAATAACTAAAGAAAAAAAATTATTTGGATAATGAAAGTAACGAAAAAAAATTACTTATTTGAATATTGAATGAGTAAAAAATATAATACAAAATAATAAAATTATATAAGAATTTTTTTTGTAATAATAATAATAATAATAATAATAATAATAATAATTTACTAAGAAAATTAACATAGTATCCTTTGTTAATACTTTTTATAATAATTTTAAAAAAATTAATATTAAAATAAACTTAAAAAATCATCTTTCATTTTATTATTCATTTCACTGCCAGAAAGGGTAGAAAAATGTAGGACTACCTTCCATTTTTCTTTCTTATCACTTCAAATAAAAACATTCAAATAAAACATTCAACCCCACGTTATTCTCGTTTCCAGCTGTACGGCAACTGGATTTGCCTCCGATCAAGTAAAATATTCCCTAATAAATTTCACTTTAAATTATATTTTTAGTCAAATATTATATTAAAAATTTCAATTTAATATATATATATATTATATAAATAAATGTTTTCAGATTAATTTTTACCATATTATGACGCATAAAAACAAACAAAAAATATAAAAAAATTATTTCTATGCGTCTATCAAATGTGCATTTAACTAATAATAATTTTTAAGAAAATATAGAACACTAAACTTAATTGAAATAAAAATTTGTATTATAATTTTATTTATTTTTAAAATATACCTGATTATTGTTAAAAATTTTGCTTTATTTGATATGATTTGATTAATATTAATTTTTGGTATTGAATCTAAGTATGTAAAAGGAGTAAAAAATATTCGTCGCAAAAATTGATAGAAAATGTATGAATTATTTAATTTATGTTTCCCCTGTGGTCCAAGCAGCCAATTTCTCGCTTATGAATTAGGTTCACAAGTTCCTATTAATGCTTGGGTAGCAGAGTTCCGAAGGAAATGGAGAAATAATTTTTCATTTATAAATTTAGAAAATTTTAGAAATATTAATTCTTAATATAAGTTATTTATATATTTTTTTAAAATTATTATCTTTTTACATATTTTTATTATTAATTGTTTAATAACTTATATAATAATAAATTATAAATTTAATTAAAATAAATTTAAAATACCGCAATTAATCTTTTAAAAAATAATATATTAACTATTTTTAATATTTTTTCTTACGGGGAGTGATTCAGTCCAACTATAAAATGAACCGAGAACCATGTTGGACCATGCAACAACACGTTCTGTAAAGTTACTCTCAAATCCAAAATCTGTTCCATTTGTATGGGAGTAAAAAAAAATGGCTGTTGCCGGGAAAATCCCCCGCGATCCGGTCCGGTGAATTCTGCCTTCGCCGGTACATCTTTGATTTGTCCTCTCCTCATTCCAAATCCATAACTCCACCTCTTTTCTTTCTCAATTTGCACTTCCCATTCTCAGATCAAATGCATAGTTTGCGTGCTCGAACTCTCGAATACAAGCTCGTGATTAGTTTTGCAACTTCTTAAAAAAATAGAAAATAATAAATATTAATTCTTCTGAATCTACTACTGATACATACTTGCTCGACTCGAGTTCATGCTGCCAGCTGAATAATTGCTTCTATTTTTTTTTTCTCAAAATTCGAAAGGGATCTCGTGTTGTTTAAGCAATAGATTGTTTTGGTCAATTTTTTTTCAATTTGGTTTTTGACGGAGGTTAACGACCTCGCATAATCAGTGTCCTGAGTGATGTATCTGATATCTTACTTGTTGTACAAGGGCGTGGCTGTTTTCTGGCGTGAACTCTCTGAATTGAACATTGTTGGTACATAGCCCAATAAGGCAAAAAGAATGGTTAACTTTTCGAGTATACTGGGGGATGAGAAATGTGAAAAGCACTTAATTTTTAGTGGAGAAATTGTTCTTGGAGGAAATTTTAGGACATTTTTGTATTTTCTCGGCCTTGCTTATTGTTTCATTGGATTATCGGCTATAACTGCTCGCTTCTTCCGATCAATGGAAAATGTTGTGAAGCACACAAGGAAGGTAGTGGAGGTAGATCCTGTTACTAAAACTGAAATTATTAGATATGAAAAAGTTTGGAATTACACAATTGCGGATATTAGCTTGTTGGCCTTTGGAACTAGCTTTCCTCAGATATCATTAGCCACCATCGATGCTATACAAAACATAGGGAAGCTTTATGCTGGAGGTTTGTTTTCCAAAGCTATTGTCCTGTTTCTCTCTTATTATAGAAGATTACAATCATGTTTGATTCGTTTATTGATTATGATTTTGGTGGATTTGACATTTAGGGAATATATGCAATGAAGTAGTTTTTTTTTTTTTTCCCCTCATGTTTTAATCCTCTGTCTTTCTGCTCTGACAGCCGCTTTCTTTTTACTGCTAAAATTACATTTATTTGGTAGGCTACATATAGTGCTGATTTGGCACATTCTGAAGTATTCACTTCTTTCCTTGTAGTTTCCTCAAATTGCTAAACAAGGGTTAATTGACCAAGCAATTGATTTCTCATTGTTTTACATGTTTACAATGGTTATTATAACCTCTTTTAAGACTTTGACTCCACCTCTGACTACTATTTATTCTGTACCAGAAGTACCTAGAGAATTTCTTGATTGATTAGTTGCTAACAACCTTAAACTGTCTAAAGTAGTTTTCCAAACTTAAGTGTGTGCAATAATTTTATTCCTTTTCAATAATACTGATGCTGCAGTATCAGTATTTTTTCATTCTTATCTTCAATTCTTTCTGGAATTATTGAGAGGCTCTAGACTGTTAACCATTATTGTAACTCTCTATAACTCTGCTAAATATTCAGGTTTGGGACCTGGAACACTTGTTGGTTCTGCTGCATTTGACCTTTTCCAGATCCACGCTGTTTGTGTAGTAGTTCCAAAAGCAGGAGAGCTGAAAAAGATTGCTGATCTAGGAGTATGGCTGGTGGAGCTGTTTTGGTCATTTTGGGCTTACTGTTGGTTATACATAATTTTGGAGGTAATTCCAATTCTTCTGTTTACAACATCTTAAATTTCTATTGTTTGCTTCCTTCTCATTTTTATCAATTCATTTCTGGACGTGTAAAAATCTAATTTGGGCGTTCATTTCTGACACGAACCCTGCTTTTCTTAAAAACAGTATATAACCTACGAAAAAGAGAAAACTTCCGAGACTGCCTCTCACTTTCAAGAATGTTAGATGTGATTCTTAGGTTTTCATGGCCAATGTCTTTAAGTGAATTTGCATCTCCTACATGGGCACTGATATCCTACAAAAGGATGCGCCCCAATCAGCAAGTCATGACAATTACAACTCATTACTCATACTTAGGGTTTGATAACTTCAAAAACAATAAAAAAAAATATAAAAAAAGTTGACATATGAGGACTATCTTGTTTAACTGTATCATGACTTTTTTTATTCAATATTTTATTGTTCTTTTTTATTTTTTGTGATATATTGATTATGAAGCTGAATGTAGGTGTGGACTCCAAATGTGGTGACTCTGTGGGAAGCCTTGTTGACAGTACTGCAGTATGGATTACTATTGATCCATGCTTATGCTCAAGACAAACGTTGGCCCTATATTTCTCTACCAATGTATATGCTTCCACTGGTTTCTTTTTATTATAATTGACCAAAAATATTAAGATTCCTTGATCCTCTCAAATATTGATCGTGCTAGTCTGATGCCTTATTGTATATTTGAAGTGCAAGAGATGATAGGCCTGAGGATTGGGTGCCAGAAGAGACTCCTTACTTTCAACAAGAAGCGCATGAGAAGGTGGAGTGCTATGACGAAAAAAATGTGGACACTGTTGAAATTTTTTCCATTTATTCAGAAAACCTGACTGGTAGTTGTCCCCACCTTAATGTAGTGAAATTTGGCTTGACTTGGCACGATGTTTTCTTCTTCTGAAACAATTTACTTAGAAACTGAAACATCCTGAAATTCCCGATCATACTGTGTCAAAATGTTTCTAATTTGCAGATCCATTGTATGTCAGAGTACCTCAAATAGATGAGGAGGCTGAAATTTCAGACGAAGTTAAAGAAACTACGTTGGAGGATACCCATTTGTTTACAATTTGGACACAACAATTTGTGGATGCACTGAGGGTACTTCATTTTATGTTGCTAGTGTGTCTTTAAGATTAAATGCTGATATCATAGATTCAAGGAAAAAACTGTTAAGAACAAGATCTTATCATTGATTCATGAACATCGTTACTATTACTGTTACTAAGGCTATATACTAAATTACTAAGTTTATGACTATGAAGGCTAGGATATTGGCCTCTTCTGATAAAGAAATGTATTCTCTCAGGATAGTACAATTGATCTTATGTTATTATATATATATATATATACCCACATCATGTCACAAATTCACTTATAATTTTAAGGAAAACTGCAAGTTGAAGGTCATGCCCATCTCTCTGCTCCTATGTTGATCTCACTCTATTGTCTTTTGCCTCCTGGTAATTCCTATAGTTATGAAACCATCTTGCTCTCCTGTTTTGGTTGCCTATGTTCAAAATCATTTTCTCTCTATTTTAATCCTTCGCTTCTTCTGTCCCTTACCTTCACAAAGGATTGTCAGTATCTGTCTACCCCCAAATAAATTTTAGATAGGTCAAATTTTCTAATAAACATAGTTCATTGTTTACATTTTTCTAGCTTTTGAGTCAGTTTGTGATTCCACACTAAGAAATTATAAATGGAAATTCCTAACTATCAAGCTAATTTTCTAAAGGCCATTTCCCTTTTGTACTTTATGTAGTCATAAATTTAAGACATTTATAACATTTATACCTTGCTGTTATTTTGAAGTTTGGATATAATGGTATTTATTGAATTACAGAGAATTAAGTGTTATTCATTGTAAGGGCAAAAATTCACAGTTTGGAGCCAGATTTGGATAGTAGTGCAATTTACTAACCATACATCCTTTAATAATTAGCATTTTTTTACGGTAGTTTGAAATTGTGAACATTAATTTACTGATAAATAATTCTGATGTAGAATTCCAACAACATATTTTCAATTTCTGATGTCTGAGTCTGCAATTTCTTCAACAGTTGGAGAGCCCAGAATCAAAAAAATTGAACAATGTCTATCTCCGCATAGCTCGAATTTTCTGGCAATTGCTGCTTTTACCATGGAGATTTTTGTTTGCTTTTGTTCCTCCATGCCAAATCGCTCATGGGTGGATCTCCTTCATTTGCTCTCTGCTTTTCATCAGTGGGATAGCTTACATTGTGACTAGGATCACAGACCTTATAAGCTGCGTCACAGGTTTTCTTAGAACTCAATGATATTCCTGTTCACTTCTTTAAAGTTCAGCATAGATCCAATGTTTTCTCTTTGATTGTCAATTCATATTTTAATTTGTTTTTCTTAATATTTGGCAGGCATTAATCCTTATGTTATAGCATTTACAGCACTAGCCAGTGGAACCTCATGGCCTGATCTAGTGGCGAGCAAGATTGCTACTGAACGTCAAAAAACCGCAGATTCTGCAATTGCAAACATCACTTGCAGGTCTTTATCTCAATATGCATTTCATTCTTGCTCTAGGACATGGTCACATGTCATCAATACGTGATGGTTTGCCTTAAAGCTTTTCTTAAAGAAGGATATTAGTAGTTAGTAATTTTCCTGGAATGCAGCTTTTGATTTTTCTTGCATTTTAGTAGTTTAATCCGAAACTTCTGAAGGAAGTTATAAAGTCAAGTGGTTCAACCCCTTATTAGCTTTACTACGTGTTTCAAGCATCTTGGCTGATTTAAAACACAATCTGATCGATATTATTGAAGTCTATATGGTCATAAATATAAATGTTATGGAGCTGGCATCTGGAACTGAATTGGACCAGCAAACTATAGATTGTTTTGTGTTACAATGTCATCAAAGTGAAGATTGCAATGTTAACTGCAGGAAAAGAATTATCTTAATAATGTCCTTTAATTCTTGAAAATTATGAATATAAGAGAGGGAATTTATTTGCTCAGATGAAATTCAATTCAAAGGAAACGAGGACTAAATTGGACACGAGTTTTGTAATTGATAAGTATTGTGATCTGTGGTACCTTTTTTAAATGTAACAGGTATACCCTTTTTGTCCTTCAAGTCAAATTTTGGAATTAAAAAAATCAAATTCCTATATTCACGACCACTAAAAATTTCAATATGAATATGGAATACCCAATATTGCAGAGATCTTAGGTCCGCAGTTATTCTTATTCCCTTGGTCCGAAGCCTTTCAGATAATAGGGGATCTTACATACTATTATAAAAAGAGATATATTTTTTGAATCCGGATCGCCTGTAGTTCTGGCAGAAACTGCATACTGCAGTTTTGAATTAGCTTAAACGAAATTTTTTTACTTAAGTGAATTTTGGTAAAAAAATGATTTTGACTTAAGCTATAGAAAATTCGTTTAAGCCAATTTTGCTTAACTCAGGAAAATTTGCTTAAGCGAATTTAGAAAGAGTAGCAGAAAAACTAAAGAAAAAAAGAGAAAGGGAGGGAAACCAAAGATAGGGCAAGAACACAAGGGAGAGGGAGAGCAGGAGAAAGCTAACAGAGAGAAGAAAAAATGGTTAGATGAGGAGAGAAGGAGAGGAGGATGAGTGGGGGTGAAGGGGAGGGAAGGAGAGGAGAGCTAGATGAGAAGAGAAGGAGAAGGAGACTGGGTGGGCCGAAGGAAGAAGAGATAGGGAAGGGGAGAAAAGAAATGGATTGAGTGAGAAGGAGAGAGGAAGAGTGTGGCTGGATTAGAAGGAGAGGATAAAAAAGAAAACCGAGAGAAGGAAACATTTTCTTCTTCCTGCGTATTTTCGCTTAAGCGACTCCAAATTCATTTAAGCAAAAATACCGCTTAAACAAAAATACGCAGAAAAAAGATGTTACAGTATATTTTCATTTTCGCTTAAGTGAATTTTTCTGGCTTAAGCGAAATTGGCTTAGGCGAAATTTCTTCGCTTAAGCGAATCCAAAACTGCAGCTTGCAGTTTCCGTTAGAAGTGCAGACTATCCGGATTCATATTTTTCATGCAACACTTTTCTGTATCATTATCTTCTCTCTCTCCATCACATCAATCATCCTTTCTCATACTTTTTTCTCTTCTCTTCCTATCTCCTCTCTAAGTTGTACAAAAAATTACACAAACTAACTTGTACCCAATGTAATTTCTCCTATAAAAATGCTAGTAATGCCTTCTTTAATGGTATCAGAGAAATGTTATTCTCATATCATATCTTCCCAAAAAACATGATATATTTATATACAAATAGCTTTTGATAACTAATGACTAACAGAGTAGTTACTAACCGATAACAACCAATAACAGAAAATAGCTATTACTGCCTAACACTTTAAATAACTAAATTATTTGCTAGGATTTCTGAATGAAATATCTTTATTTTGTAACATGCTTTTCCCTTTTCATTTTATGCCCGTCTGAATCCTGTTTTTATGAAGCATGGACTACTTAAGGTTACTTTATGGCTCGCCAAATCATTAGAGCTGGTTAGCTCAATTAACTTTAGTCTTTTGTTCTTTTTGCAGCAATTCAGTGAATATATATGTTGGTATTGGCGTTCCATGGCTTATTGATACTTTGTACAACTTCATAACATATAGAGAACCTCTCCGAATCCAAAATGCAGGGGGACTAAGCTTTTCGTTGATTGTTTTCTTCTCCACTTCTGTTGGCTGTATAACAGCTTTGGTTTTTAGGCGTATAATTTTGGGTGCAGAGCTAGGAGGGCCGAGGCTCTGGGCATGGATTACCAGCGCGTTCTTCACGTTGTTGTGGATTATTTTTATTTTACTATCTTCGTTAAAGGTTTCTGGGTTTATTTAGAATTATTTAGGGAACATATTTAGTCACTTAAATTTATGACATAGGTCAAACGCCATCTTTCTGGGTATTACTTCTATTTTTCTCTCTTTACATGTATTACATATTTTGATTAAAAGGCTTGTGGGGTGGGGATTCCAACAATTATCTAATCTAATAGCCATTAGATATTGATTTAGGTGGTGAAGTGAATAGAAAAGGCCCCACGGTATATAATTTCATCTTCTTGTCATTAAGGAAACGATAAGAATGAAGCAAAGCACCACTGATCGCCTTGTTAACGTCTGTGGGATAACTAGAATTATCCAATGGTGAGGCATCAAGGAAAGCCCTACACTCTTTTAGTTCCCTTTTTTGCGTCGGTTTCCCCACTTAAGAAAGACAACGGTGTCGTTTCAAACCCATATTCATCTACAGCCTCACACGTTATCCTTGTCAATGCGCCTATGAATATGAAACAAGCAACACATCCAATAATGTATGTATAATTTTATGTGGTATCTAGCACAATGCACAATAATTAATTACCTTCAAGTGGGATGAGTTTTGAGCCTGATTTGCAATAGACAACGCCTTGAACACCTATGTTGGTGGATACAAGTTTTTTGAATGTTAGTAAATAACAATATTTTTGTTGTGAATCGTTTAACAATAAAATATGAAGGTACATTGCATGGGCTATAGAATGTTGAAAGTTGTCTTTCTCAGACTGGGATCAATAATTGTTTTATTCCTTTTTTGGTCCAAAACATTGCTTCTAACTTGTATTTAGAAAACGTAAATGCCAACCGCTTGTTTCCAATTAAATTAAAAAATTACATACATGCGATGAACGCACAGCTACCTGTCATTCCAGGCCATACATAGCTTTAATTAGGGGTGATCATAAATGAATTCAACTAATATTCCATCAATCTGACTTGATTCAAACTAAAAATTTTAGTGTATATATAAATATTAGATTACTTTAATTCTAACTCGATTATTATTGGATTATGTACAATCAACTCGATCAATTTGAAATAACTCGAACTACCTTATTTTCGTTTTTTCTGGTTTTATTATTAATATTATTTTAAATTTTGTATATGTTGTGGATAATATGGAAATTTATCTTTATTTTGAATAATTGGTTGTTAAAATATAGTAAAGAATTATTTAATTTGTATGCAGTTCCTAAAGCTTTTGGGATAATTCAATCGTGCCATGCTTTCTGTATCTATGATTCATGCCATGCTACTATTTTATTATATATATATAAGGAACTCTTGCATGAATGGTTTGTTAGAAAATTTTTGATTAATTTGATTTTAATTAATTGGTGATATAATTTTTATAAAACAAGTAAAATGGATAACTTAATATTTTTTCTATAATTACATATAATTTTGTGATCTATTAGAAATTTAAAAAACATCATGCTTATGTATTTACTGAGTTTAAACTTAATTAACAGGTGCATTACAATTTTGTGTAGAGCTTAATAGGCTTGATATCCACAATAAACGAATATTATGCGTTACATGTATATTATACAAAAAAAGAACAGGATCACTGTTTATTTTTACTTACTATGACTTCTCACAGTTTTATCAGAGTGAGAACTCAGATAAATTAAGGAAGACTATGAGTAGAAAATTTTATTCTTCGACATATGCATTTGGGCACGAACTTTTTTTTTAAAGTATCGTTTTGAATTTTTTTTTCAAAGAATATGCAATTTTATTTATTCCAAAATTAAGCATACTAATTTTTAATATATATTTCATTAAAATTGCTTACATCTTCACTTTAGAAACAGAAAAATGTTAGTTTTGACATCTGTGAGAAACACGCGTACAGTGGATGTCGTGATGTCTTCATTTTTTATTTTTTTTTTCTGATCATTTCTTTAGTTTTTATGTGATATGAAGGAAATTAAAAATATAAATAAATCTAATAAAATATAAACATACAATATAATTTTTTTCAAATAGATGCTACAATAACGTGATTCTTTTAGAAAAAACAAATTCATGACAAATCTCATGAATTGACTTCACCATTGTCATAAGCAAAATTCAACTAGATAGTTGAAGTGGTTGGAGAGAGGGAACAAACATGAAGGAACAAAGGATGGCTCAAGAACCTTTATGAATCCATATCGGAACACCGTATTAAAACTTGCAATAAAAATCTTAAAGGGAAGGAGGTTTCGTCATTTCCTCCTACCAACGAATTACATATGAAATCAACACGTTTAGCAAAACATTAGAAAAACCACGTACACCATAAACAAAAATAAAATAATAAAAAACAATAAATCATGCATGATTCTTGACTTCGCATCCTTTTTATGTTAATTTTGTTTGGGAAACCGATGGACGTGGATCATATAGAAGCCGTTTCAATAACCATTAGGGGCTGGAACTGATGTGGATTGGGAGGTGCAGAAGAAAGGTCCGACAGAGTACAATTTCTTCTTATTGTCAAGAATACGATAAGAAGAAAGGGTAGCACCACTGATCCCGTAGTTAACATCGCTGGGAACTTTACACGTCTCTAATGGAGAACTCTCAAGGTATGCTTTGCATTCTCCAAACTTCAGTTTGTGTCCAAACTCCGCAAGTGTCACTGTGGCCAAGAAATAACCTTTTCCATCTGTTGCATCACTCAATACTGATATAGGACCTGTCTCGTACCCATTCTCGTCCACACATCCGCACGTAACTCGTGCCACGGCTCCTGCACCCCTCACACGTCCATCCATATACAATTATTAACAAATATATATCACCATACCCCAAACTATCATAACATAAGTTCTTTAATTGACAACACAGCCATAAAAAATGTTTTAAAAATAAAAAAAAATAATATACCTTGAATTGGGAAGTAATTAGAGCCTGATTTACATAAAACAACTCCTTGGACACTGATGATTGTGGGCAGCAGTGGCACTTCATCTTCTCCTTTTGGTTTGGGCACTTCATAATCTGGTTTCGTAGGCTGTGGTTTGTAATAATCTTTTTCGGGTTTGGGCACTTCATAATCTGGTTTTGTAGGCTGTGGTTTGTAATATTCTTTTTCGGGTTTGGGCACTTCATGATCTGGTTTTGTAGGTTGTGGTTTGTAATCTGTTTCGGGTTTGGGGTTCTGAAGCGTTGGTGCTGGACCATATCCATAATCAGTTGCCGAGGCAAAGACTAGCAATGCCGAAAGCAGCATAGAGGTTGCGAAGAGGGACTGAAGGAAAGCCATTAATAAAATTCTTTGTAATGCTTTTGCAAAGGGGTAATGAAGAAATGCTTCCAATTTATGGTGAGGTACGAATGCACTAAATACCTTCTCTATTTATAGAGAGAATGATTGCCCAATTATCTTATTCATAATGTTTTGGAAATGTGGAAGAAATATATAATACTGTATGGATGATTGGATGGAACAAGATAGTTGGTTTCACGTTATGGACCTGACAACCATAAAATTCATGGTCAATGCTATGTGATATTCACCTCTATATATTTTGGACACGGCATGGTATTTCATTTGCAGGTGCTCCTTAAATCCTTTCGATGCAATCATAATATTTTTTATTTAAAAAATTATTTTAAATTTTTTAACCAGTATTCTTAAGACAACAGTTCACATATATCAAATTTAAATACTAAATTATTTGATTGGATCAACTAATTTTTTATTAATCATTCTTATAAGCTTCAATTGTTTTACTGAACTTCCCTCAGGATAAAGTGCGATCGAGGTTCATCTAACATAAGACCTTTCTGGTTAATATCTGTCGATAATAGATGAAATACTCGTAATTTGTATCTCTTATTTTGGTGACATAATAGATAAAATAAAAACAATTGTTATAAAACAAGATCTTAGTGAATCTGTTCTGTTCATATCTTCAGCAACATGCTATCTTGTTAATGTATGTCACTCATTCCTATTTATTTTGTTAGATAAAATCTCATATAAATAAACTTATTAAATGATTTAAATTTATCTTTTATTAATGAAGTAACGTGAAAATTTATTTAATGATGAAAGTATTTAGTAGTTAAAATCATTTTATAATAAAAATTTATTTAATGAATTTTGAGTGTAATTGACAACTCCATAATAGAAATACGACAGAAATGTTGTATTTAAAAATCTTCGCGCAATTGGTAAGAATTGCACCAGACTATTTGATTTTAATAAATAGAGTTTATAGTAAAAATTTAAATTAAAATCTATAAAAATAAAAATTAATAAATAAATAATAATAAATTTTTATGTTATAATATTTTAAAAATTAAAAAAAAAACATAAATATAAAAATAAAAGTGGTAATTAATTTAAAAATATTTGTTATATTTTAATATCTTTAATTATTTTAAATATTTAATTTTAATTATAAGAATTAAAATTAATAAAAAAATTAGTAATAAAATATAGTTATAATAAAATTTTGTAAACTAATATAATGCTAAAATTTAATAAATAAAGATATAAGGTTGTTTCATATATATAAATTTAAATAATTAAAAAAATAAATTTTAGAAAATAGATTTAGATACTAAACTAATTACACAAATATAGTTAATAAAAAAATCAGTTTAATGTGGATCTAAATTTTTAAAATCAATTTGACATTGATTATGAATTAGATTTATAAAATTAATTTTTTTAACACCCTAGGCTCCATTACGAAATCTCATACATGTTATGTTTGAAAATTTTGTGTTGCTAGTTTATGAAATGTGAAAGGCGTATGAGACGTGGAGGATCCAAATATAGTTTTAACATTGTGTAATGGCCTTTTTATTAGAAAAGGAAAAAAAAAAAAAAAAGGATAATAATAGCATGTGCTGCGCGATTCAGTAATATTAACAAATACTGTTTAAAATGGGATTGGGAATAGCACACATCTTTGCAAATATGGAATGGGTTATCGGCCCCAAATTCATTTTCTTTATTTTTTATTTTTGGATCAAAATAGTTAAACCGCAACAACACAAATTCTTAAATAGAGAAAGGATAGGATCACACAAGAACGTGGTTCATTGAAATGTGAGTGAAATCCACCCTCTCTGCCCCACCCCCAATTTCCCCATCTCCTACAACGAAAACGGCCTTTTACCCTTTCATGAAAAGCTTCGTTGCTGCTTTCAACTCGTCAACACTCATCATCACCTCATCGGAATAGTTACCTTCCTTTGCATGGATATGAAGTTTAAATATTTTGAAGTAAATTATCCCAATCCGGATCTTTCTCTTTCAGGCTTATATAGTTGTTTTTCATTTGTGTGATTATCATATTAATTGTAGATATTATATTATACTTAATATTAGGTTTACACAAAGAACTCAAGGGGATTGCAGCTTTTCACCTGCCAATGGTTGCCTTTTTCTTCTCCCAAGGCTCTTGTTTTCCTTTGTCATGGTTGATTCTACACTTCTATTCTCTCTCCTTCACATTCTTCTCTCTATCTCACGTTGGGAGTGATTGTTTAACCTGATATTGTTGATTGCTGGCAGGTTATGGCATGGAATGTAGTAAATTCATGAGAGGTAATCTATGTTCTTTGATGACTTCTTGTTTTCCTTTGTCATTACTCATTTCTCTCTCCTCTTTTTCTTTTATGAATTTTTTGCTGAATTGTATTTTTAGTCCCTTATTTTAGTTTAAGATGCAATTTTAGTTTTTTATTTAATTTTAATTGTTGATATTTATTTTTTATAATTTTTTAATTATTCAAATTAAAATTAGTAATTTTGATTTCTTTGTTGATATTTTATTTAAAATTCTTAAATTCTCAAATCTCATTCAAAATTTTTATAAATAGAATTAATTATTTCTTTTATGCTTATTTCCTCCAAGAGCCTAATTTTTGCTCAAACCAGCTGAAGTTTTCAACCTAAAGAATGTAGTGTTACGTTTAATATATGATAGAGCATTGTATGATCTTTTGCTTGTTTGATGGCTACAGCATGTGGAGAGAAGTTAGCGAATGCTGGATATGCAGTGTTTGGGTTAGACTATGAAGGACATGGACGCTCTGCTGGTGTTCGTGGTCTTATAAATAGGATTGACAATATTGTTGATGACTGTGAAGAATTTTTCAGGTCAATTTACGGTAAGGATTCAATTTTTGCCTTCATAAACAAAATTCTCATTGTTGAAATGAATACTTGAGAATTTCTTTATGTTGAGTTGCTTACTCATTTGGGTATCTCAGAGTTCGAAGAGTACGAAGGAAAAGCCAAATTTTTGTATGGGGATTCATTGGGAGGGGCAGTGTGTCTACAATTACATAGAAGGGACCCTTCATTTTGGGACGGTGCCGTTCTTGTTGCACCTATGTGTAAGGTATGAGTGCCTTTTGCACGTGAGAGTGTGGACATACAATTTTAACTCTCTAAGCAGAGTATTAAATTTACATATTTTTTTAATAAGTTAAAAATAATTTATACTTCTCAATTTTTTAAAAATATTTTCTTATTTAAAATTCTCTATATTTTAAAAAGATAAATCATTTTCAGCTTGTAAAATAAGATGGATTATTGTTGACCTAAGAAAATGTGTGACATGCTTAATGAACATATGTTCAAATAAATGTCAGATATCAGAGAAGCTGTTCAAGCCACTCCCTGGGGTTTTGAACGTGTTAACGAAAATTGAAGATATTATACCAAAGTGGAAAATAGTTCCCACAAAGAATATCATTGACTCTGCCTTCAAAGATCCTACCAAAAGAGAAGCGGTGAGGTTTAGATAGCGTTTGATACACATGATAAACTGGGATGCAACATAACATATAAACTTTATTAATGTTTCATGTTTTATTTAAAAAATAAAACACAACAAGACATGGGGCTATAAAAGTACTACATTTTAGTACCATTATACCTAAAAGAGGTGGATTCTAAGAGACGAATAACATGTTCCATTTTATAACACTACCCCAATGTCCTTTCTCTATATTAATGAAATTTCCAAACTTAAAATTAACTATAATTGGCAACTATTGAGTAATGACTGAAGTCTTGTTTTATAGTGTCCGGGTTAGTTATATGTCCTTTAATGATGATTGCAGATAAGGAGTAACAAGCTGATATACCAAGATAAGCCCAGGTTAAAAACAGCAATGGAAATGCTAAGAGTTAGCACGAATATTGGAGACCATTTACATGAGGTGATTTATAGATTCATTAATTTGCTTTTTGAATATATTTGTAATCAAATTAGCCCACCTTCTATTTTGGCTTAAAAATCAAATTACCCCTTTTTGGTCTCATTTTATGAGTTTTTAGCAGGTGACACTTCCATTTTTACTGTTACAAGGGGAGAAAGATATTGTGACAGACCCAGCAGTAAGCAAGGCATTATATGAGCAAGCAAGTAGCACAGACAAGACCATAAAATTGTATGACGGAATGTGTCATGGTATAGCAACTGGAGAGAGTGATGAAAACATCGCAATTGTATTTTCAGACATCATAACTTGGCTGGACGAGCGCGCTACCGAGAAAGATTTTTAAGTCTTTTGACCAACCAATTCAAAATGATCCAGCATTGAGAAATTAGCAACAACTACTTCACCTGCTAATGTTGACAAACATGACCAATAAACTGAATCGTGGAAGAGCAATCTTGATTATTTGCATGGACTCGGATCATTAGTGTTGAGTTATATACGAGCCACTCTTGTGGGTGTTGTCTTTTATGCCATGCCAACTTGTTAGAAAATTTTGTTCTATCTTGGCCAACTTCATCAACCCTAATCCAAATTGTTTCCATAACAGAGCAAAAAAAGGCTTCGAAGTGCAAATTTTGTGGGGAAGATGCTTTTTGCAACTTTTTTTCTCCCTTCTTATTACACCATTAATAAATTTTGTAATTGTGGAAACATATCACTAAACAGAATCTGAAAAACATAAATTATTGGTGTACGTCTCTTTTTCTATTTCTTTCCAGAAAACTTATTCTAATAAGTTGTTATCTCTTCTTCTCTAGAAAGTATGAATTATTCTTCTACAATGATCCTAAATAGTTTTGGAGTATCAATAATCACAATACATCTAACCATTAAATTAAAAAATGCATTTACTCACAGAAAGAAAATGAGCAGATGTCACCATTAGAATATCATCAATCCTTGCCAAACATCTTCACAGCCACCATCGATGCCTTCTCTACCTAAGCCACAGCACAAAATCAACTCTACAACGTTCCACTTTTATGCCATTGCCAGGTGTACAAGCCACAGACGACGCGATTTTTTTTATTATCATAAAAGAATATTTTAAAAAATAATATCAAGAAAGTGATAAAAGAAAGAAAGAAAAAATGGTAGAAAGCGAGATACTTTTTTGGGTTAGTATGATAATAGAAATGATATTTTGATTGATCTTAAAATATTTATTAATGTCACTTGTAAATTCTATTTAAATAATGTATTTTATAGTTGAATTGAATTTATGATAAAAGAAATTGTTACAACTTTTTATGAATAGTAAGATATGGATTTTAGAATTTAGTTCTTTTAAATCTTTTTATCAACTAAATTACGTTAAAGTCAATTAATACTTTTTAAAATATATGACATAATAAATTTACTCTTATTTAATATTATTGAATTTAATTTTACTAGCATAGTTGTTTATTTTAATATAGGTTTCTATAAAATTTATTTATTAAGGATAAATAAAAATATATTAATAATTTTTTATAAAAATTATAAAGTACCTTATAAAAATAACTACTAAAATTTTCTAGAATGCGTCTTATAAAAAGGATTAGGGGAGCATAAACTAAGAGTAAAGTTCTTCCACCATATTGCAACATGACATTTTTATTTTTATTTTTAAAGTTATTACTTTTTAATATTTTATTTCATTTATATGTTGCTTAATATTTTGCACTCTAACATTTTCAACTAAGTTTTTGATAATTTTATAATCATTTTAATATTTTTAAAAATTAATAAAAATGTAATCATTTTAATAAAATAAAAAATCTTATTATAAATGTTAAATATAAAAATTATATTAATATAATACTCAACATCATAAGAATATTATTTTTTTATAATATTTTATTAATTAAAATTTACAACAGGAAATTTTTCATATTTTTATTTTATTAAACTTATCACCTCATTTATGTTTTATTAATTTTTTATTTATTTCACTAAATGTTACTTAATTTTTACAATCTACACTTTTCAATTTATATTTTTTATGATTTTATAATCATTTTTAATACTTTTTAAAAAGACTATAAAAATATAACAAATTTTAATAAAGTATAAACTTATTATTCATCACATCATTTAATCTGTCTTACTGTGGTCACTTGCATAGTATTATTATTTAATCTCTCTATTAAAAATTACTTAGATAAAATTTTCTGAACCCTTTATAATTAAAAGATTTAGCACCCTCTCTTACACATAAAATAGTCATCATGTTAATAGATAGGAAAGTTAGTGATTTAGTTTAAAAAAATATTAATACCCTCTATTTTTTAAGATATATCACAAATGTTAATCTAAAAAAGTATAAAATAATCTTATAAATTTATGAGCATAATAAACACTTTATATTAAAAGTATCATAAAGTTAACAAACCTTAATTTTAATTTTAATTTTAAATTTTATACTTTTACCTACCATATTAACAAAGATCATTTGTATCATAATTTTTTTATAAATATTAAAGTATCAACAATATATTTTATTTTTATTTAATAAAATAAAATATTTATGATTAATAATAAAAGTATTGTATAAGTATATTTATAAATTTTATTTAAATTTAACTATACTTATACAATGCGTAAGAAACTTGTTAAAAGTTTATCAGCCAAATATCAATTTTCAATAAATTTTAGGAAAAAGAGTACCCTGATCACTTAAACTTTTGCACGTTTACAAGTAGACTCCTTAAATTATATTTTTTTCATCTCAATTACTCTTTAAACTTCATACCAAGATCAAATAATACCTTCTGTTAAGCCAAAATTAATTGACTGACATAGAATAAATCATGCCCCATTGATTGAGACTAAATCTTAATTGTTTATTAATTATATTTTTACAATTCGTTTATTTATATTATTAAAACATAATTATATTCTAAATGAGTTTATTTAAGTTTCGCTATTAAATAAACACCTTCATCCTAAGTGCATTAATAACATTTAATTTATAAAACAATAATATATTTTTTTACACAATATCTCAAGTTCGTGAGGTCAATAATTAAATTCTGTGTTATGTTCGAAAACCTAGTGTTGCTGAACTATGAAATATGAAAAGTCAACTCGTGATTTGTAGGATTCAAATATACATTTAGCATTTGCAATGCCTTTTTTTATTCTGAGAAAAGTAAAAAGGATAATAGTAGCGTTTGTTCCCACTATTGGTAGTATGCACAAACATAACATCCGCAAATAATGTCCACTGTTTTATTTTTTCTCATTCATACAATTGATGTTAAAATTGGGATTAAGAATGTCTCATTCATTGTGCATTTTTGGATCCTTTTGGTGAGAATAAAAATATGCAACGATGCAAATTCCCAAATAAAGAAATGACAACATCATGCATTTCTAAATAAACCAGATTCCTCTGGACCCACCCCATCTCACATAATGGAAAATGTCTTTTTCCCATATATCATAAGACTTTGGTTGTTGCTTTCTACTTTTTAACTTTCATTATCACCCCACATTGCTCATACTCTTCTCAAAGAATATCAAAACATCAACCAATTGTGTTTTGTTCATCTAACAACATCCACTAAACTATCATCAGACTATTGGGCTTCCCTTTCATGGAATTGAAGAGCAAATATTTTGAAGTAATTAAATTCTCCTAACTCATCTCTTTCTTTCAAGCACTCATGAATAGTTTGTGTGATTATTTTAATTTATTAATTTTGGACATCACATCATCATAACGTCAGGTATACACGAAGAATTCAAAGGGAAAGCTGATCCTTACCAGCACATGGTCACCCAATTGTTTTCCAAAGGCCCTTGTTTTCCTTTGTCATGGTTCAATTGTTTTCCCTTAATCCTTTACTCATCAATGTGTACTTGGTCCATTAGTTTGTATATGCTTAGAGGGGTTGTTTCACCTAGCTTTTGTTGATTACTTATTGCAGGTTATGGCATGGAATATGGTAAATCCACGAAAGGTAATACATATATTCCTTCTTTGTCGTTTCCCCTTTCTCTTTCTATTAATGTTAATTATTGCTTTCCAGCAATTATTACATGGTTCCAAAAAATTGCAATTATGAACGGTGCACTAATTAATCATTTCTAAAATTATTTTAAGAATATTTTTTTAACCCATTTAATATTGCATCATAAGAAGATATATAACAAATTTTTATCAAAATAATAACATTTAAAAGTATTAATACATTTAATCATATATAAATTTTAATAAAAAATTGATGTATATAACTTTTTATCCTAGGGAACTAGATTCCTTGTAGTTCATTTTTCAATTGCATAGGATGCAGTTACAAATTCAATAATATTTAGCTTATAAAGAAGTTATCATACATTGCTCAAAATCAAACAAATCAAATAAGATAAGATTTGTTGTTCGTTTTATGCTTCTAGCATGTGGAGAGAAGTTCGCAAATGCAGGATATGCTGCGTTTGGGGTAAACCATGAAGGACATGGACGTTCTGCAGGTGTCCATTGTCTCACAAAAAAGTTTGACGATGTTGTTAATGACTGTGAAGACTTTTTCAAGTCAGTTTGTGGTACCGATTTAATATCTAACCTTATAGAAGCAATAAATAATCTCAATGCTGAAACACTTTAGAATATATTGAGTTGTTGACTCCTTTGAATATTTCAGAGTTTCCAGAGTATAAGGGAATGGCCAAGTTCTTGTATGGAGAGTCAACGGGAGGGGCTGTGTGTCTACTATTGCATAAAAAATGCCCTTCATTTTGGGATGGTGCAATTTTTGTTGCACCCGTGTGTAAGGTTTGAACACTTTTTGTGAAGCTAAGACATTCATTCAAAACATCCTCTTTCTCTACTTAATAACATCGTTTATATATAAATACAAACATTTTTCAGATATCAGAGAAGCTAAGGCCGCATCCCAAGGTTGTCAACATTTTGACAAAAGTGGATGATATTATCCCCATATTGAAAATATTTCCCACAAAAGATGTCACAGACTCTGCCTTAAAAAACCATGCCAAAAGAGATACGGTGAGATTTAGGTACCATTTAATATATATATCAGAATGAAACGAAATACAACATGAGTTTTCATATATATAACTTTTTATAATGCAAATTTGATTATATGTCCTTTAATGATGCTTGCAGATAAGAAATAACAAATTGAAATTACATGAGGACAAGCCTAAGTTAAAAACAATGGAAATGTCGAGAACCAGTGTGAACCTCAAAGATAAATTACATGAGGTGATATGCAATTTTGATTTTTAATCTAATTTGAACCCGAATTACCCCACCCTTTTTTGCTTACAAAGAAAATTGCCCTTTTTATTGGGTCTCATTCTGAGTTTTGAGTAGGTGAAACTTCCATTCTTAGTATTACAAGGAGAGAGAGGAGTAGCAGATCCGAAAATAAGCAAAGCATTGTATGAGCAAGCCAGTAGCACAGACAAGACCATAAAATTGTATAAAGGAATGTGTTATGATGTAACATCAGGAGAAACTGAAGAAAACATCACACTTGTATTTTCAGACATTATGGCTTGGTTAGACAAGCGCACTAGCAAAACAAGTTTTGAGTCCTCTTAACCAATTCAAACTGACAGCATTTAGACATTGACATCAACACCGTCACATGTTAATGTTGATAAACAAAATGTCCAAGGAAAACGGTGAATCAATTTTGATGAGTTGCAAGGACACCACTTTCCTAGTGGATATTGTCCATTGTGACTACGTAGTTACAAATTGTTTGAAAATTATGTATTTTTTGTGGCCAACTCACTTTCGATTGGTCTGTTTTAGTACAATTTTCATTGAAGTACAAATATTGGTAGGACTTCTCTGGGGCAGTTAATTAGGTAAGGTTCATAGTAGTTCAACATGATTTCTTTGTTCTTCCAAATTATATTACTATACCGTATTAGTTCGTTGCAAAATGGAATCTTAAACCACGAATGGTGATGATCATAAGAATGATTTCAACATGAAGGCAGCAAACTTTACAAAACCAAAGATCAAATTTCGAACAAGTGATTGAAAAATCTGAGTGAAATGTAGTATGTGAAGGTAAAATGTTGAAGTAACTATAATTGTATGGAACCTCTCCCACGTATCAAGTACATAAAGAAAAATAATTTAATAAAATTAAAAACTTTTGCAATATCTTTAAAGTTGAAATAGATAATTTTAACACTAACTTTTCTACTGCATCGGATCATGGTCTTATTATTCACTACCACTATGCTTAAACATAAACTTTATCTAATCAAAATAATTCCTACGCAAAGTAATCTTAAAATTCATATCTCATGAGCTTAGTAATTAAATCTCGTACGTGTTATATTTGAAAACCGTGTTGTCTACAAAGGATAAAAGGTCAACGCTTGGAAAACAATAGCATTTCTTTTTTGGATCTTCTTAATCAGAATAAATAAGCGCAACAATGCAAATTCATAAATAAAGAAAAGATAGCATCAGATGTCTTGTCTCGTTAGAATAGAAATAAGGCTTATCCTAACAATTCCTTACTTTATCGCACATTATGGAAAAGGCTTTTGCCCCGATTTAAAGAACTTAATTTGCTACTTTCAACTTATGAAGTTAATTTTATCATAATGTGGTTGAAACATTGACCTGATTGTTAGTTTAATATGGGATAAAGGTCAAATCAGATCAATGAGCCCTGAATTTTAATAAATTTTTAACTTACTTTATCAACCTTCAAAAGTTTATTATATATTAAGTGGGTATTTAATTAAGACCATACGTAAGGAACGATAATGAATGTCCTTTGTGTGATTGTGGACACCATTCAAAACTTCCTCTTTATCTCCTCAATGAGTGTATAACATGGTTTACGTTGACACAAAAGATATGACATGGTTTATGCAAATGTTTTAGTGTATGCCAGATATCAGAGAAACTAAAGCCATTTCCCGTGGTTGCAAGACATGTTGACAAGAATGGAAGATATTATACGAAAGTGAAAAATAGTTATCGCAGGGGATGTCATCGATTCAGCCTTCAAAGATTGTGTCAAAGGAGACTTGGAGAGACTTACGTGACATTTGGTAGACTTGTTTAAACAAAAAAAAGAAACATGGATTTTATTTTATGTTCAATGTATTTTAAAAATAAAAGCAAGTTGATATATCACAAACCCAGGTTAAAAGCAGAATTGGAAATGCTAATAACCAGCGTGAGTCTTGAAGGGAGTTTACATGAGGTGATCTACATATTTGCTTTTTGAATCTAATTTGTTATCAAATTACCCCTTTTTGGGTCTCATTTTATGAGATTTTGGGTAGACATTTCTATACTGAGAATTGCGTGAAGAGAGAAAGATACAGTGACATACCCAAAAATAAGCAACGCATTATATGGGCAAGCGAGTAGCGTAGATAAGACCATAAAATCATATCCCGGAATGTGGCATGACATAAACATGTGGAGAGATTAATGAAAACATAGAACTAGTCTTTGCAGATATCATCACTTGTCTGGACGAGGGAGCTACAAGGCAAGTCCTTTCAATCAACTGAAACGATAGCTTTCCGAAATTGACAACAGATGCACCCCCTGCTAATGCTGGCAAACAAGGTATCCACCAAACAAAACGGCAGGAAGCAACCTTTCCTAGGACGCTGCCCGTCAATGTAAAATTATAAACCGCCTCCAGTGGGTATTGTCAATTATGACCATGTAGGCAACTTGTTTTAAAATTGTATTTTACCCTGCCCAACTTCATCTATCATGTGATCTAAATTGTTTCAAAACTAAGGCTTAATGGTTAAGTGTATCGAATGTTTTAGTACAATTTTCATACTAGTACCATACGGTGCGAGATTCCCAGCCAGTCCATTTGGTATGATTCATAATAGTTCAAAAAGATTACTCTGTTCTTACAAATTATACGACTATTAGACTAGTTTGTTGTACAAGGAAATCTTAAAACAATGAATGATGATGTTCGTAATTATCTCAACATGACGGTAGCAAACTCTAAGGTCTAAAGATCAAATTGCAAATAAGTGTTGAAGTAAAGAAATTCGACTGAAATGGAAGGAGTGAAGGCAAAATGTTGTAATAACTATAACTGTAACCTCTTGCACATACCAATTACATCCCCAAAAAAAAAAAAATAGAAATAGAATATAGATGGCAGAAATTTGATAAATGGAATCATGACTAGCCTACCAATCTTGAAAGAGGGTAAATAACCCGCATATAAAGACTGACAGATGACAAATGCCAAAAGGGGGTTTAAGTAGAGCTCATATGATGATGCGACTAATGGACCTGTGTGCGGGAGAAGGGAAACACCCTAATTGTTATCATCGAACTATATTTTCCCATTCTCACTCTAACACGTACATGTAATATATTCCAAGAAAGACTTAGGCGATGGTTGCACCTTCCTTATGGTCACCAAAAATGCGTTGCCGGAAGTCAGAAACCATTAGTGGGAGACCCTTGCGCAAGTCTACCTTGGGTTCCCAGCCCAGAAGCTCCTTCGCCCTTCCTATATCAGGCTTTCTCTTGTGTGGGTCATCCTCTGTGTTCGGCCTGTACTCTATCTTCGCATCAGGGTCGATTGTTTCTTGGACCACCTACATCAGCATCACCCACAAAACTAATTTTAACGTACGTGTCTGGGCCAAAAATTCGCGCACGTACATCGAGGCATTCAGTAAACGGGGTCCATCACTTTCGGACAAAAGTTACTGAAACCACCGACGAAAAATGCAACCCTTTCTTCCAAACTAACACTCATTACTTGCATACAAATGATTAAAAATTGAATAAAAAATCTAGAATGTAGGAAACAATCACACCACAAGGTACATTGCTCCCGTGCATTTTTTGCTCTGGTAAATGACAACAGGAAAAATGAAGAAACTGATATCCCATGCCTAGAATGATGTACCGGGTTTCCTTAAGAGTAAGCTTCGATTAACTTGTTCGAAAGGACATGCCTTTCGAATTTGTTAGTACAATGCATATTAAAGAAGGCTAATATATATATATATATATTTTAAATTTTTTAATTCAGTTTTTTTTATTAGTTTATATTTAAAAAAGTCGAAGTAATATTTAAAAAATAAAAAATAAATCAATCGTAAAAAAATGTTTTAAAAAAATGTGTTGCTTAATCTTTACACTCTGGAGGGCAATTTGTCTCAGTCAAGCTAAATATATAAGGCAGTTTAAAACCTACCCCTCGTATGAAATATAATCGCAGAAAAACCCAACTTTACCTTGGCAAGTTCAAGCATGGTAAATTCTCCCGGATTTCCAAGATTGAAAGGTCCCACGTGTTCTCCTTCCATAAGACGGATTAGACCCTCCACCTATACCAACATAGACATCACATTAGTACAGCAATCTCACTGCATACAGATCCAGGCCAGAACCTAAGTAATTGCCGACGATATTTAATTATTGACAGTCCACGACTACAGGTGTTATTTATCAACCTACTGCATTCATATTACAACGAGATTGCCACTGTAATTTATTTATGCTTCATATTTCACTGTTTTCAGAGTTCATCTTGTGAACCTTTTATTGAGTAAATTGCAATATTAAGAGCTGGCCCACATGGGCCCTCAAACTTGCTTTCATTCACATGCAAGGGATTCTTCAGTGAAACGGGCCACGAGAAGATCACACACGAGTATTATTGTTTACTAAAAGAAAAGACCCTTTGCAGAAATCCAGGAATTGTTAGTGAACTTTGCAGCATGCACATGGGGTAAGATTGTTTTAAAGTTTCAACCAAATGAACAAAACTGCCTGTAATTCAAATCCAACCTTGCGCAACAAGCACCATATATGAACAAGTATACACAGATTGGGCAAAAAATATGCTAAGTAATTTCAGTTAAAGAAAGATATTCTGGCTTACCAAATCAGATACATACTGGAAACTCCTTGTCTGCTTCCCATCCCCATAAACGGTCAAAGGTTCCTTCCTTAGTGCCTGCAATAACGCCAACAATTAGAGAGAATTATTACCAATAAAGCCAACAACAACACGTTGCTTTCCCATTCAAAATCAAATAAATAAATAAACAAAAGGCTAACCTGAGCAACGAAGTTACTAACAACACGACCATCATCTAAGCACATTCGGGGGCCGTATGTGTTGAAGATTCTAGCAATTCTAACCTGAAAAAACAATGCATGTGATAGGAGGAGACACCATTAGAATTTTCACTAAACAGTTGAATTAATTAGCAAGGAGAAAAAAGATGGAACGTGACATCAGAAGAGTACCTCGACACCGGCACCTCGGTGGTAGTCCATGGTCAAAGTCTCGGCCGTACGCTTTCCCTCATCGTAGCAGCTTCGGACACCTGTCACGCATCCGTGCACCCACACAATTATTAAACGATAAATCACATTAAGAACTAACGGACAAACACTCCTTACTCCAAGCGTTACTTTACCCCTCTTTAGTACAAAAATAAATACCAATATGATAAATAAATCAATAAATTAAATACTGAGCGCTGCAGGTCCCGATCTTACGGACCAAAGTGCTCCTTCCTTCCCTTCCTCAAATCACAAACCCATCCAACATCGTACCAAGATGGTATAGCCACTGCCACCCACTATTACCACCCGCCATCTACCCTTTTCACATTTTGCATTCACCACTGCTTTGTTTGGCTTTGCGATGAACATCACCCAACGAATATCTCCACCTTTCATTTTGTGGACCCGCAAATCACGGGTTCATCGTTTGCGAGAACCTGTAATTCCTAGACGTTGCCCTATTGCTCCGTTCCACGTGTCCCATTAGGTAACAAAAAAGCCTAAAGAAAAGTTTTTTTCCTTGAAAAAGAAAACACACGGAACATGCTGCGGGGTGTGTCCCTGAAAATGCTAATTCTAATTCTATTTAACGGAACAACATAAAAAGTCCGGTGACCGGAGAATATGATAAGAGAAGAGGATGGTAATACTAACCAATAGGATTAACGTTGCCCCAATAAGTCTCCTTCTGAGGGTGCTGCAGAGGATCTCCATAAACCTCACTGGTACTGGTTAACAAGAACCTCGCACCCACTCTCTTAGCAAGACCCAGCATGTTGAGGGTTCCCACCACATTGGTCTTGTGAACACAATTAAGGACTACAAATTCCAAAAACAATTCGTAGATCCCTAAAGCAAACGATGAATGAAAAAGCCAAAGTAAAAGAGAAAAAAGGATATGATAGTCTTGACAGGGTTGAACTTGTAATGAACAGGGGAGGCAGGGCAAGCGAGATGGTAGATCTGATCCACCTCCAGCAAGAGAGGTTCAACGACGTCGTGGCGGATGAGTTCGAATCTAGGGTTCCCAAAATGGTGCATCACGTTCTCTTTCCTTCCAGTGAAGAAATTGTCCACAACAATCACGCTGTCCCCTCTCGCCATCAACCGATCCACCAAGTGCGACCCCACAAACCCTGCCCCGCCCGTTACTACGATCCGTAGCCCCTTCCTCTTAATCCCCAACGGCACCTTCCCCACCGAATGCACCGCCGCAACACGGTGGTGGAACGCGGGCAGCTTCGTCTCGCGCTCGAAGTATGAGATCGGATGCGGCTCGAATGGAACCGTCGAGGAGGGTGAGGAGGAGGATGAGGAAGGGACGAGAGTGAAGAACAAGGTGGCTATGATGACGCCAACTAGAACGAAGACGAGTCGCTGTTCTCGGAGCATGTAGCGAATCGGGCGAGTCACGGAGAGCCACGGTTTGAGGGGCTTCGGCGAGTAAGCGTCGTCCACGGGCTGAGTCTCGTGCCCTCTGAAAATCAATTCGGAACCCATTTTTTCTTTTCCGCTTTGAACTCTCACTCAATTATGAAGCTTCCTTCTTCCAATCGAAGCGCGAAGAAGAAGGAAATGAAGTTTGGATTGTGCGATGCGGGGAGAAGAAGGGGAAATTGAAATGGGGAAAGGGACTGAGTTTCGAGTTGGAAACAGACCGGAACTCGGTCACCGGCACGGTGGTGAGATGCTGGTGATGTCTAATTAGTGTAGATCCGCGGGTGCGTTTTGGTATTTAAAGTAAGAGGGAGTGTTAGAAGGGGGGGAAGGGGGTTTCATTAAATGACCAAAGTACCCTCATTGGCCTCAAAATTTAACGGCTGTGATTGGGCGCGTGGGTTGGGGAAATTGGGAGTTACTTAGGAGTGAAACAGAGAGTGGTGTTTTTTTCATTTCAAAGGAGGTTGGGTTTGCTGATTTTAAGAGCTACCTCGCTTTGACTAGCAATTGGAATTGGAATTGTTGCAAATCCTCTTTTGATTCTTTAGTCATAGATCAATTCTCTGCCGCCACGGTTTATGTCACCAAAAACACCCCTCACCGCCCCAACTATTTCTTTCTTTCTCTATCATTTTTAACCACAGTAAGTAAGATTCATAGTTTCCACTTTCTACCCCATAAAAAACATAATTAGGATCATCATAATCTAATCATTTATATAAATTTAGTATACATTTCAAAACAAATGTAATAATACAACATTTTATACATATATCCCATGTTTTGTGGTTTATGCATCGCAATCATTTTAGTTGGAGATGGTATTTTTTAAAACACAGTTTGTAGTACTGCTTTAGGTGAAGATACCTCCAACATGCTATGTATCCTTTCTAGACCCTGTTGGTTTTTTAATTCAACCTAAGCATTGCGTGATAAGTATTATATTTATACTTCTGCCAATATACAATTTTTATAAGGAAAGGATACCCTTCAGGTTACTAGTTATTAATATTTCATATTTTAAAAATACAAATATTCAATATTTTCTTTTTTAAAAGTAAATAGGAAGACCATTCGAAAGATTTAAACTTATTCTTCATTAAAATCAATGAATAATATTAAGAAAATAGTTTGAGAGGATAGAGCAACAGTTGATTTAAAATATTGTGAAATATTTTTTTTATAATCGTGAGGTATCATTGCAATGACAGCAACCTTATTACGCCAACTTTACGGGTCTTGTTCCGTATGTCTGGTGTGGGCTAAAATAAAAGTGAAATAGTGATGACATGATAATTTGGTGAGTTCTTAACGGAATGATATCATAATATAAAACAACTATAATAACATTTTATCTAATTAGGAGTGCATGGTTATTGACAAGCATATGCACAAGTTGTATAGAAGATTAATTGTTGACTCTATAGGAAGGATATCAAAACAAGCTAAGGGTGGGGTTTAGATCAATTTATTTATTCAAAAAATACATTTTGTCATTCTATTAAAAAAGATCATTAAATTTTAGGGTCAAAATAATAACAGGGAAACATATAGATTATATATATCCAAATTTGGTGAGGGCAGTCTTGGTATGATAACAATATCCGTCACCGTACACCATTTGATTACCCTTATCCTCGTAATTTAAATCTATAGGACACCGCGACAAAAAAGAAAATGCATTTTTAAAGTGACTGGTTACCCATTTCTTATAGTATTATCACTTGAAAATTTAGATGAAAAATGCACAAATCATTTTTGTTTATGTATATATAGGCATTTTGCATTTTGATTTAATCACGCCAAGCAGTTGATGAGTTTATAAGAAACGAGAATAGTAAAAAAGGGCAATAACTTGAGATGCAAAACACAAAATTGTCTTTATGACTTGTCAAAGCTTTGGAAAACTAACTTAATTAGCTTAACTTGATGAAAAGGTTTGACGTAATACTTTGATATGCTTCTCAAGAAGGGAAGGGAATTCCTAAATTAATTACAATGAACTTTATTTATTGTAAAACACCTAACAATCACACTTTAGACCAATAGCTTTTTGGTAAGAGTACTGCTGGTGTTTGTTGGCAATCATGTGCCTATTTCCCACTGTGATTAGGGCATTTGCTAAATAGGTACCAATTCCCAATCATTTTTTTTCTCTTGTTACCTAAGGCAAATAATTAAGCTCCACGCAACAACCACTACAATATCAGGAACTATCCCATTTCTCATTACTGTCTTCAAGGTGATTATATAATATCCAATTTTCAACCAAGCTTCGATAACATGCTTTTCCATTTTGGTTTTTACACTCTGCTTATGTATTAGCTAAACGCAATTCAACTTTGGCATTATTGGGTCTAAAGAAATCAACTTTCTAAGTAAACTAAATTGGACTCAGATTTCTTCAATTTTTGGCACTAACTGCATCTTGTAGTTAAGCCATTTTTTACATTTTTTTTAAGCGAAAATGAACTTGTTTGCATTCTTTGATGTCATAAATGTGTTATAATTGATACATATATATACTTAATATAGTCCAAGTATTGAGGGTCACATGATATAAAACTCCTTTTGATGGTCGATAAATTAATTGGAGAGGTAAAGAGCAAGTTGAGTGATTTCGAAGCTCTTTCTTTGACTAAACTGGGTACATCCATTCGCAAAATTTTATGTACGTACAAGAGTAAAGAACACTTTTTAATCATAAAATGGGAAATCAATTAATATAAGCAAATTCAATTAACTTGAATATTACTTGGCCCCAGGAATAATAATAATGTTATATATTATAGCATAAATGACAATAGCAACACTGCATATTTTAAAGAATGGTAAGCTATAATAAGTTATATATTTATTATTAATATGTTATATGTAAAAATAAATTAAACAGAGAAAATTTGTGCAAGTGAAGAGACGTTAATATGTTTTATTAAGATGAATGGTTGCGGAAGTAAAGGGGTTTACAGGGGTGCAGTGTGCACGTCGCAGGGTTCTTTGAATCGGAAGCGAAGTTGACTTGTTCCGTACACGTGGCGCTTAGAGAAAAAAGCACGTTTATTGTAGGCTTGGGCGACCATCATTGCACACACCAATAAGCCAAGCTGAGGTTATCTGTCACTTCAAAGTTAACATTTAAATTAATTTTATTTGGTTAACCTTGGTGGAAAGTAAACAGGTATTTGGTTTATTTGATCCGTGATGGTAGGGTGCAACTTTGACGTCCAACATGGGTTTGACTTTTCTTTTTATCTCTGTTGAAAGATGGAAAAGAAAAGATGAATGTAGTTCACCATGTTAATTTTGTTAATAAATAGTTTGAATGTGACACACAAATATGGTGAATACTGAACCATTTCAGTCATAGCAAAGACTCCATTTCCACTCTGCAATTAATCACTCATACCATCCTTTCATTTTTGAACGTCCGGCGTGATTTCTGGTGTCTCATGCCGTGATTCACAATAGTTAGGTCTTAGACAAATTTTATTCTTTACACTTTTTCTTATAAATTTGCCTAACCTGCCTAAGCACCCAACCCCCCTCTCTATGGACATATTGAGAGATGATAAGTATATATTAATATTAGTAATTAAACTTGAACATAAAAAGTCTAAATATAAATTTAATGCATATTTATAATCAATAATATTAAAATTAATGCTAATAACTTACACCTTGACGTATAATTAAACGTGTTATAAGTGTCAAATATGTTAAAAAGTGTCAAACATAAATTTTGTCCCCTAATCTCGAAATTTCTGACGGGGCCTTAGAAAAGAAAAAGAAAAACAAAACAGAGAAGTATGAAACAAGTTAAATAGTATAATAGAAAATGGAAAAAGGAAAAAATAGTTGTAAATAGATATTTTAAAAAATGTGCATAAAAATAATATAACTCAAATTCTATTTTTTTGTGACCATAGTGAAAATTAAAAAAGTAATTAATCATTCTACTATGAATGGGAATGTTTTTAAGGTAGAAATTGGAAACATATTTTGGTCCCTTTTATGAGGCTTTTGTGATTAACAAATCAAGTTTGCTAGTGTGCTGAAATCGAGTGCGTCGGCCCATTTGTTGTCAATCGGCCTTTTTAGTTTTCTTTTAAGGCTTCCCAACAACTACAGATTAAGGTAACCTTTTATGGAATAAATATTTTTCCAACCGATCTCTCATGGGTTTTGACAGTAATTCCTAATGAGTATTTAGCATTCATCTATTTTGTCTGACATGGTGGAATCTAATACAAAAGTTGTTTATAGTTGAATTGTGTTTCATCCAAGTGTTAAGTAGGTAAGGGTTGGAGAAATGAAGGATGGGTGAGTGGTAGATTAGATTTCTTCAACTGAGCTTATCCAAATTTGTAAAAAGCTTAGGGCATCTCCCACAAATGTCTTTGGTCTAAACAATGGATTAAAGCCTCTTAATAGTTAGTAGCGATGCAATGTCCTCAAGTTTTCAAAAGACGTTAAGGGGTATGAGGACAACATCAGATTGCTTGGTTATGTAAGATCTAATTTTATGTTAAGAACCAATTATCATCAAAAGCTTATATTATCAAGTGAAAAATGCATGATTTGTTTTGTATTACATCTCTAAAAGTTAAGAGCAGAAAATATGAACTCGCACAAAAAGTGACACAAAGCGAAGACTACAGTCATAAATTTGTGGCTGAAATTTTTTCAATGAATGCAAAGTAACAAGTTATGGTTGCAAAGAGCAAGCATCGTAATACTACTACTGGATCCGTACTAACTAATAATGATTCAAAGATATCTCAGCATAGCTAGGTAAGGCTATTTTATTTATGCGCACGGTCACATTTTTTAGACTCTTTTTGAAGGAGAAATTATTGTATACTCTGAAAACAACAGTTGTATATGGTTTTGGCCACTCAACAAGTAACACGTGACAATATTTTTCACTTGTTAAATGGTTGAGCAATTAGCAACTAGTAATCTCGGATTGCAGAATAATTTCTGTGAAGGGGTATACTACGGTAAAGAAATTAAAGCTTAGTAGAGAACTACTCAAACTTGCATGGGAGGTACCACTACACTTTTTCTTTTCCCTGCTGAAAGGAGTATTTCATTATCTGACTCTAGCTACAATTCACTGTTTATTCTAGTTCTTTGGAGAAACATTTATTTTAAAATCTTCAGAACTTCTAGGGATCAGACATGCTTCCTATTCCTGTAGTAGCAAGTTTGTTGACAAGAGCTAGAGCGTTACTGGTTACATAATAGACTTTCAGAACCCGATTTAGCAGCAGTTTAATTTCTCTCTCCTTTTTTCCTTGAAACCCATGAAGGCAAGTATCTTCGTTAATGAGTGCTGCACTTATCCATGTCTTGATGTCTCCCGTCTGGGTCCCAAACGTGCTTCTGCTAAGCCTTCTGAGCACACCAAGTGATTTATGAAGCTCATAAAGGGCATCTGAAAAAGACTCAACGCAATCAGAAAGTGCAACTCTTTCTCTTCCTCTTATACGCCCGTGCCTCTTCAACTTTGCCAGATATGCTTCAACATTCTTAATCTCACCAATTGTCACTGACACTCCTGCTCTTGCCCACTTGCTGGGACTTCTTCCAGCACTGTTAGAGAATGGTGCTAGCGAGCGGACACAAAGTTTTTGATACCTAGTTACTCTACAAGCATCTCTAACGTTGTCTTTCCCTTTAGCAACTACCATTTGGTCAGTATTTGCGAGTAATGAAAGAAAAATAAACGGCAGCAGTAATGCATGGCATGAAATGCTGATCATTTTATCATAGAAAGACAAAGTAGTAGCTATTCTGCTAGTTTGGTATTAAAAGTACAAAAACATAATGAATAAAGTTAGGAATGACAGTATGGAGTTTTATAGTGGAATTGCTTGACTAGTTTTGAAAAAGGAAGGCTCTCTAGGAGCATTATATATGTTAGTCTTATGTCTCGCTTAATTGCACCTTTTGTGGAGGAGTTTGTTGCAAAGGCAAGAGACTAGTGAATTCAACTAAAAAGGTACATGGGTGGTGAACTATAGATGGGAAACGTAAGTAACGTGATCGGAAGGTGGGTTCTCTTTAATTTTGGATAAGAATACATGCTCTGCTTGCATAATATTGCAAGAGTTCCGGTGCTCTTGATTGTCACGAAGATTAAGCCATTCAAATTAAACACACAGTTTTGTTAACTTTAAGATTGAATTTAAACATATAAAAACAGTAATTTTTTTATTTAAAAACATAACATTTATTACACTTTTTAAATTTTCAAGATAATAAATACTTTATTTTCAATAAAAATTTACCACTTTTAGTTATTTATCCTCATCTACATTTCCCGATAAAAATTCCAATTTGGTTATAAAAAATTAAGCTTGATAATTATCATTACATAAATTAAGGCAGTTAAATGATAAGATCCATGAGAAAAATAAAATAAACAAATGGTTTGTAGCTAGCAAATTAAACTCCCGCGTTAGTTGTTAATAAAAGGGGAAAAAAAAAGTCAAATGTCAAGAAATGAAAATACACTAGATTAATTAGGAGAATTGAGTCATATTTATGACGAAGGAAGATATTTGAAAATAGAAAAATTATAAATAAATAAATATAAGAATGACTGCATAAGAAAATAATTGATGGCTTGAGAAGAAGTAAGGATTCAACCAAAATGTGACAACAATAACAAATCCATGATGCGGCAAATAGTCAAGTTATTAATTGAGATGTCAACAATACAAGTCACATCCCAACTTTTATATATGATAAATGGATTAACATTCATTTTAATCGATTTCACCAACCTGCTAACAAAAACCCTTAAAAAACGTACTTCGAGCCTTCGACTATTTGAAGAACTGTATTTTGCTGGTACTTGAATCGATGAAAAATTATAATTCGTCAGCCAACAAGATGCCATGTTGCTATTACTTGTATTTACGTCTAGTTCATAACCCCGCGCCAATAGAAAAATGCTAATGAAAATGAAGTCATAAGAAGAAAAACATGACGTAAGTAAACGAATCCGGCCTCAATCTTGTTTAGCTCACAAAGCCATGTTGGGTTTAATTATAAAATAATTGTAACAAGAAGTTTATTACTATTTGCCTTGACTTAAATCTAAAAGGCAAAAACCAGACGCTATGATTAGGCCACAGGTACATACGCAACGCAAGTAGTTACGAGGTTTAGTTTCTGTCATTAAAAGTAGAATTGAGAATTCGGTTCATCATCAATTTGTAACTTGAATTCCTCACAAATACATGTCCCACTACTCTACTTAGCAACTCGATCTGGCATGAATTTTTTTTACGGAAATCTCAACCTCTTCATTTGGCAAGCCAACTTCACCACTTATTGCTTCACACTACCGAGTCTAAGTGGGTCTGTGAAATGTCAAGGCTTGTGTAGGCACGAGTCCATCTTATGGTAGCATATGGCATGCAAAGTTATGTTTCTGCTCTCTTTGATTTCACCCTTTCAGCATAAATGTACTTTTTTATGTTCTGTTCTGTTCTTCTAAAATACACCAAAAATAAAACATTATCCATATGTTATATTTCATCTCGTAACTCTCCGTTTAACCTGTTTGCCAAATGTTATATATTTTATTCTTCGAAGTAAAATCGACCCGGGCATTGTCGGTAATACAAAAAATTGAGAGCAGAAAAACCATCAAATTTGCTAACTCTTAACTGAGGTGGCAACGTTCTCTCTCTTGCGCAAATACTCGGCAACCATATATACCAGCAGGACAAATCGTTAGTCACTAGTAAGATTATGGAGAAGTTTGAAACATTTCAGCATAGGATTGTTCGGCAAGATAAAAGGCAGTTCACACACCCAAATTATGACCTTAGCTATATCTATCAATTATATAGCTAAAAAACAGTTCTAGCGCATATATAACTCCCAAAATTGAATTTTATTATAGTGTCTAAGCCTGAACTAAGCAATCAACAATTTTTGAAATATTCAGCTAAAGAAGAATACTAGCAACACATTTTCTAACACTCTTTAATACTGAGCGAAATCTATGTGGGTTCCAATCCCAATTTAGTATAACCCACAAGGATTTTACTCAATAATAAAGAGTGTGTCTAACAATGTGTCGTTAACATTTTTCTTCAACCAAACATGCCTCTACAATTTGGCTGTGTCAGACTGTAAATTGAGTAAGCCTGATAGTTGTAAGTATCAGGTGTATTTTCATTTCTTTTTTCAATTCTATAGGGCACCGGGGAGGTCAGTGCTACAACAATTATAGATGGGATCTCATAAACACCACCTAAAAACCTCAAACTGCCCTTAAATTCGAACAGTTCAAATGTGATTTTAATCCTTATATTATCCATTGAGCTGTTGTTTTACTGTCAAGAAAATGTATCAGTACCTATATTGTCTCTCATTTCAGTTTTAGCTCCCTATCTTCGGGGTTTCAGTCTTTATAATTACACCCATTGGGTTTTAATCCGGGTACTTTCTATTTCTACTTTTAAAGGCTGTCCTTATTTTTCATAACAGATTGGTCCTTAGGAAACAAAACTTTAGTGATACGAAACAATAAGGATCGACAACCCATGAGCCCATTAATTTATGCGTGCATGAGCATGTGTACTTACAAGGACCAAACCCCAATTGAGTATAAACTATAGAACTGCAATCTTATTTAAACCAAATTAAATTATGCTGCAGGCAAATTAAACAAGCTGACAAACAGTTGGGCCACATTATGCGATCATACAACAAATAAAGGGTATCACATAGTTTTACCTGTCAGATTTATATCCTATCCACTCCACTAGATAAATTTGAAAGGGAACAAGTAGAAAAAAAAATAAAAATACAACCACAAAAAGGAATGTAAGCAGAAAATTTCAAGCACTCTCAGAAAAGGACTAGCACTACTACTTATTAATCCTAAACAAAAAATCTAGAAGAGGACACACTTTGTTCTAACCTCTTCTCTCCAATCCTTATCCTGACTTTCGAATAATTTCTTCTGATGGAAGTTCAAGCGTTGCCCCTGCATGATCTTTACCCGGCTTCACCACTGCGGCAAAAATTGATGAAAGGACTTAGTCTACTCAAATACAAATTTTATCAAATCAGCTCCTAGCACCTCCCAAAATAGAAAAGATGAAAGGAGAAATGAAAAATAATTGAACGTATAACTATAAGGATACTCATCGTAGGCAGGAAGGAGGGTATAAGATGTTTAGACAAATTGAATGCCTGCCTAAATTTAATGTGTTTGGAATATGCACATGAGATAATCACAGACATCTCAAATACCTCAATTCAGCTGAGATGTCCATTGTGTGAAGGAATGTGATGCACTTTCAAACCCCCAAGGGGGGCTTGTATGCTGGTGACCAAACTCAGATTTTTATAGGCAATGAAAGGTAATCGTTAATTCCTAATGGAAAATTCATAGCAGGAAGTGGCAGAAACATATCACATGTCACAATTGCAAATCCCATTCCCCTATTGATCAGGAAATCCGAAGATTCTTGCCCAAATAGCATTTCATGAAATAAGAAGCTTTTAGCTCAACCTTTGTCCTTATAATTATATCAAGTAAATTCAAAACAATACTAAATAGGAACACGATAAACAGAAAATGGAAACCCGAAAACACACACACCCACAGAGTCACTTAATAATAAACAGAAAACCGTATTTTCTATGGTACTCTACAGAAAACGCGAGTCTCTCAAGTAGTGAAAGATACATTTTCATGAAGAGGACGCAGTATGATTCAAAGTTGATGTTACTGAAAATTGCTAATGGCGATACATGAATGTGGCCAGAAGAATGAAAAAACGAAAAATTAACAAACAGGTGGAGAGCGTACCGTAACTGCCAGCGTCGGAATTGAGTTGTGCCTGTACGATCATGTTGGTGATGAAATGGGAGGCCTCTCCGGCTTCTTCGAGAAGCTTCGAGATCTCCGCCTCGGAAGTGACGTTCCTGTTCTCCTCGAACTTCTTCCTAACTTCCACCGCAGATTCCTTCAGCATCAGAGTGTCGCCGGAAAATGTTTTCCGAGCAGCTTTCAAAATCGCGCGGTATGCGCTTAGAACTTCTCCTCTCGCCATCTCTGATTATGTTGATCTCTCTTCTTCACCTTCCTCTTCTTCCTTTCGTTTCGTCTGTACCAGCACCCTGTGCTATTGCAATTTGAACGACGTCGTTATGCTTCAGTCCCTTTTTAAATTGATATAATTATGTAGACCATTTTTTTTTCAGTTTTTGAATAACATGACTAATATGATATTAGTCAACACTTAACTATAAAAATATAATGCAAATTGCTTTGTATATATTTCTAGGTAGACATGTTTGTTTAGCAGTAAGTATATTTTAAGGATGTATGTTTATTAAAAAATAAATTAAAAAGAGAGAGAAATAGAAATAGTTATATTTTATGTCATATCCGGTATTTTTTTAGTGTTATCTATGATAAATAACGACTGATATTTTTTTTTTCAAATTATATGAAGTAAAATCTAATTTTTAAATATATTAATTGGTGATTTTTTTAACATTTATTTATTATAAAATTGATGTTAACGAGATATATATTTTTTAACATCTTAACCAATAATTAAGAGTCTAAAAATATGTAATGAAGCATTTTTCATAATCCTAATTATGTTTTGTCTCAATCCTCTTACTAAATTCATCTTCACATTTTATTCCAAACATCATCCCATGCTCAATATCGGTGTTCAAAGTTTGTGGGACTACATAATCATGGATTGTGATAAAAATTCGGTTGTGATCCAACTATCAAACAGGAACTAACTTGGAACAAAAAATGGATTGTGATAAAAATTCATAGAAGATTAATGGCAGTTTAGTATTTTTGGACTTTTCAAACGAAAACCATACATGCTACAATATTCTTGCTCAAAAAATTTTTTAACCATGTTCAATGAATTTGTATGACTGAAACTAAAATTGGAACACATCCAAAACACAAAATCCAAAGCGCAAAACTTTCTGCGTCCGTCCTCGTACATATTTTCCATATTACAAATCTTTACAGTAAGTATATCACTTCATATTTGCACCAAAATCTACAGAAGCTGATTGATTCCTCATCATCATACTTTGCAAAAATACTTCGGATATTGATTTGGCAAATGGGTCAGGCCGGGAAGTTGAAGCATTAAATGGATGCTCTAAAAAACCGCATAGTCAGGGATTCAAGCACAAAAGAAGCTAGTCCCAGTTCCTTGTTGAATAACACAGAATTTTGTCACGTTCATAGTCACAGATGTCTGCCATAGTTACCTTATTGCATCAACCATTCTACAATCATGCTTCCTGCGTCGGCATCTATGATGTGATTTCTGATCTAGCAAGGTGTTCTCCCCAACCATCTCCATTTTAGAATCTACAGGTGGTGCAATGAAGATGAAGTCAGTCTCTGAAACAGCCAATTACAAGTACCAGTTTTATGCAACAACTGCTGTAGTAGACAACACTTTTAGAAGATATTTCTATGAAATTCAAATGCTATAATCAACTAAGAACACAATAACCTTTAAGCTATCCACTTTGGCACAATGCATTAGTTTGTGTATCCACAGGCACGTGCGACAGAGGATCACTGACGTTTATCAGGGAAGCATTTAGCTTCTAATCCTAATGACAACAAGGCATATAAAATGAAATTTCTACTTAAACTGTCATGGAATGCTATACAACAGTGAGATTCAAAATCTTTAAGAAAAGGTAGTTAGCAAACAGTAGAGCAAATTCTCACCAGGCAACAATAGAAATAGAAACAACACAATTTCTCATTAAAGTGCTTTTGCTATTACTATTGATTAATCAACATCTTCAAAATGTTTATTTTCCGTATCTAAAAAGTTATTGTCAAAACAGTAATGTCACTTTCCAAACAACCTTCTATTTTCAGAAGTCAAATAACTGTGTTTTTGTCACAAATATACATGTAACTTCATATTAGCACATCCAGAAAAAGAATTATCTGAACAATGTGCACTTTCCACCCCACAATAGTTTGTTCTCAACTTCAATTGTGTTGTTCAACCCATTAACTTGTGCTCACTGAGACCTCAAACCCCAACCCTTAAACCTAGATTCTGCAAAGAGTTTTCTTGGCATGCTCTCCAAACATCTTGCTGAGCATCTCGAAAGTGGGAATCAACTTTGCTGGTAACAGCAGCATTTTTAAACAAGTTTCACTTCATGGCAGTAGCACCACATGGCTGTCATATTTCTCAGGGCATGGTTGGGGATGATGTCCCTGTTGACTAGAGTCTGACCCATCTGGTGCCACTTGTTGTACCCAAAATCTATCCAGAGCTCAATGGATCTCCGTGTCTGTTCCTTTGCCATCAAATCACCAATGGAAAATATTTTTTTCTTCTTTTTTTCGTTTCCCATCACAAAGTCCAGCACCCTATTTTCTTCTTTACATTTTTAAAACAGATTTACAAGTATCTACCAAAAAATAGTAAATTTTAAGATGTAAGAAATATTACTCCATCAACGTTATCAAAGCATATTCAAACACACAGGCTAAATATTTGGAACACTATAACTCTAGAATTGAGTATAATATCACCAAGTTGATGATCGCACACCAGAGTTTCCAAGGAGAAACAAAACAACCTCTGTAGACATGGTTGTGCTTATAAAAGATCTAAAGACAAGCAAAAAGTTCAGAACATTAAAGTAAGCAACAACCTAAGCAACTAACAGGAGAAACAAAGGCTGATAAATTACCTCCAAGTTGGTGGCCCCAAAATAACAATCTTGGATCATCCTCTTCCTCATCAAACTCATCCCCATATCCAAACTCAGCATCCCCACGATAACCGGGTTCACTACCATAACCCGATTCATTCCCATTAGCATCAGAACACCCACTCACACCAAACCCAATACCCACATTCTCCTTCTCTCCACTCCCCCCATCCCTCTCTCTCTCCCTCCTCGAATTTTTCGCTTCGCTCACATCCGAAGACCAATTGGCATCGCCGTTGCCAAACAGCTCCCCACTAGAGTCGGTGCCCATGGCCACCGGGAAATCGGAGCAGGTGCCGTAGGCGGCGGAAGCTCCGACGGAGCAGCAGCGGCGCGTGCCACTCCGATCGCTGCTGCGCCCGGAGACGGATCTGGAGCCGCGTCGGCGCCTCTTGCGAGCGACGAGGCGGTAATTAGCAGTACGGTTAGGGTGGTTGGTGGTGGTGGCGTCGTCGTCGGCGAGTGTGAGTTTTGACATGTCAAGGGAAAACGACGTCGTGGCTCGATCGGAGAGGCAAGGTCGCTTGTAGTAGTAAGGTTTTGGGTTGGGGTGGGACCCTTCTTGAAGCTTGAAGGGTTTCCAGCCGCGTAGCTGGAGCAGGCACGAGTCTATGGAGTGGCGTGAATCGAGAGGCTTGTGCGACATTGACTGAGTCATTACAGAGGAAAAAAGAGTAGAAAGATGAAGCAATTGAATCGTGAATTCTCTTCTTCTCTTCTCTGAGCCGAATCACGAGGTTGATTGAGACTTGTAATGAGAGAGAGAGAGACAGACAGAGCTGGGAAGTGAAGGATTTTGAGCTCACGGGAACTGAAATTTTGCATTTCAGAAGATTCTCCACACATAAATGGGTCCCACTCCCACTCCCTCCACTAATCACTGCCATGTTGTGATTGAAATTGAAGTGAAGGTCGTTTAGATGTAAGAAAATGCTAATTAAGTATGACCTCAAGGATATTTATTAAGGCATAGAAATGAAAATATTTTATTAAAAAAACATATTTATTCTCTGCATTTTAATATATTTTTAATAAAAAATTATTATTTTTAATTAAAGTTTTAAGAATAATAATATTAAAATACTTGAAAGAAGTTGTTATTACTTATTTTGACTTAAGACCAACAATTATGTTAAATATTTGAAAAAAAGTTGATATTTAAAGTAGTCAAGTAGTCTTGCACTCATAAGATTAAGAAAATATATGTGGTTTAAAAAATTGTTATTTTGTCAAATATTTTTAAAATTTATTTAATATAATAAAATATTTATTATTGGTATATTTATTTTTTAAAATTAAAAAATTAAAAAATAGTCGTATAATTTTTTAATTATTCATTTAGAAAATAAATTTAATAATATCTGTGCGGTGGACTAAAAAATTACCGACTAGAATACTTCAAATGCTTGTGCAGGTATGTTGGCTAGGAAAACAGTTTGAGATCATCTAATGCGTATAATTTTACACTATCAATTAATTAGAATACACTATAAATATAAATTTTAAATTATATATAAATTATTTATTTTTGCTGATATAACAGTTCATGATTGAATGAATGTAAAAAAATTAACACTCTAAGTGTATTTAAATTAAACTCAATATTATTAATTTTTTCCCCTTTTCTCATGACTACTTCATTTTAGGAAAACTATATTGTAATTAAATGAGAATATATAATTTATAATTATATATAAGCTAGCCAGTAAAGATATCAATACATAAATTAGTTATTATTGAAAATATTACACTACCAACATTTTTATTTCTCCGTTTTATTTCCAAGTGTAGAAACGTTCAATTAGTTGTATTAGGGTGACATAATCTTGCTTTTTATTTGTTCCATAATTTTCTTGCTCATGTTGCCAAGATTTACTGTATTCACACTTTGAACGTCCACGCTCGCCTCGATTCGCTGATGTATGCTGATTTGCAAATTAATTGAAATTGTGGTAAAAAGCTTTATTATTATTATTATTATATCTAAAAAAATCAACTAGTTACCATAATGTTACGGTGGTTCAATGGAAGTGATCGGAAAATGGGGGCAAAGCTCGCTAAATACTGGTGCACGGAGGTAAGATGAGAAAGCAACAAGTGTTCTCGTGATTTGCAAAGAATTAATGGTGCAACAAAATTTAAAGGATACATCACAGTTTTGCCTTCGTTTTAGTTTGGCAAAACTATTCAAGGCACTAATGGAAGTAACGACTAAATAAACATTATGTAATATTATGTTGAACTTCCACCTAGAATTGAGTCACTGAGCCTCCAGATAAGTTCAAAACTAAACCCCATATGCCCATGACTAATTTTTCTGAATTTTATACAGATGATTTTTAATAGTAGCAACATAGTCACCGAAAAGCTTTTTAGTGGGAGGGTGCAGGCCGAAAACATATGAGAAGGGCCTTGATATCAACATTGGCCTCCTAACGTCAACTTTGTCATATACTTCTCCAAAGCTTGTTTCGTCAAAAGCAAACGACTCTGTAAGGATGAAGAAACATTCTCTTCCCAAACGTTCTACCTGAAACCACAAAATTACAATCAGTGAGGTAAGCTATCACCGCTGCCACCATCATAACGATTGGTTGCATAAGGAGTTCCACATATATCTATTGACATCTACTTTCTAAACAAATGTGGGTATACTTTTCAATGCATCAGCGAGCTTTCGCGCTTCTAAATATGTAGCACGGCTTTTTACAGACCAATTTGGGACATCAACGTAATGTCTTTATCAAATAAGTAACATTAGTCTCCAACGTAATAAAAAACACTTTTATAACCATGTGCATAAGCACTCACCTGTAGTTGGGAAAACCTGATATTATTCATGGTTATGATAATTTGCACCTCGCGCAAATCATCAGCCAAAATTCGAATGAATAGATACTCAAAAAAGCTTTGCAAGACTTTCTTTTGTCCATCCAAGTCTTCACCATAGCTCTCAAAGCATGGGAACCACAGTACACATTGAACTTCATTCCAAGGAATAAGGTTCTGCCCAGCTTTGGCAATGATTGTTTGGTAAGGGTGATTTAGACCCCATAAAATTCTGGCTCCTGTCAGTGATGGTTCTGTTATGGTTGTTTCGGACAAACATGTAGTTGAAATTATTTTAGATGGATGAAAGCAGCAAGCAAGGCGTGAGGAGAAATGCAAATCAGTGTCGTCCAATATAAGAATTAATCTGTTGGTAGATTTGGGAAACAAATTTAGAAGGGATGCAGCATTGACGTCATTATCTTCTGGCAGACAAACGTTTGGCCTGAATGACCCTGCTGATCGACCCATATCATGTGAAAATAAACAAGACTCTCCTCTTCGGCAACCCTGTTATGATGAATGAAAATCATAATCATAATAACGGTAGCAACATAATGAAGTCAGTGTGTCAAACAAACCAAATTACCTGCAAAGAAAAGAAGAATTTGCATTGGGGTTTCTTTGCAAATGAATGAGAAAATAAACAATTACTGCCTCTATTACAGGATCCCTGAATGAAATATACACAAGGAGGATTCTTCCCAATGACATCAAAATTATCAAAACCAACACCGTCCAATTGATGGCTTAGAGCATCCTCTGCGTATTGAGCTCTTGTCTGTTCAATGCCAGAAAGGAAAATCCAACCTTTTTCAGAAAAAGGAAACTTTTTCATAACAAATATTTTATGCACTAGAAATCAAAAGGACACTACCTCTTTAATAATTGCAGAAAACATTTTGGCCACATCATTACTGTGAAAGTGATTTGAAGTAACATACGGAACTGCAATACATTCTTTTGTTTCACCTGATGGTTCAAGACCTTCCTCATCTGCAGCAACCACATTTTTATGCACACTTGACTGACTTCTTAACAGGCAAGTGTGTTTAAATTCACAAGGATCATAATAGGGTGGTAGGCCACGAAAGGAGCTCAAAAATTTTGGCCGGAACCGATGTACTGAATTTAGTATATCATCAACTGTAAAGATCAGAATAAAGGATTAACAAAATTATAACTATAAGAAGAAACAACAAAACGTTTCCACTTTCATTTGGAAAAAACCAAAAGAAAACACATTCTGAAATATAACAGATCTGTACAAATTTCAGACGCCTGATACAGAGATGACAGGGAGAGATTATGAAAAGAACACCAATCTTCCTCAAGCTCATGCGTCTGTTGTATAGCAGGATATATAGTATCAGCCTTCAGAACCCGCTTCAAATGTTCAAGCCGGTACTGATCCTGCATATGACTTCATTATCAAATTTATATGACCTCTCTAAAGTATTACATAAATGGCAAATCTTATTTCCAGGAAAGTAAGGGCTTGTGCACCCATTCACTTGTGGATAAAATTCTTTCAATTAAATATCCATCACTTCAAAACCGTTTTGTCTTCCACCTTTCACAACAAATCCTCATTCAGATACTGAATGATGTCAACATATTCAGTAATACAAATAGCAAGGGCATACAACTTTACCTTGAAAATATGCTGCCAAAACTCAAATGCACAAAAGTTACCCATGAATTCCATCTCCTTTCGACCAGTTAAGATCGTTCGGTCATCGTAATACCAATCAATGTACTTTGCAAACTGATGAAAATGAAAAGACTCAATTAGTAAATAAGTAAAGGCTCATAAACATAAAAAAAATCAGAGCAGTAGGAATAGAAGGCCAGCTCAACTCAGACATTACCAATTCATCCTCACCAAATGGATGAATGATGGGTAATGGTTGTGTATCCATCATTATACCCAACAAGATGCCCTCACGTAGCATTCCAATGTCTCCAAACTTGAGAACAAGAACAGAAGCATCAAATGACAAAGAAAAACTGGAAAGTAAGCGTCCATAAAATGTAGGTTCATAACGGCCCCTTGGGGGTGCCTTTTCCAGTGCATGCATCTGAACAAGCAAATTGAAAGCATCCTCAACAACTTGAGGATCTGGTGGATCCAAAGCTTTCTGCAAAAGAACTGCCATCGAATCCATCAGTCCAACATACACATAATTGGCAATCATTAAATGGTCGTATATTTGATCAGTAATATATTATAGTTAACACGTTGAGACAAAGAATTCACAAACTCTAACTACATTGCACAGTTTCATTTTATGACAATTCTAAAAGCTATTCCAATTATTCGTGTATCTTTCCTTCTTTTTTCTTAAAAAAAAAAAAACAACAAATTTCCTCCTTGCCATTAACCTCTGATAGAATGGTGTAACAATCAAAGTCATTTTATTGAGATGTTTTCCATCAATTTAAACATTAGCCAATGAAAGTTATGCCTCACATATTTTCTCTTGTTCTGGAGTCGCTTAGTAATGGGATTCTTAAATGACAAAATCAGTATAAACACAACATAAATTTCAAGTCAAATTGATAACCTCTTCCTATATAGTTTATAATCTCCACTATTATTAAGATTGCAGTAACTTTTAGTATGTATACAATTATCCAAAATGTTATTTGGTATAAATTTTTCCTCAAACAAGCATTAATAGTAACATCATTTTCTACCAAGAAATCAAGGTCGTGTTAACTTACTTTTTGGATCATTGATAGCCTTGGATCCAGCACAGCATATCGAAAGAACTTGCAGCCTCAATGATAATTTAAGAATAGTTGGACTCTCATGATCCTTGAGATTGTTGAAAAATGATCTGGTGACTAACCTATAAATTTTTCCATCACAAGTTCGACCTGTTCTTCCTCTACGTTGTTCAGCCTACATGATCATGAGACTAAGTGATTAGCATATAGGAGGAACAAATTAGCACATAGGAACATGATTGTTTGTGTTGTACCTGAGACTTGGAAACCCAAACAAGCTCTGTAGATTCCTTTTTCCGGGACTTGTCCCAATAGACTTGTAATGATCGGCACGAATCAATCACAAAAGCAACCTTAGGTATTGTCACAGATGATTCAGCAATATTGGTAGCCAATATTACCTGAAAGACAGCAACCACAATCATAAATTGTGAATAACTGGAAGAATAAATTTCTTTAGGAAATAATTTTGAAATAAAAAATAACTATACCATTGGCTGAATTAACTATAATGTACCTTTCGATGTGACTTCCAAATCTTCATAGCCATAAGAGCTTGCTCAGTTTCAATGCTACGATGTAAGATATGAAGTTTAAAAGTTGGTTCAAGTGGCTTCAGAAGGCGCCATTGCTGCTCCAGTGAATAATAGGTGGGAAGGAATACCAGAATGCTTTTCTCAATATCTGGCTCATTCTCATGAATATTCAACACCAGATCATGAATAAGGTTGTGCAATTCAGGCTTAATGTAAGCATCGGAAAGATCCAGACCACGAGAATATTTTGAATTCATTAATTCTGAACTTATCCCAAGAGTTTCAGATATCTGTGCAGACAAACATCAGAACCATCATCACTGTTATCACATCTGTGAAATGTGTTTCAGAAACATAATGATGTGACGTGCATATTGAACAGCATCCATATCATATTTTATCATGCATAATAATATATAACATATATTAATATGGATATGGTCCTGAGCTTCTTATTAGAAAAAATAATGAGATTTATTGTTTATTTATTTCACCTGTCTTTGAAAACATGCATTAAAAATTACTCCTACAGTCACATCAACTAGCTTATAAGACACAATCTGCTAACTTATTAATGTTCATAAACTAAAGCTGCTATTCACTAATAGAAATTTATTACCACTTCAAAGTCCATACAATATAGGGATGCTAAAAACTGTCAATAGTTTTGATAAGTTACTCAAATACTAAGGCTTAATATCCTACATAAGATTCATCAACAGTGTCATAAATATACAAAAACTCAATTCTGATTTAGTTGGTAATATTTTAAAAGAACAGCTGGGCTTCACATGCAAGAAACAAGAAAACATATTGACCACAGATGTTTCCAAAGTCAAATTGTTTTGTGCCCAAAAAAATTTTGAAGGTGAAGAATAAATTTAAAATACAACATAGATAAGATACACAAAACTGATATAGAGATTTCAGGCAATTAGAAAGAAGAAATTCTCATGTAGTATAAGCACATGCCTGATCAAGATATAAAACACTTCGTTGAAAAACAATTCTTTGGTTTGAACTAGGAATTGGAAGAACTTCAACTCGTTCACCTCTACCAAGATCTCCAAAGTACTCCCTGTATCTTGAAATATCAAAAGTTGCAGACATCAAAACCACCCTGCAAAATCATAAAAATATTAGATCCACCAAGCAACTACTTGCCTCTTATATTGAAATGAGTAGTTGTCTTTTTAACAGGTCCAGCCTAGCAGTAAAGACTCAAAGTAAATAGTGTTCTTGACTTTGATCCTCTTCATAATCCGATAATTGGAAAGATACACAAAATCATTTAAAACAAAAATGAGATGCTAAAACAGCAATTAAACAAACAATTATATATCCCTCTCCTAATCTGGAAATATACAATTAATGCCTCAAATATCTATATCCACGTCCAGCGTTGAAAAGAATGTCAAACAGGATAAATAAATATATTAAATGAGAATCAATGCAGAAAATGAAAGGATTGCCACAAATAAGAATTCCACCCTGACCACTTACAAAACCAAGATGCTAACCTTAGGTCATTGTTCTTCAACAAAAATTGCTTCACACAAACAAGTACAAGATCAGACTCCACTGATCTTTCATGTACTTCATCAAGAATAATAACCTTGTACTTCAGTGCAGTCAAGCCCTTCTCTTGCAGTTCTTCCAACAACACTCCAGCAGTTTTAAAAATAATCTTTGAACTGCAGTACAGCAATACACATACAAAGAGAAACAAATTAAGCATGAGCTTCCAATGCAATCTAAACAAGAAAATGATAAGAAGTAAACAAAGACAACGCAAGTGCCATATTGCTTTCTTGAAATGGATTCCCCATGACAAATGACAATGTAGCCAACTTTATTGTATCATGCAGGTGTTAACAATTAATCTACTACTGTCACAAAAACAAATCAAACATTAAAAAAAGGTGGGTGTACAAATTCTTCCTTAGAATGGAATTTTAAAGACAAATAGCAATGCATTCAACATTAACTTCGTTATATGCAAGTGTTTACAATTAGCGTACTGTTGTCAAAAGGCAAAACATGCATGTCAGTAATGACATAGGCAATAACATCCTTGCGTCCTTGTCAAAAAAATTATTTATTTTATTAAAAAGAAAAAAATCTTCCATGATGATGAATGACCAGACCTCTCATACAAATTTGAGTCAATTTTACGCTCTATAATATCAAGCCTGTTTATTGCTAAAGAAACAAGGAGGCCATGATGGAAGAATTGACCAAATAATCATCGCATTAAAAAGTATTGCTACAGAAATAAATATGAACCAGTTTAAGTGTGTCTGGAATACCTTGCTGAAAAGTGCCTTGAATGTCCAATATGATATCCAACTTCTTCACCCAATTCACAATTTCGAGCTTTTGCAACCATTTTGGCCACTGCAACAACAGCAAATCTCCTAGGCAATGTGCACAGAATGGGTGACATGTTTTCTTCCAGGAGAAACTGTGGAATTTGTGAACTTTTCCCTTGAGAGGAAAGGAAACAGTAATGTCAACAGATGGTAAGAATGATCGACAACTACAAACCCTGTTCCTTTTGAATGACATTTCTAACAAACCAGAAATGATAGCCAAAATTAGCAAGGTAAATTTCTTTCATATACATAAATTCATGGAAGTGCAACAGAGGTAAAAGTGAGAATCCTTACTTTCAGTTATGCACAACCATTTTGCTGAACTTGACCAGGATATAAGAAGAGATGAAGACATAGAACATAAGTTATACATACAGATAAAAGTTCCTGAGTGTTCCTGGCTTTTTATTTCTTTCATAAATGCATGTAGTTTCATAAATCCACGATTGCAAGTGAGAATATCAACAACTTAGGAGCCATTTCGTTTGAAAAAACAATTTTGTTCTCGTTTTCTGTTTTTACTGACATATTTTAAAATTAAGAATGAAAACACAAATAAATATTGTCATCCTAATAACTCCAAAAGAGAAAGAGACATTATATCATATCAAGACGAAAAATCCACGAGAAACGCAACCAGTAAAAACTTTCATGCATTATTTTTCAGCGAAGTCATCGTCCAGTAAACACAAACACCAAATCAGCAAATGTACTAAGATAAAGCCTCCTACAATATACTCAATGCACGTAAAACGGAATAACACAAATTCAAATACAGTCCAACCAAAACAAAGTTCAAGCATCAAACCAAAAAGTAAGAGGCGGAAAAGCAAACGCAATTTAGAAAGTTCTACCACAGCCGGCCTCGCCGACGATAAGCGTGACGCGATTGTCTTGAATCTTCTCGATGATCTTCTTCCGGAGAGACATCACAGGCAAGTGAGAGAAACTGGACTGCGATAATGGTGAAGAGTATGAGGTATGAGGCGAAGGAGACGACGATGACGAGGGCGACGCCATTCTCAGAATTCAGAAACCGTCAATCACACTTTCTCAGTTTCTCTGCATTTGAAGAAGACGAAAAACTTAGTAAGGAAGGAGTGAGGAGTCACAGCCATGTCACTTTAATATAGGAAAGGTTATACGATAAGGGCGGGTCCAGGTGAAATCTATGAAGGAGTTGACTGCAAGTCAATGAGCTTTCGTTGTTAGTTTTGACTGCTGTCTCCGTTTTAACCAATCATGGCGCTGGTTAGAGAGTGGAGACACTTTTCGCGGTGTACGCGGAAACTCCCAGCTACTTCGCTCCCACGTTATTAAGGGAAAGAAAGGTGAACGATTCTCCTTACCCGCTGCTTCCAAGGTGCCAAGCAAAATGGATTTGGTCCAAAATTTCGAGTCCATTTCACTAATGTTCAATTTAAGTTTTATATTAAAAATATTAATTTATTAACCTTAAGTTAAATTTTTTAAAAATTATTAAGAAAATCAAAAAGTAAAAGGTGAATATCACCTAAAATTATGGGAAATGCTTAAAGGTTCTGTCACAATTAAACATGCTTATAGAAACAGATTAAAAAAAAAAAAACATTTGATTATGTTTACACGTCTAGTTTTGAACAGTCAATAAATTCCAATACGATAGCTGGATATCAGATAGCGTAATTAAAAAAATAAAAAATTAATTTTTAAATATATTGATTACTATATTTTTTATATACTTTTATTCATTATAAAATTTATATTAATTTTGTTTTTAAAAATCTTATTTATTTATTTAATACATAAAATAATTAATATTATGTATTTTTAGAATAAATTATAAATTTATTAAATATAATTATTTTTTATTAATTTTTACAAATTAAGTATTTTTATCTTAATCATAAAAATAAAACTATTTTTAAATATATTAATTATTTTTATATTTATATTTTATTATAAAATTTGTATTAATACAATCATTATATTTTATTCATATAAATGAAATATTTATTTATTTAATATATATAATTTTTAGTTAATTTTTATTAGCCTTAGTGAATTAAATATTTATTTTTAATATACACGGTTGAAAATAATATATGATGAAAAAAGAGGAAAAAAAGAAGATTGTGATTTCTTTTTCTTTTAATTGTCAAAAGGGTATCATATAAAAAATAAATTGAACAAAATATTAATTAGTAAAGCCTTTAGTTAACTATATATCCGACAATAATGCTAACATATTTAACTTCTTATTTCCGCTAACACGATTAAATGATATTAAGTATCAAATTTAAAAAAATTAATAATTTGATATTAAAAATAAAATTTATCATAAAATTATATATTATTTTTATATAATTTAAATATTTATGCGTATATAACTTAACAATAATTATTTAATTATATTTTAAATGAAACGACATCTAGTCAAATATAATAAAATGAGAAAGTATTAATTAATATTTAAATTTGATAAATTAATTTATTTTATAAAAGCTTTAAAATTAAGCGCTTTAATTAACAATTTTTATAATAAAGATATTATTTTAATGAATTCAATAGGCAGGATCATTTATCAGCATACGTGTATGATACAGTTACATAAAATTTATTGCCAATAAAAGTGTGGACACGGCTTAAGGTTGCTTAGCTAATAACCCTCAAGTATTTCTACATATTTGTTGCTATCGGTGTCGTCGTTTTGTTGCTTAAACTAACACTTCAATAGGTCGTATTTTAATTAAATTTATTAAAACATATTAATAGCATAAAAAAATATCATTATTATTTAATCGTAAATTACTATACTAATAAAATTTATTAAATCTATAATAAATAATTTTTAAACATATTTATTATGCATTTTAATTGATGAATAGTATAAAAAATAAACTAAAATATTATTAATAGATGTATGAATTGTTTTGACAGTTGAAACCACTCTATCAATACAATTAATTAAGATATAGTTGTTTAATAATTGAAACAAAAATGTATATTTTATAAAAAAATAATTTAAATAATTTACTTAATAAAAATGAATATGAAAGATTAAGTTACTTTATCGTTTTAGAAAAGTAACATTAACCAGAGCAGTGATCTGAACATAGACGAGACGAGGCATTGAATTGAAAGGGATGGAAACTTGGGAGGGAAGGAGTCGTTCACAGCCCCCAGATTTTACACTCTTTTTCCTTTGCTTGTTCCACCTAACTTCTCTTTAAGAGTCTTTTTCTCTCTGCGGTGCTAAAAAACAAAATTTAAAATTATCATTCTTCCCAATGTTCCCATCCAATCTCCATCGTTGAATTCAAGTACTCAATTCCAAGCCTCCTCTATCTCTCTCAATTATTTATTTTTCCGTGAATTTTTAATATATAAAATGAAGAAAAGTATAAAAGGGAGATAACAGCGACGTGGGGTGTGTAAAATAGTAAAATACAAGTGCACCAGCACCACCTTTGTATTTATAGCAGAGAGGGTAGCTACCAGCTACCTAGTTGTATATCTAAAGAGTGAAGATTCAATTCCAGTTGTCACCGATTAACAAACCCCATCATGGAAGAAACCGTTTTCTCATCTCTCACCGACGACACCGTGCTCGCCATTTTCGCAAAGCTAGAGGACGATCCTAGACACTGGGCTCGCCTCGCCTGCGTCTGCACCAGATTCTCCTCCCTCGTCCGTCACATCTGCTGGAAAAACAAATGTTCCCAAACCTACCCTTCACTCCTCTCCGATCTCCTCTCCGATTCCCCTTCCCCGCCGGAAACATGGACCTCCCTCCTCAAGCTCGCCGTCTGCTGCCCCGGCCTCCGCCACGCCGGCGTCCCCGCTGCCCAACCCTCGTGCGGCTCGCATTTGGCTTGCGGGAATCTGAATCTGAGCAGGGAGCAAGGGTGCAAACTGTTGGCACGACAGTTCCGTGATGATTGGTTGTATGTATGCTATTGGCCTGGGTGCGTCCACGTGGAGGAGAAGAGGAGTTACAGGCTCTTCAGAGGGGTTTTCAAGAACTTTAAGGGAAGTGGGGTTTGGAGAAGCATCAACGATGGGAAGCGGAGCAAGGTTGATATTGGGTGTGCTTTTTGCACTTGCACGCAGACTTGGGGTCTTCACTCTGCGTTTTGTCTTAGACGAGGTTTCGGGTACCATGATGATGGTGAGCCTGTTGTTCGAGCTTATGTTTGTGAAAATGGTCATGTCTCTGGGGCTTGGACAGATGTTCCCATGTTCTCTTAATCGCTTCCCTTCTCATGTGCTGCTTCTGTTTGCTTTAATGACTCACTCACTCACTCATATACAATTCATAGCTTTACCATCCCCTCTTTCTTTTTGATTCTGTATTTTATGGTTTTGTTCCGATTGAAATGTTGAGGCTTTAATTGAATCGGTGCAAAGATCTCAGAATGTGTTGTTTATTGCATTTAATTCTTCGCCCGTGTGTACGGCATTCTACTGCTTTATGTGTGTGTGTTTTTATTTAGGTTAACTGTGTTTTGATTTTGTAACTTTGTTATGTATTTATTGTTCGAGATCCTTCAATAGCGATTCCTGAAAACATGTCACCGAGAAGTAAATAATCTGGTTTTTATTTCTTCCTTTATTGTCCTTTGCTTAGATGATAGTAACTTGCATTTCTTTTTGTTCTTGTGGAAGAGGGTGTTTTAACATTTTCCAGTGGTGAATCTAGAGGTTATATATAACGAGGAAAGTTGGGTCAATATCAGATATTGCAAATCTTGGTTGTGCAATTGGGATTGGCAACGTACTTGTTTGCAGGGGTCTGTGGCCAAATATTTTACTCTTATGATTCTGCGAACATGTGCTGCTAAGTGAGATGTTGAATCATCAGGTTCTTCTTATAGTGCTTGGATTTAATTATTGTTGCAAATATTGATACTTTTTTTCTAATTTCTCTATAGTTGGAAAGGAAAAGAAAAGGATTTAATTAGTATATTGAGATGTGTCCAGATTCAGGGTTTGCATTTTGGTTGCCCTTTATTTAAATCTCTTATTATTGTTCTTGCAAGATGTACCAAATTTTGTGGGAGTTTCCACTGTCTTCTATTTACATTCACCAAAAGATTGAAAATAATAAAAAGAAAAGGATAGGAAAGAAGATGGGGTGAATTTCAGTATTGCCCTCCTCATTATTAGAAATTGATACTTTGGAGGTCAATTTGCAGTTACAGATTTTCGAAAGCTTATATACGCAATTTGTATGTAAAGCGAACGTCAAATATCTAATCTAGATAGGTCATTTGAAGGAATATGGAACTCCTCCCTGGCTTTTCAGCTTGCGCTTGATCCTTTCTTTTGTGAATTTAAAGATTGATGTTAGTCTATGTCAAACGCCTAGTTTGTGTTTGTGTGTTGTGTATGTATATATGTATATACACACACACACTAGAGAATAATTGCATGTATTATAGAGTGGATATGAAAGTGATTTAATTAATGAGTAATTCGTATGATAATATAGACCCATCATGTAAAAGAGTTTCATTTGTTTACTGTCGTTACAAAATTTACAGTGGAAATATTAAAATGCATAGCAAACTTATCATCCTTTTTATGAGTATTACAAATTATCGAAACATGAGTCCAACATGCTGTAATCTAATACCGTGAACAATGCAACTTCTTTCTTCACCCACTTCAACATACATATAACCGCGCTACAGAAATAAAAACAAAAATGCAGCAACGTTCTTCCTATTACATAACAGGATTTTACTATGCATGTAAAATGTAGTTGATAGTGCCATGGTCTCTCTGCCTTTGGCTCTTAATAAATAACTATAAAAAAATGAAAGATTTTTAATCACCGATATGAAAATAAGTGCATGTTATATTATGATGACTTCTGTTATATAATGGAATTAGATCTCCAACTTAGTTCATCAAAATCTCATTAGAAATTGGGATCCTACCAAAAATTGGGTTTGTGGAAAAATAATGAACCACGTCATATGATTTGCATCTTGACTTATTTAATTTTTTATGTGCTATTTAAATTCAACAAAATATTATGATGGTCGCACGTTAAATGGTGAGAAGAAGATTTGAAGATTTAATCAATAGTATATGAAGATCTCATACTAAAAATAAAATAACGGGAAAACAAGTATTGAAAAATGATCCAATTCCATCAAATGGTTTGATTTCTTATTTTTGTGCGAAAAATCACATAAAACGTTCATGTAATAATTGCAATTCAGTAAAAATATATATTAAAATATCACTTTTAATAAGTTGAACGTTATTTGAAGTATTTTTTAAATAATTACAATCTTTATTATTTTTCTTTTATCAAACAATTTTATTAGTTTATTGATAAAAAAAATAATTTTCTAAATAAATTGTGAATATACGTTACTAATTGAACACACTTTAAATCGGTAGAACAAGAGAGAGGAAAAGGGAAGGAGTAGATGTGTGGGTGACTATTGAATATATATGGCGACAGAAAACTAGTTGGAAGATACTCTAAGGAAAGTTTATATCGAGATAATGAAAGAAATAATAGAGAGATAAATAACATATATATATATATATATATATATATATATATATATATATATATAATTAGTTTCTCTATTTTTTGTTTCAACCAATGGTAAATGCTTCCTTGTATGGTTGGGCTTGGAATTAGTCGTAACATGTGCATGAAGCCATGAACCATATTATATGCGACAACCAATGGCAAAAGCTTCCTTGCGCGGTTTTACTTTGACAATAGTAACAATTTATAAGATTTTGATTGGAATTTATAAGGTTAAAAAGTGTGTTTATAAGGTTATTAATTATAAAGTTAAAAGATAAAAATTATTAAAAATGTTATTATCGTGCTTTCAAGTCTCATCCGATTTTTATTTTTATTTTTATTTTTAAATTCCCATCTTCATTTTCAATGTCCTTTTACTGTAGTTTTTAACATTTTGATTCATTAATTCTTAATTAGTGTCTTTAAAGTAATAATTAACGTGATTCTTACTTTATTAGTAAGGGAAAATAATAAAAAAGAAATAAATAAATACTATCCAATGTCCTAGAGGCTTGCTTGGTAAATAAAGTAAAAAGTATTTAAATTTATATTAATAATATAATTTATTATATTAATAAATAATGTTGTTAATATAAAATATCAATATATATTGTTTACACATAAATATTAAAATACTAATAATGTAAGAATAGATTATATCGATATAATTTTGTTTTTTTAATATTATTTATCATAATAAATTTTAAAATTTTATTATTAATAATTTTTTTATTTGATAAGAAATATACTAGTAAATATTATCTTGATATCTAGTATTTTTTTTTTATTTAAAAATTGTGATTCTCTTTTGGCTTTTTGTTAAATAGTTAAATACATTACGTCAGAATAGCAGGGAAATGATCAGAACAGAAAAATATGACGTTAAGAATATAATCTAAATTTAAATTGACACAGTCCAAAAGTTTATTAACTCACACAATTATTGGCCAGCGAATTGACTTCAACTATTATTTTTATTTTTTTTTTGTATTTTGATTCTTGTTTATTTACACTAAACCTTTTATATTAAGTTATATTCTTATGTTAAAAAAAATATACAAGAGAAAAATATGTTAACCCTGAGAAGTAGGAAAAATAAGAAATTATAAATAACTACTATTTTTTATTTTATATCTTAATATACAGAAAATTAATTAAAAAGTAAATTTCATGCATTTTATATTATGATTCATTTCCTTTTAATTAATAAAAATAATGATTAAGACTATTTATTTATTTATTATAAATTCAAGTAGTTGCCAAGCAAAGATTTATAGTTATTTAATTAATTATCCAAAACTTACTGTGAGCAAAATTTATAATATAAAATAACAATGTTTAAGAAAATATAATGCATTTGATAAAAAAAATTATTGATAATGAAGAATTAAAAATTAAAATTAAAATATTTGAAACTTTTGATTTTAGAAAATCAAAAAAATATTTTAATTAATATAATTTTTTTATCAGTAATAACTTTCAAATATCCCGTTATATTTTAGGTTTATGGAAAACTTTTAAGTAATTTATGGAAGGCATTAAAAATACAAGTTGCCTTTAAATAAATAACTAGTTTAAGAGAGAAAAAAAAAGGATTGATGTGATTTGACTATCTCAAATAGTTTTGTTGACTAAAATAGATGTATTTAATAAAAATTATTTTTATAATTGTAAACTTACATTGTTAGGATGATTCAAAAATAAAAACGAGATGAAGAGTAAATAAAAATATTTACTAAATAATATAAATAAAAAATAATAATAAGAAGAGATAATATTATAGAAAGTGATGTAGTGTGAAATGTTCTTCTACGGAAGAAAAAGTAAATAGCAAACAGAAAGAAAAATTACAGGGAAAAAAATATTACTCAATAATTTCTTGTCTGTCCTTTCATTAACAATAGTGTGCTATATATGTACAAATTGGCAACCACCTTACAGTAAGAAAAGAAAATTACAATGAATATTCCCTAATCATTAGTTCTTAACGAATTTTTCCTTTTTGCGGGTAGAGGCACACGTAACCACATAATCCTTGAGGTGGTGAGGTGTGTGAGTAATCCTTCTAGACCTTTCCTCATGTGTCACAGCAAAGTTAGACAATTGGGTTAGTGCTCTTAGTGGGCTATTTGTCTCCAGGCTTTTAGAAAGAGGTAAAAGATAAATGGGCTCTAAAATCATTACATCCCCTCCTAGTTCAAGAATCACCTTGTCCTCAAGGTGGTATTGTTTCTGAATTAATGGCCATGGTTCCTAGCTAGTCTCTTTTGGTGGCATGCCCTTCCATTGAACCAACACCTGTATTTGTGGATTAGTAGTAAAATTGTCCCATTTCCAATCAACAATTGCAGCTGGTTCTAAGATTGGCTGATTTTTCTCTACATCTGGCGGTAAGTGAAGCAGGGTTGTTGGCAAAACACCTTTGTGAGGATGAAGGAGACTGACGTGGAAGACATTATGAATTTTTGTATATGGTGGAAGTTCGACCTCATAAGCAACATTGCCAATCTTCCTTGTGATCTTGAAAGGATCGAAAAAACGCTTCAAAAGCTTTCCCAAGAATGTCCCCGTAACAGAAGTTTGTCTGCGGGGACGAAGGCGGACATAAACCTAATCACCTATATCAAAATGCAACTCGCAGCAGGATTTATCAGCCCACTTCTTCATATTCTTGAGCCTTCTTTAAGTTGGACTCTAATTTGCGAAGAATATTTACTCGAGCTGAGAGTTCATATTGCACTGTTGCATTGGAGGTGTCTTCTTTGAGGAAAGGAGGGATGATGAGTGGCTTAGTGCCAAACATTACTTCAAATGGTGAGAATCCTGTGGAAGCATTAATGGAGGTGTTGAAGCTCCATTCATCCCAAGGTAAGAATTTGCCCTATAGAGAAGGTTTGTGATGAACAAAGCAGCAAAGATACTGCTGTAACACCTTATTAGTGACCTCAGTTTGCCTGTCGGTTTGAGGGTGATAAGCAGTGGACATGCGGAGTTTTGTGCCACTCAGCTGGAAAAGT